GCAGCTCTGCAGTCTGCAATCGCTAGGCTGAGAAGAACAGGAATTGCTGGCGAGAGCGGGAGGGAGGGAGGGAGAGAGAGAGAAGCTACCGTCCGGGCCGCAAACACTGGGCCCTGGCCTGCCCTGTGCCGTAAGAGCAAGAAGTGAACAAAACATGTTACGGGGAGGTTCGGAGGAGGGGAGATTCTTTTTCTGGGGGCCCGCTCCCTTCCGAAGGCCCTGAAGGGCGGGGAGGCAGGCAGGCTCAACAAGATCCATAGACAATCCGGAACACAGCCAGGACTTTAGGAGATCAAGCCTTCTGGAAGCAGAGCAAGAAAACCAAAGGGCTTCGGGACCGTCATGCAGGCATCAGAGTTAGAGGGGAATGATAACAGAGCAAAAGCGAGCGTTTGTGTGTTAAAGTGTAAAGGTTTGTTTGGGGGCTATCTAAACACGAACAAGTCCAGCCTAACTTTTTGGTGGATTTCTGGCTTGGGCCGTGGTGATTCTTCAACACTTGCACGTCATGGACAGGGTGTTTTGTGCTCTCTGAGGCACAGTGGGATTCTGGGAGGTGACCCGCGGGGGAGGCGTGAAGATTCTAGCGGAGATGCTGGGCCCACAGCTGACCCAGGCAGACATGTTGTAGACAAGATGACAATTGTAGGACGGTGGATGCACTTCGCAGACACTTCGACGGAGTCAGTTCTGGTTTCAGGGAGTGGTCCTTTGTACATCGTTGTGCCGAGGCCTGGTGAGGCCGAGTTGGATGCACTCTCCTTTAGCGAGGCGGGGGTGCGCGAATGGCGGTCCAGCTGAGCCGAGAAATCCAATCAAGCTCGAGCTGTGAGCAAGAATGCATTGCTTCGACTTTCATGCTCCATTTCTGGGTGAGGCGCATTCACGCTCGTCTTTGGATTTTCTGGATTGAGGTTTCGCTTGTCTCAGGGACTTGGGGCATTGGCTGCCCCTTCTTCTTAACCTGACACTTGGCTAGATTGGCTAGTAAACTTGCCAGGACGGTGACAAGCTGTTGGTCGGTGGCCAGGCATGGTGTGTTGCGTGTGGAAGCATTTTCAATCTGGGCCAGACAAGTCTTGCTTAAGCATGGTGCGCCAAACGCCATGGCGAGTGTCAGGAAAGAGTGGTAAAGGTTTATGACGTGGAGCAGTCGGCAGCCAAGAGCGGACAAAAGGCGTGTTACATGTGTCAGCCCAGCAAAACATGGGAATGAGTCTTGGGACACCAGCCCTAGCGGCGAGTGAGCCACTCCCAAGCACATCCTGCGATCTCCCAAGGGTGAAGTCAAGCAAAGGCCGCGACATGAAGGTGCGAAGGTTGTGGGTTCCGACATTCGCGGCTGGACATGTCAACCTCAAACCCTCCAAGCCAGACGCAGCGCAGGAACTGCTGTGCCTTGGTTCCAGGGATGCCACGGTAGGCTGGGAGCAATGCTGGGGAATGCTGACCATGCTAGGCAATGCTGTGCTCATTCTCTTGGATCTTTATGTTCACGTGCTGATTGGTTTCATGGTTCGTTGAAATTGAAGGTTCCTGCGCGCACGGAAGCCACACAATCAGCTAGCACTCGATGCTTCAGTTTCCGCAGAGCACATGTGAGTCTAAGAGTCACGTGTCGATAAATGTGGTAGGAGAGAAGCCTTGCCACCACAGCCTGAAGATCATGAGCACCTCGGCCAGTGAATGCATTGCGGGATGTTTTGAGTTTTGAAGGTCTTAGGAATTAGCAAGAGCCCAGTTCTGTGGATGAACGACAGGAGTCACATGTGCTAAATGCCTCAGCGGCCATGCGCCAATGCGCGAAGCGCGTCGCTGTCCGCTGACAAGGTGGTCATTCTTTTTCCGGGTTGAGTCTGAGGCATTCGATCAGTACCAGAGCACCAGCACCTTTTCTTGTCCGGTGGGATGGACAGGACGTTTGCCTTGCCTTTTTTGCCTTTGCCTGTGCACAAATTGCAGTGTGAGAGCAACACGAAGGCGCACGGCGGGACATTTCACTTCACGCAACATTTCTCACAATTCAGTGACAATTCCTTGAAGTGTTTTCTCTCGTTTGTTCAGGAGTGTCCTTCTTTGGGACCTCCGCACTCCCAAAATGCCGTCGGCATGGATCTCGGGTGTGGAGCTCTGCGACTTGGCTAAGACAGCTTGTGATAGCCTTTGCTTGGCTTGAGGGTCTTGGCTGTTGTCAGTGTGGGAATATGAGGGAGTACGTGGCAGTACATGTGAGTTCCTCCTGCGATTTCCACCCTCTGCAGGCATGAGCTGGTATCATCAGGCTAACAAGCCAGGTTAAGGGGTCCAACTTCAGGTGGCGACTCTTTGGATATGTCTCGCGATGGCAACACCCTTCTCGCAGGAGCCGGCATGCTCTGCATGAGATTTTCATCCGGTTCCCAGAACTGCTCCAAGCTTCAGCAAGCTCATGCTAGAGGTGTCAAATGTGGACATGGTGCAGTATCTAGCTCGACCGCTTTATGGTGAAACGCTCGCACGCGTTGCCTCGGCAGTCAGGCCGACCCGTGCAATGCTGCGACCTCCTGGGTTGGGGGGTTCCCTTTTTCCGGGTGCCTGTCGGCCATGGAGGCGAACTATGCAATGCCCTGCAGGGGGTTGGGCGGGGGGGGGGCCTTTTGCCATCATCGGCTTGATTCTTTCTACAACCGTTGTGCTGTCATCGATGGTGCTTTCCATGGACGGCGCCATCTCCTACCAGCTTCGCAGGGGTCCAGGGTCCTGTTGGAGTCTTAGGGGAGTCCCCAGGGGGTCCTGTGGGAGATTGTAGCAAATCCAGGCATTCCCAGACGCCTGTTGGCCGCAGGCACTGCGACCAAAAACCCTCGGACATCTGAGCTCGGTGCTGTTCAGGAAGCCACCGCGGCTTGAACCCGCTTCAGCTATTCGACTTGCGCTTGCTCAAGCAAGCAGACGAGTCTGAAAAGAAGGCCAACCTAATGGACTTCGGGGGCAGCTGGCGTGCGCATGTGGCAGAGACCACTTCTCTGTAATCCAAAAGGATTTCCTCGAGAAGCTGGTCCCTCCCAAGCACTTCTTTTCCCGCAATAGGCTGGCCTCACCATGACTGCGGTGCAGACGTACCAATGGTCCGCGCCACGGGATGTAGTTGCTGGCAAGTTGGGTATTTCTCGGGACATATTGTCGGACTGCTGGGGGGCGCCGCAAGGGATGTTCATGCATGAAAGTACCCAACAAAGCGTGGTGACTGGCCAAGGTCTGGCGAGGACACGACCAAGGCATGTCCTCGACTGCCATTTTTTTCCAGCACAGAGTCAAGGGTAGTCATGCCCGGCGGAGGTTTGCAAAGAGTAGACACCTGATCAAATTGCCAAGAGCAGGCGGCAGCCCAGCCGTCTTGCATGGTCTTCCAAGCTGGGCTCAGGGCCCGGTGTGGGAAGTCGTACCTGGCGTGTGCTTGCATCTGACTCGCCTGCTGTGCATCCTGTATGCACTGCATGTCCTTGCGGCAAAGGTGGGACAGCTTTGACAACACGACAATAGCTGCTGCCGGTGAGAAGGAGAACCAGGCCCTGCAGTTGATTGTACCGCGCGATACACGGGCTACTAATCACTGACTTGGAGTCATGGAGACATCAGCATTCGCCGGCTTCTCTGCTCCAGGCTCGAATCTTCGAACGGCCGAAGAGTGGTGGGCCCTTGCGGCCACTTGGATGGCATCATCACTCTGGATGCTGGCCACCAGCTGCATGCACAGTTCTGCACAGTCTGCCGCGAAGTGCTTTAATCTGCTGCAAAGGCTTCTCAGTTCCTTGGAGGGCTACAGCCGCGCCTTCTATTCGGCCTCAGTCAGTTCAGACGGCAGGCCTGTGTGAGGTTGAGGGTGGGACCGTGGGTCCTTGGGGTCGTGTAAGTGGGAGAGGTCGGCCGCATTTGGCAGCTCCGATGGCTCCGCGCAGTCCCTAGAATCCTGGGCCTGTGCCACGGGGGCCAGGGCATTGTGAGTTCACGTGCATGTCCAGCTGACAAACTGTGACAGGGTGAGCATCTTGCATAACTGCAGAGCCGCAGCGCAGCTGTGCTTGATTCTCAGATTGGCACAACGTGCACTAAGATCGTCATCTCGAATGTGCGCATCATGTGAGTGGATTGAAGTTCCAAACAGCTTGGCCGATAAGAAGGCCTGCGACATTTTTAACGGTTTGACGACCTTTTAAAGGCTAACATCTCAGAAGACACTCCTGGCACTGACACAGCGTCGAGCATCCAACCACAAAGTGGCGAAGGCAACTAGGGCCTAGGGCACACCGGTGTGAGTCTGTTTCATGGAAGCCATTAAAATCCAAAGATGATTTTCGATGTCATGTCTCACTTGCAGGCAGCTGCAGAAGCAGGATTGTTCATCGTGTCTGGATGGACCTGTCTTCAGAACTGTGCAGAACAAAGCTCTCGATATCTCCAAAAGTTGGAGTATATTCGTCATGTCAATGTGGTGCATCAGTCCGCGTTGTCCGAACTTCATAGCCAGCCAACGCCTATGTAGAACAATCGGTTTGGTGGGTGATTGCTCCAGAAGCAGCTGCAGGCAAAAGGTTTGACAGTGTTTGCTTACGCTTCCTTCGTGCCCAACGTGGCAGCGGAAGTTGTAGTGCTCTCCACAAGCTGGGAGCAAACGCTGTAAGTTCTATGTCTCAAAATCTGGGTGAAGCCTTGCCTTGCAACAGAGATTGCTTTGGCATGGGCTGCATTCAGAACGAGATGTACTCCATAAGCTCCGCGGCACGTTCTGCATTGCACCACGGTGCTGCGCCGGCAGACTTTTTGTGCATGCTGCATTCGCAGAAAGGCCCTGTTTCTCTCCGGAGGCATATGCAAGTCTCATGAACCGATGTGAACAGCCCTGGGCAAGGGAGCTGCAATCACAAGGGTTTCCTTGCTGTCCTGTTGGAGCACTCGGTGACAGCATATTTCACCCCATTTAAGGCTTTCTTGCTTGTTTTTATCGTCAGCTGAGTTGAGAGGAGCGCAAAGAGAAGCACAAGGACAAGAAGGAGAAAGACAAGAAGGAGAAGGTGACATTACAGTACTGTGAAAGCTCGCCTACTCTAAACTAGCCAGATGCCTCCGATTCACGAGAAACCTCATGCTCGGGCTGCGGGGACTCTTGATGACTCTTTGTGCAGGAGGCGCACGAGGCTTCTGAAGCTGTGGCCAAGGCTCTTCCCCCTACCCCCTAAACGTTTTAGCATGGAGTGACATCCGGTAACCTTTTGCAGAAGCAAGCAGACCAAACATGACAAAGCCATTGCTGGTGCGTTCTAGGGGCATGGGGCAGAGGTCCCGGTGCCGAAAGCTCCCGACCAAGCTGTGCTCGAAGAGGCCTGCGAAGCACCGGAGATCACAGAAACTTCAGACTTGATCAGACTGTGCAGGGGCTTAGCGACGCACGGAAGGGCGAGGTCGAGGCCCACACGGCAAAAGGACCGGATCCGAGCCTAGCTCGCGACATGGGAGTCGGAGACCCGCGAGACCTCCATGCCGGAACCTGAGCGATCACAGAGAATCCAAACCGTACCGACCCTGTCGTGAAAACTAATCGCTGTATCTGTCAGCATGCAGCCGCTCGATGAACTCGACTCGTCCACACTCATTCCGAGGTGAAGGCTGCCTCGTGTGAGTACGGCTTCCCACCCAGCGTGGATGGTTCCCAGAGCGGCACAGAGTCATGGAGTTTGTTTTTTCGGCTAGGTTTTAGTTATAGTAGCGCTGCTGTTCGATTTGCACTTGCAAAAGGTTTCTTCCTCTTCATGCGTGAGCGAGAGCGCATTCGATTGAGACGCGAGACTTGGACAGTCTTGGAGAAGAGAGACCAGCTCAGGGAAAAGGACAGGCAGATTGAGAGGCAGTGTTCTCATAGAAAGCAAGGAATGTAGAGCAGAGTGTGGTGAGCTCCCCAACATCAGACCTTTTTTTAATCGTTGCAAATTATTTGCTTGTATCCCTTCACTCTGCCACCAAAGCTGCAAACCCCGACAACGTTTATGGTGAGCCTCAGCATGTCGGCGGTTAAAGTTAAAGAGGGAAACTCAGAATGTCCCGAAATAGGAAGTCACCCTTTGTGGATTGCTATTCTGTGCTGTTGTCCTGCCGTAGCTCGAGCAGATCCCTCTTTATGCCACAGTCTAGCACGCAGGTTGGGGTGTTACTGTGGCCGGTTTCCCATAAGGAGCGTTCTCAGTCATACCCCTGGACTGACGACGCGGTGCTCAGACATCTCCGCCTGAGGCACGTTCGTCTCCTGTGTGCCTGGGATCAGGCTGTAGACAGTAGGGTGACATGTGTCTGACTTCTCAAGAGGCTTGCATGTAATCTTCAATCTCACGCCGCCCCGCACGCATGTCTGCCGTACAAGTCTCACACGCATATGTGGCACTCACTTTCCTGCTCGAAGTGACAGGAATGTCAAGAAGGATCCTTGGATTATTTCTGGTCTGTTGTGAGCTTCTTGATACCTTTTGTTGCTTCTGACTAGCGGTACCTGCAGAATCTGCTAGGAAGCTGTCGATGATCGATGATTCGTTTCGCAGCCGACTCAGGAGCACGACCGCACTAGCACTCTCATCCGCCGGCTACTCTTGCCCTTGGATGACAGACACTCACCTCAGCTTAGTTCTTCGAGGGCTCTGCATGCTCCGCGCTAATTTTTGCTTGAGCTTTTCACAGGGAGAAATGTCCGTCAGAAAACGGCGGGCTCAGTCGCACAACAGGGCCGAGTCAGAAACGGACAGCCTCAGTGCTACCCCTGGGGGTTTTCACAGCCAAGAATTCCAATCCCACAACGCAAGGGTTCCATCTTCGGAATGTTAGTCGCACACGGGTTGTGTCAAGCAGAGCTTTGCAGGGAGTTGGGATTGGCCGGCGGTCGAGTTGGCAACAGAGAGAATGTGGCGTGTTAGGAGCATCCAGCAGTGGAGTTGGATACAAAGGAGTTAGGGTCTTTTGGGCTTTGGGGTGTTTCAGTCTGGTGGATTCTAAACCTACACACTCCCGGGCCCTCAACCCTGAAACCCCAAAACCTAAACCCTACAGCCTCCTGCTAAAGCCCTTGCGGTTTGTAGGGTTGAAGGTTTACGGTAGGGCTTTGTGAGGCTTTGGGTTTAGGGACAATAACCTGAAGTGTACAAACTCATGCATCACAAAGGCTAACCCTCTGAAATGCCGGCACTTTCAGCCTCCCTCTTTTCTGGATTCTGGAAAGGTTGTAAGATGGCAGAATCCCCTCAAAACCAGTAGCAAGTCGATATCCCAAGTCAAAGCTGCCTGCAGATCTCCCATGGTCTCCCATGTCTCAGAATGGCGCTCGAGCACCACTGCGCAGCAGAAACGAGCTGTGGTCCGCCAGTACGTGCTGAGTGTTGGGTTGTGGAGGCCAGGCTGTTAGGAGGCTCTTTGTGAGGCTTCCGACCGTGTGAGGAGGCTCATATTCAACAGTCAACAGCAGCCCTTTGCTCGCCAGACGCTTTGGCACCGTGGACTTCATCAATCGAGCTGGCTTGGTATCTGGAGATGCGACGCCGGAGGATCTGTGTGCCAAGGCATCGTAGACATATGCCGCAATTTGAGTACGACAGTAAACAAAGCATATGTCCAGCACGTGGCCAGGCCTCCACACTGGCGCTGGATCTCTGGAAGGACGGCATCCACAGCTGCCCCTCGCTGCAACATAGCTTTGGCACAACCATACCAAATAAATACCTACCAGTTGCCGGATGCTTGCAGGTCGCTTTAGATTCAGAGCAGGGCTGCAATGTCTGAGTGGCTCTAGAGAGGGCTTAGGAGACATGGTGGTATGGTTGGGACGATTCTCCAAAGCCAAGCAAAGCTGCACAACACGAAGCGAAGCAAAGCGGCACAACAAAGACAACAAAGCAAAAGCAAAAGCAAAAGCAAAGGCAAAAGGCAAAAAGGCACAAGGCACAAGGCACAAGGCAAAAGGCAAAAGGCAAAAGGCAAAAGGCCAAAGGCAACAGATGCAACAGATGCAACAGATGCACCAGATGCAACAGATGCAACAGATGCAACAGGGCAAAGGGCAAACGGCAAAAGGCAAAGCACAAAGCGCAAAGGGCAAAAGGGCGAAAGGCAAAAGGAACAAGGCAAAAGGCAGAAGGCAAAACACAAAACGCAAAACCCCCAAACCGCCCAAACGCCCGAACGCCCAAACGCCCGGACCCCCAAACGCAAACGCAACACAAACGCAACCGCAACAGCAAAAGCAAAAAAAGAAAGGCAAAGGCAAAAGAACAAACAACAGAACAAGCAAAGCAGAAAACAAAGCAAACAGCAAAGCAAAAAGCAAAACAAAAAGCAAAGCAAAAATCAACGTAAAAAGCATCTTGCGCAGGTTGCGATGCGTATGGGCCCACGAGCCGTGCCCACGCTGCGGAGCTTTGTGCGTGGCTGGGGGAAGAGGTGAGCTCAGGTTCAGGATGGTCCAAGCATTGTTTCAAGCGCTGTCTTGCAAGGGCATTGAGGGCGTAGGCGGCCGACGCTTTCACATCACCTGCGGCTTCCGCAGCCAGCAGAGATGGTGTATGAGCGGCCAGGCGTGCAAGCATCTCCCTGTGGCCATGCAGCTCCATCCCCGCCACGGGCAGCAGAGCCCCGTCAAGAAAGGATTGGCAGCTGAAGCTGTATTCGCAGTGGCCGGAGAAGCGGCATGGCATTGCCCCTCATGTGTGATGACATTGGCTGTTGCTTCCACTGGGTTCTGCTGCTGTAGTCACTGTTCACACATCTTTTTGCCATTACAGGATGGGGGCCTAGTTGCTACACTCAAAGGGCTGCAGATGTGAAATCTAAGGATGATGAAGATGCCCGCCTGCATGGCATCATCGGTATGTCTTTTTCGTACAAACTGTGCAGTCAAGACATGTGACGTGTACTGCAATTCGCTTGTCGAAATGCTGTAATTTACACAGCCGTTCCGAAGTTCCTGTTTCGCAGCCACACTCCCCAAGTGGTGCATAGTGGCCCAATCTACAATCGAACAGTTCCCAAAGCAAAGCCAAGATCTACGGCCTTTGAGAAACTCCCGACGCTGCAGTGCGGTATGTGCAGACGGAACGCAGTTGACTGTAGTGAACAGTTGCCGAAATGGGTTCGAACTATGACAGGACTCACTTTTTGTCGCACACATCGCAAATTCCAGGATCCCACAGCCCAGGTCTCTGGTGAATGATGCAGGGCTGGAAACAGCTGCTTGTCATCCACAGTAAGTAGTAAGTACCTTTGCACAAGAAAGAGAAGCGTTCATCCAAGCCATGTGCTCCCGTGCCCGGCGGAACCATCGCAGAACTACATGAAGGCCTTGCTGCTGGGTCACCGGGTTACCGGGTTCGCCGCCCGAGGTTCGCAGTGGCTTGCTGCAGGTTCTAAACAAGGACGGCCAACCCTTCCGTACCTCGGCTGCAGCAAAGTGGTGGGCTTTAGGGTTTGGTCAGCTGCCTTGCTGTTCTGGGAAGACTGAGGCAGTCTTTGCGAGAAAGCTGATGCGCTGGCAGATGCTCTGGTTGATCAAGGAGCAGTCGAAGTTTTCTTCCTGCATATTCTTGTATTGTTTTAAGTTTGGCAAAAGCGGGGTTGAACCGGTTGAATGGTTCGTTAGTCCAGGGCCCGTGCGCTTCCAGCGACTCGTGCAGCTCCTCGGCGCCGCTGAGGGCCATGGAGCTTGGAACTTGGCCAAGCCCGAGGTTTTTACGAGTCTGTGCATGTGCGTGTGAGGTGTGAGGGGGAACGTGACAGGGAACGTGAGAGGGAACATGAGACTTGGGCTCTGCTAGATTCTGGCCGATTCTGCGAGATTCTGCTAGAAACTACACGACTGCTGATTCCTGATGGCCTGTTTGCGTGGCCATGCGCGGCTCAGATCAGCAACGGAGTCTATGCGGCTGAGATCGTGCGAGACCTTCTGCTCCTTGACTTTGCCACAAGGGGACATGGACCCACAGGTTGATCATAGAAATCGCCTCCACGTCGGGATGCAGGTCAGGAATGTGACGGCCTTGGGAACTCACTTTTCGTGGACTATGTGGGATGGGACGCGCCTGTCGATACTCAGTTTCATCAACGCATGTTGTGCAGCAAGCCTCAACGGATTCGCGCCTCGGCCTCGCGTGTCTGCAGTTTCAATCATGGCAGCTTGACTGGGGCTCGAAGTTCCTGTAGCAAGACAGGTGGAGGCAGCGGCGCCGACCCGCAAAAAGTAGTGAAGTCGAAGCCAAATCAGCAAAGAGCATTGATGGTCGTTCTAATCTTTGAAGTCTCTCGCGAAGTCTCTCGCGAAGTCTCTCGTGAAGTCTCTCGTGAAGTCACGAAAGCTCGCGTAGCGAAGCTGGAGTTTTATCTGCTTTAGCAGCAGGGGGCCGACCACGGCCAGAAAACAGCGTATTATTGATACTATCTTATTAGGGGGGGGTGGGGGGGGGGGGGGGTAAATTGATATATCACACGAATTCCTTGGTTTTGGAAGGGGGGAGGGGGGGGGTGGGGGTAAATTGATACATCACACGAATTCCCTGGTTTTGGAGGGGGGGGGGTGGGGGGGGGGGGGTAAATTGATATATCAATACCTTAAGGGGAGGCGTTTTTACGTCAAGACCTGACTCCGTCGCGTGTTGACCGCAGCGCGTGAGTCAGGCTCCCAGCACAACATGCGTCGCCGCCCACTAGTGATTTGTTGATTGCAACAAGCTAGTTGATTGCAAGAAGCTAGTATCTACCCAACATTGCGACGGCTGAAAAGAAGACGCTGGCCCCTCAAGCATGCCTCCAACTGGGCCCTGCCCGCACTTTCTCTTGCAACTTTGCTCTTGCTTCCGGCCCCCGAGCTTTCGTCCTCCCTGCCTCCGGCCCTCAAGTCTCTCGTGAAGTCTCTCGTGTACCTTGCTGTGCAAGAGTCCTTTGTGGTGCCCACGCTCTCCGGCTCTCCGGCCCTTGTCAATAGTCGTTCTGTGTGCGTGCGTGCGTGACTGCAGATTCGCATTTCCAATTGCCGTTGCGCTCGGCCTTTCTCTCGCGCCTCGCGGAGCTAGCGTAGCTCTGCCACTGGAAGGCCCATACATCTTGAAGCTTGTTCTATAAGGGGCTCGTGCTCATGCCAAAATGACGCCTCAAACAGAATCAGCAGGTCTCTCAATCGAACATGTTGGTGTTTCGGTATTGCGTACTTGAGTTGGACACCCTGGCGTTACTTAACCACCTGATCCACCCATCTTTAGTTTGCTCAGTTCTGACATCGGAGGCCAACACCGATCTGTAGCAGCGGCTGTGTCGACATTGACCCTGGGCCTCTATTATGCCATTTGCATTTTAAACATATTCCGGTATAATCGGAGGGTTAGAGTTCAGGCTTAGCTTGGCTTTGTATTTAGCAGGGGCCAAACATTCCCAGGAGTTCTAGATATGTGGGTTCCACAGGTTTGGAACGGCCAGCCCCCAAGACCATAATGGCGGCCGTGTTCAACGGCCACAATAGTATGATGTTAAGACTGACCCACTGGGCATGGCTCGCATGGCTCAGTCGGGCAGTTCGACGGCGAAGCACAAGAGAGATGGCGAGATCAAGTGAGCCTTTTGAAGCGGATTCAGGTGGCCTGCAACTAACGCACTCCGCTGAGGATCACTGGGCCCCCTTGGATCGGCCGACTCGTTGTTGCCTGGACCGGTTGGCCGGGCGGCCCTTACCAAAGGGAGCCCGAAGGAACGAGGCAAGACTCTGTGGCAAAGCCCTGCTGTTTCAGTCAGCTGAGTCTGGCTTTCTCTAGCTGAGTCTAGCTGAGTCTTGCCCGTCGAATCTGAATGGGGAGGCAGTGCCCAACGAAGTGCTCCTCGAGGCCCCAGCATGGCTCGGGGGGAGGGGGACTTCTAGGATTCAAGGCCGCGGGCGAGCGTTCCGCGATCATTTCTGTCAGTGTTCCATTTGCAGAGGAGTTGCTTCGGATCTATGGCCGCCGTCATCAGCTTTGGCCAGCAAGCAACTTGACAACTTTAAAAGGGTCTCCTTAGCCGGTTGTTCGCACTCTTCCGTGAAATGAGCGGTGGGTCAAAGCACAGTGCAACCTCCTCTGAAGGCATCGAAGATGCGCCCAGTGTGGACCTGCATCTCCTGGACCTGCGGGCCCAGCTTGCGGAGTTCGAGCGCTACCAGAGGCGAGTGTGAGTCATGCAAAGATATGCAAAAAGACATCACCTTGCCCAGCCCGCGAAGTCTAACAAGGAAGTACAAAGTAGTACAAAAACAGACAGGAACATCCTTGAGTCGAGAGCCGGCTCGCTAGGATCTGGGCTCAAAAAAATTGGGGATGGTTGCAGAATGTTTCCTGAGACGTGACAACTGCTCTACCGTTCTCTTATTTGTATCTGAGGGGAGCCGATAGGGGCCGAGGAGCCCAACACAAGGGCTTCTGTCAGCTGAGCCTGAAGCTAAATTGAAAGGCAAGACAAGCCTTGAAAAATTGAGCCTTGACTCGCAGGGCAAAGGAAGGCCGGCCCTCTCGCATGCCCTTCGTGGTCCGCAGCTAGGCCGGAGACAGACTCTTCTGGGTTCATCTAGGCATGTTTGCTTCAGGATTTGTTTCATAGCGTTCACAACCCTAGGCACGGTCTTGCGTGCATGCAGCGTCTTTGAGAGGCAGCAAATCGTGAAAACTCAAGCAAGGAGGTCACGGAGGCCTGCAACGAACGTTGTCGTTTGGAGTGGGGGTTGGTCTTGAACATCGGAGATTCTGCATGCCACGAAAATGCAATGAGTGAGTGGGTGGTCTAGCAGTAAATATAAAGAACATCACGAGAGCTCCCCGGCATGCTTCGAAAGCCTCAGATCCAGATACTTTCCCCGCTTTCACACATTCTGCTGTGCGAGTTTGCAAAACTCTGAGCCTGTATTCAGTCACAGTCAGTCGCATTCACACCAGTCAGCCGACCAACTGCAAGCTATCCTGAAAGCTACCTGAGCCTGAATGTGTGTGCACTGTCCATATGCCAACATGCAACCTCCAACACTGCAGCCCTGACTTCCACTCTGCATGGCGGGCTATGCGGCTGCAGAGACACCTCGGTTGCGACGATCACATCTTCGAGGGCACAAGGTGCATGTGTTTGTACGGTCTTGCATGAGGCATCACTAGATCACAAGCTTTGACTGTGCAGAAACCATGATACCAGCGAGAGCTACGATGAATTCTGCACGGTGCCGGCCTGTAGTGTTACCTGGCTGTGTACTACCTGGCTGTGTACTACCGTACGGTATTCATGTGTAACCGATGCAATCTCCTCCCAAGTCACGTGTGTGTGTGTGTGTGTGTGTGTGTAAAATCTGCCGAAGGATGCGGTGCTCTGCCTGTGCGCCGATGCTTCGCGGCTCGCGTCGGGCGGGGCGGATGGCAGCTGCCGTCTTTGGGACCGAAGACTTCTGAAGTCTCTCTGAAAGTCTGAGAAAGCCGAGGGTTCTTCATTCGCAAGTTGAGCCTACTTTTTTTTTATCTTTCTTTTAGTGCTCTCTCAAAGCAGGACCTGCGATGCGAGGGCTCGCGCCGCTCCGTTCGCGCGGCCATGGTGCCTGGCGAGGCCTGGGCCTCAGAGGATGCCGCAGGATGCCTCAAAGACCCTCAAAGATCCTCAAAGTCTCTCAAAGTCATGTCGTTTTAGGCCTCAAGGGCCTCAAGCCTCAAGCCTCAAAAGTCTTGTCTGTGCCAGGTCTCTAGCGTGGCCATTTCCGCTGCCAGGGACCCTGATGGATCTTGACAGTCAGACACGCCACTTTGTTTCAGAGCTTCTGAAGCACGCGTTCGGCCAAGAATTCGGATGGCGATCCATTTCAATCTTCTAGACCATGGTGTGGATTCTGAGACATGCTGGCAGATTCCATTGGTCAGCATTGTTGCCACGTGCCATTTCACAAAGACATATAAAAAGTTACGTCCTGCCAAGCCCTCTGCAGCTCATGTCTGTTGGGAGGAGCACATGTTGCTGGCTGCTGTGGGGCGCACAGTCTATGGCTTCGACCTCCGGAGCGAGAAGGTAGTTCTCCAGGCGCTTTTGCAGAGGTCCAGCGGGAACTCGAGAGTGCGAAGTGTGCCTCTATCCGAGCAAAGGCCGCAGACAAGACCTTGCCTGAGCTTGCGAAGGATGACATCAACCAGGCGAGGATAATGCAGTCCACCGTCAGCCAAGCCTTTATCCAGCGAATTCCAAAGCCTCCGCCAGATCTGTTGTTGCACACTTTCAGTTGTTTTTAAAACGTTCGGCTTTTCAGCCTTTCTTGACATATTATATGGTCGTTTTTCTCAAGCCGCTGTGCAACACATGTCTGCTACTTCGTCTTTGTCTGTGCGATCCAGAGTTGCCTTGTGTGACGCAGAGCCCCCGCGCAAGAGAGCGTCTCTCTTTTTACCCCTCTTTACAAGCATCCAAGCATCCCCCCCGGATCTCAGTCTCAAGAGGCCGCGGCTTTCTCTGAAAAGAGCGGGGTGGGGGGGGGGGGGCGGGGGGCGGGGGGCGGGGGGCGGGGGGCGGGGGGCCGGGGGCATGTCTCAGGTTGCCATCGACGCTGGCGGGCACCTCGCTGCCGTGGCCGAGGCCGGGGAGCCGCTGTGTTTGCATCGATGGGCAAAGAAGCGCACAGAGAGTTTTCATTCAGCATGCGTGGACGCGTGGGCTGTGCAGAGGATTCGGGTGCTGTGCACCTGGTCGACCTGAATACTTGGCGACTTGAAGTGAAGATATTCGAAGTTGCGTGAATTGCGTGATTAGTGCGTGATTGTTTGCAGAGTGTTCGAGACTGAGGAGAGTGGACAAGACCTTGGCTGGAAAGAATGGGCACGTGAACATCTGCAGTTCGGTGGCTTGGAAGCCAGGCCACAGGGTGTGCGAGGGTAGCTTCCAAGGTCCGAGTGCTCTCATGAGTTGAAACGCACATGAGTATGGAAAGCCCTCGGACCTAAGCGAGCAGCACGCCGGCATTCAGAGGCAACCTGGGAGCAACTACTGCCGAAGCGACTAGACCAGAGACACATCGACTGGGAGACACATCGACGGGTTCTTTATGATTCGCGACGGACGTGTTGAAATTCCTTTTGCTTAGTGGTACTAAGCCCCTAAAGACTAAAGCCCCGAACCTCCAAAAAGGGTCGAGGGCATGGGTTCAAAGTCTACGGTTCCAGGTTTGCGGGTGTTGCTTCCATGCTAGCATCTTATAAAATCAGATCTCTGGCCTGTGCTTCCAACACTGATCGCATCTTTCCCAAAAGCGTCGGCAACCTGCTTGTCCGTCCCTTCTTTGCAGGCCGTGAGTGGACGCTGGCGTCTGGAGGTTTGGACGCTGCAGTCGTTGCCTGGCTTGGATTTGTTGCAGTGAATGCAGTAGGTCCAGTAGGCCCAGTACGTAGACCCTGCTTTAGCTCTCTACTGAGCGGGCTGCGAGACACGTGAGGCAGGGCCTCCTTCTCCGGGACATGCCCTGAACACGCGCAGGTTCCGTGTTACCCTCGCACCGGCAAGTAGCACCTGAGTTTCCCTGCTGGGAGCAGAGGTTCTCTGGCAACGGTCAGGACGAGGCTTGCGAGATGTCCACTGGATGTGCACATTTTCCGCTTGCAGCTGCTGCGAAGACTAGTGAGTTTGACGGTGTGCGTAGGGGCAGTGAGTGGGCGGGTGCGGTGGGGCTGTCTTTTCAGGGAAAGGCAACGTTCCGCCCTTTGCTAGGCCGCAGTGCTCACAAGTCGGAATTTGTGTTCAGGCTTCTCTTCAGATTGCAACTTGGTGGTGTGGTATTCTTCTTCGCCAAGCACCCCCACTGTGTTCCTGAGCATCGGCAACGGTGAAACCTCGAAGTCACCCATCCCTCTCAACTGAAGCGCAGGTCGCAAGGTGCAGATGCAAACGGATGCTGAGGAGGAGAATTACTCTGCACAAGAGCACAGTCTGTGAACAGCACGTAGTGTTAAGTCAGAAGTCGTGCAAGTAGTGTGATGTAAGTCAGAGAGCTCACAAGTAGCAGCTGTCAGGAGTCTGCCACGTCAGCAGGAGGGGCCCAGTTGCTCAATCCGCCCTTTGTGCCGCCCGGACTGGCTTCAAAAAAAACACATCCTTACTGAAGGTTGTTGAAGGCTGTTGAAGGTTTTGTGTTCGGCGCGTTCAGTTACAAGTCGGCAGCTCCCAGGCATTCCATCGCTTATTCGCCGGACGGTGAGACACTGGCCGCAGGCCGATGGACTGGCACATGTGGCATAAGCGGCACAAGTAACAGACAAGCCCCGAGACCGAGTCCACTTAGCGTACGGTGTGTACGGGAATGGTTTGGCATGTGGCGGATGCGGAGGGTGCTGCTACCGAGGACGAGTCAGTATGAGGCACAGCATCACCAAGGCAAAAACGCATCAAGACTCAAGGCAAACGAGACTCAAGAAACTGTGAACCTGAGCTCTCCTGGCACAAATTCCACCGCCTCCACCCACGCACATCCTGGCACGAGGTCTCGGCGATGGCACCGTGGCGCTCCTTGGCCCAGAGCAGCGCCTTAGAGGTGCGCACACACACATACACACGCGTTTCATCCTTTCTTTTTTTGTTGTTCTTTCTCTTCCTGTCACTCGCTTTCTCATCTCCGCCCTCACCATCTCTCTTCGATCTCCATGCTCGTAGGCCACCTTGCGGCGGTAGCGCAGGCCGGAAGGGGGGATGGTGACAACTGTCATGAGATCTGCCCCAGTCTACAGTCTACGGGGCAAGAGGAACACCCAGCGATGCTTGCAAGCAAGCCCTGCATGATAAGCACCTACGAAGCCCGAACTTACTCCAGGTTTAGCAAGCCTTGAGTCTCTCTGACTCCACCGGCTGTTTTGCAAGCTATCGAGGTCCTCTACACTCCTGCCGGGCTGGTTTCTGCTGGGAATGACCGGCAGGCACAGCAGTGCCAGGAGTTGCAAACCATGCTGGATGACTGAATGCAGCCTCTTTGCCAATTTGGCCAGGTTTTGCTGTGGTCTGGACCCGAGCCGCAGCTGAGATGGCATCATCCAGAAAAAGTGAACTGGAGCCTTGACATGCATTCCCATTTCATCACCTTTCAGGGTAGTCTTGTGCTGAAGGTCACTTGGGCTTTCTGTGCAGAAGTGCCTCGCATGTGGTTCCCACGCATCCGCTCGAAGCAGCTCTCGAGAGGATGGCCTGGCACCAGAACGTCCTTTTCGTCGCTGACTTGGGCCACAGCATCACTGCCGCTTGGCTCGGCTCGTGGTGTAGCAAACAAGGCTGCCCACATGTGCTCAAAGTTGTGGCATGTTGCGAAGTCTCGAAGTCTCCTTCTCTTGTTGTGTGCGCCAAGGCTTATGAGGGTCTGCTTTGAGAAGCTTCTTTGTGTGGCTTCCTCGTGTGGCTTTGAAGCAATTTGAGAAGCATTCAAAAGCAAAGTTCCAGCGACCAGGCCCGAGTCGGAGTTCCTTCCGGGAGTACTTACGAGTCTCCGCCAAGGTGCTCTCAGTGCTCTCTTCTCCCGTCGGCAGCTACGATTCGGATTTACAAGTACGGATTTACAAGTACGAGAGCGAGTACGTGTTGTGAGCCGCTGTGGAGCCCCTCCAGAGAAACCAGGCGATGAAGTGGACCCAAGATCGCACGTGGATGGCAGTTGCAATCCTTTGCGACGCTGTGGAACACTTAGCCCAAGCTGGGCCTGTGCTCTGCATGTCCCCCCACAAGCTACGTGAGGAAGGTCTCACAAGGGCCCGCGAGTCCAAGTTGATGAGCCCATGAGCATGAGGAACATGAGGGGTTGTAAAATAACCCCGCGGCTTGCGGTTTAGAAAGGAGTGCGCCTGAGTAGCGTTTAGCTTGTAAAACGATAAGGAGTAAAAACAAAAACGATAACATGTTGCAGGGTTTTTGCTGTCTGGGTGAACCCTCCTCAGAAACCTCACTGTGGCCGACGTTTCCGGACCTGACAAACCTCGCTGTGGCTGACATTTCGGGGTCTCTGGCTGTGAGGGCCGATGGGTTGTTCAGGTTTGGGGGGTAGACTCTAAATAAACCCGTGAACCCTTCCAACCCACGATGTTGAAGCCACCTAGGCTTTGAAATGCAAGCCAGCCATGTACCCCAAGCATTACCTTGTGTACGCAATCACTGTAAAACGATAAGAATTCTAGCCAAAGATACTGCGTGGTAAAACGATAAGGAGTAGAAAAAAACGACAACAACATTCGGGACCAGCCCATTTCCATCGGGGTTTGTTTACAACCCCTGAGGCATGGTGCTGAACAACTTGTGGATTGTCCAGGGTGACTATATTATTTACCGATAATTACCATCAGAGAACTTCTGTAGTCAGCTACACAGTGCAACCGCTCGCGCCAGTGAAGCAAGTTGCAGGAGACATTCTGTAACTCACGCTTGGGCTATGCTTGAGCTGCACCCCAACTCAGGAGAAAAGTTGCACAGGGGCTGGTATTGTTATTGCCCTTGCCCTCCGGTCCCACCCTTCTGTCCCTCCCTTCTGCTCCTCCCTTTTGCCCTCCCCCTCCAAAATGGTTGCAAGATTAATGTTCGGCCTCAAAGGCCTGTAGAGCCGCTTGACAAGCCACATAACATGATCAAGCACATCGCGAACTTTCGGCAAGGACCAGGATGCATCCCGGCAATCCCTGCAAGCCCAAGAATAAACGGCAGCTGCCATGCCATGTGGAGAAACCATGGGAAATGCTGTCAACAATTATCACCTGCCCCAGACCCGAAACCGCCGAAACCAGTACGAAAGCACATGCACAAGGTCAAGACCGGTGTCGTCTAGCAGAATTCTGTATGTTTCTGCTGGAGCTTGCAGGAAGGACGTCGTCTTGATCTACTGGAACGCGCTGTGCAGCGGGACGTGCTTGCCGCGAAGGCCTCGTGCAAAATACTCGGGTTCCGTGCAGGCAGGCCAAAGGTGCGGGAGTGGTGCGGGTTACTTTTTGAATGCGCGGCACCTTGAGAATTATATATAAATCTCGGTGCACCATGTAGTGCAGCTAGCGTCGACGTGCATGTTTGTTTGATCATGTCTGTAAGTCCACGTCGTGGTGCCGAATCAATGCTGCAGGGTGTTGCGTAAGACTTAGAGAGGGAGATCATCTTAGAAAGTTGGAAGAAGCCACCGGCATGTTCGAAGGCATCGGAGCTGTGCATTCTTCATCAACTGCTGGAGAATGCTGGAGAATAATTACGTTTGACTGCAAGGGTCACAGGAGTCAGCCGTGTCCGGAGGACATCATCCTCTTCTCTGCGAAGGCGAGTCTCCGAGCTCCCGGAGAGAGTGCAGCATGCGCACATGTCGCATGGGAGTGGGCAAACATTGTGGCCGGCCTGGCAGTGTCCACTAGCATGGCCAAGAACGAAGCATCCGACAACTGGCACTGATGTCTTGTGGAGCTGCCATGCTGCCTCACCAAAGCCGTTTCACTTCAGCAGCAGGCTTTCCCTTCACGGAAGCAGAAAACAGTGCCGACAAGTCTTGGCAACTGGATCGCTCGTACACTCTCAACAGACTCAGCCCACGCATATACTGGGGTCCGATGTCTAATTCTGGAATCCTGGCCTCTTACAGTATTCGCTGCTTAGAGGCAGGACTGGGCAAGAATGGCAAGAAGGTATTGGTTTACTGGGGCGGCTCTTGGCTGGAGGAACCGTAGCGAGCAGATGCGGAGCCCCAAGTACCATGTGAGGAAGGTAACGCGCTCTCGTGTTGAAACATCCTCAAGACGGATTCAGTCGATTGTAGCTTGGCCCCACAGCAAAAGTATCTTCGATGACAGAAGCCTGGCAGCGTAGTCGGCGTCCTGAGCGTTTTGAGATGCTGCCGGGTCCGCCTAGTCAGTCATGCGTGCATCAGGAATGAACAATGCTGGCTCGCAGGTGTTGTGATCGTTGCCAGTAACTCGTGCCAATAACCAGATGCAGCAACTGGAGATGCTTTTCGCCGCACATTGTTGCATGCAATTGGGCATCCCAAACCCAGATTTCGACATAAGTACAGTACAGTTGTGATCTGGAGGCTGAGATTTTGCAGAGCACTTTTGCAGATTTTCCTCTCGTGAAGCACTACCTTGGCAGCTCGGTAACTGAAGCCCGAGCCTCAGCCTATGCCGGCCTCGGATTCGATTCTGAGATTCAGTGTGGTTGCAGGTTTCGCAGTGATGGGTGGCAGCTTTGGTTTCAATCGGCTGGACCTCTCAAATCTCCCTCACAGTCGAAAACTGCCAACAAGCTTTTCTTGAAGTTTTGCTCTTTCTTGCACTAGGAGAACATCACGACATGTTGCCGAACACTGAGGCTCCATGGGATGTTTGAAGAGGCAGGGCTGTGGAGAAGGTTAGCTGATGTTAGCTGCTTGGGATCTCAAGAGTTAGCAGCCGCAAGCCCTCTCTCAGTTCAAGGGGGCCGTATCCAAAGCTCCGTTACACCTTAACTTTGCAGTCTGTTGATGGATTCCCAAGGGTACTTCAGCGCAGGATCGCCAACAGACTCAGCAGCTTGTGCAGCCGATGGTTCCCCTTCCTATACGACTGGTGCCTGAGCTTGATCATCCGTCGACAGTGCTAGACTCTGCAGCGACCCAATTAAAGAGTGCTGGAGTGTCCTTCGAGATTTCCTGGTCGCATGTCAACTTGCTCTAAATTGCAGTTGCACTCCTGTAGCCACTTTGGCCATGTTTCTTTGCGTGGTTTTTCCATGTGGCTAAGTCTCTTCTACTGTCCCCGGCCGAAGCCGCGGCCGGCGCCTCACAACATGAACTTCACTGGCACTGCGCCATCGCATGGAGCCGGATTGGAGTTGGGGCGTTGAGCTTCTGAGCAAAATGCAGTGCACGTAGCAGTGCGGAGTGTGGCAGGAGGCTTTTCTGAGAACTCAGGTCTGAAATCGAGCTGGTATACCAGGACCTTGGAGCATTGCAGAGAAAAGGGGAGCAGGGGGACAGAACTGGACTGGTTTTGCTCTTTTGAAGTTCAGTTTTCGCAACCCAGACGCCTTAGAGCTGTACGCGCGTCGCTGGCGATCGGAGTGGAACAACTTGTGATGGGAAGATTGTGTGGGGCGTGCAGTCATTCGCAGATTGAGGATGAGGTTTGGAGTGTGCGCACCGGAAAAGTCGGCAAGCGGCCAGCAACTACGTAGCTTTTGCAAAGATGATTTGGACTAGTTTTGGAAACCGTAGCAGTACTATGACATGCGGAGGGCAAACGGAGTCGTCCAACAAGTGTGAGCCAGGACAAAGTGGATGTGGAGCGCCAGATTCGCAAGCTGCGTCCCACCATTCACGTTTCCAGCTCTGTCTGACCTGATGTTGCTTAGCTTGACCTGTGCTAAGTCTAGCTTGTCGAGGTCTGCCAAAGAGATCTCGGTGTCTGGTCACGTGTTCTCTGAAAACTTAGATGCGTGCATCGGCCAGGTTCATCGATCACACGCAGGCCTCTACTAAAACGGGAGAAGCTGCTTTGTGTCCTGTCACGTAGGTCCACAGAGTTGAGATTGGCGGTGATGCTTTGCATTTCAGAGCTGTTAGTTGCACCTTGTATGCATGCATGCATGCATGCATGCATGCCCACACAGCAGACGGGTAATGACCTATCGACCACCGCGAGTTACAGGGACGGTCCTTGTGTGGTCTTGTCTAAGAGGGTGAGAGAGTCAACCGCTGAGAGTTGAAGCGGAGTTCGCAGCAGCACATTCCAGCAGGCCTTGTGCGAACGATGGTTTCATCTAGCACAAACATGCACAACCGTTGTCCAGGCATTCGGTTTCCTGATGCTTCAAGACCACACTGGCTGATCCTGACTGAAAGACGATGAGGGTTGCACGTAGGGAAGGACCATGCTGAAGAACCATAGCACTCTGAACTTCTTGCTTGGGGTCGCTTGAGGCGGAGTCTGGCCGAACGTGCGTTGGCGAGCGCCGCTGGGCTTGTCGAGTCTGGGGCGTTGCTTCATGTTGCTTCAATGACTATGCTATAAACCAGGACTTGGACCTCAGGGCTTTCCATGGCTTTCCTGCAGGTGGTACTGATGTTGTTTCAGAAGTCTTGATATTCGGCCAAAGAACACGGGCACGATCTTGGACACTGCATTGAACGTTTGCTTGTAAAGGCCATAGGCCTTGTATCCAAGGGCGCCAACCACACGCAAGACCCACAAGCCATCCTGCAGCACTACGAGAAGGCAGGGCTTTTGAACAGCCTCGCGGGCCTCACTTCCAAGGCTGAACACACCCGGTCAAACACACCCGGTCAAGCAAAGTCACATGCGCAGCAGGTACTCAAAGGCTTGGAGGACTCGCAGTGCTGCTTGTGGCCTGTTAATGTGAGAGCATTGTGAATGCGTACTGCTTCCACGTCTCCCTTGCGCAACCTCACTTGTCGGTGGCTTCTTCCAGTATGGAAATTCATGCGTTGCTGAGCAGGAACGACAGCACATGCTGAACGAGCACTACTCGCGGCTGCAAGGTGCAGAATCCCGAAGTGTGAATTTCGTGTCGTCGTTGCATTCTGCAGAAAGTCCGCGGTAGCAGGACTAGGTGATGTTCACTGTTGATCAATGAGCATGAGCCACACGAGACCTTATCCCGCCTCGAATCCTGATGCTCTTGCAAAGATTTTTCAGTTCCACTCATGACATCGTGACACGTGCCTTGCTAGGTGAGAAGTTTGTGCCCTGGGAGGCGAGCTTGCTGTCGAGACATGTCGAAAATGTTAAAAAATTCCTCAATGCATAGGGCACCACGCGCTAGGCGCAGTCAAAAGTCCCTTTGTTGGCGCCCTTTGTTTTGGCATTTTTCGTCGTTGGCCAGATTCAGGTTTCAGTACAGAGGTGCCGGTCAGCTGTGCAAACTTGCAGCTTGGATTATTCAATCTATGATACTAGCCCTGGGCCTTCTAGGTCCTCTTTTTCCACCCTTCAGCTTGCCTCCTAAACCCTAAACCCTAAACCCTAAACCCCAAACCCCAAACCCCAAACCCTAAACCCCAAACCCCAAACCCCAAACCCCAAACCCTAAACCAATGCCCTTTCAACCCTAAACCCCAAACCCCACAAACCCTGAACCCTAAAATTTGTTGAGACAGCCAGGCGAGCGCCAGCTCTTCCATTTCGACGTCGCCTACGCTTTCAGGCGGGGCCAGAGGTCAAGTCTTGTGGTGCAGGCACTCTTTCGTAGCTTGGGGCGTCACCATGTTCACATGTTCCCTCCAACTCAAATCCAACCTCCCAAACCTGGAACATGGGTGCGACGTGCTCAGCACCCACTGCCGGAAGGGCCCAGTCCATGGAGCCCATGACGCCGGCCAATATCTGGGATTAAAAAAATCCTGGAGTCCAGCCGCTTTAAGCTGGCGCTGAACTGCGCCGTGCAAAGCGGGCTACGAGATGGTTCGATGCTTCAGTCTGATGTTGCGAACCTCACTCTCATAGGCCCCTGCCACGTCATACTATGTCAGTACACATTCCTGATCGTTCTGAGATGTTGAAAGATAGCGGAGAGAATTTGACCACGGTCACGAATTTTGGCGGAGGCCAGGGGCCGGGATCTGATGCAGACTTTGCGCCTGTGTCTGAACCCAGAAGCATTTTTTACGAATTTGATAGGTGGCTGTCTTCCGCGAGAATCCAGAGCATGTCTCGCCCTGCCGAATTCCCCTGACGTCGACTGCGCGGCAACCTTTGAAGGCTTGGATAAACTCATATAAACTCATATAAACTCCAACATCCGCGATTGGTTGGGGGATAGGCCTCGTTGAGGATGCATGCCCCGCTGCCTCTTTGGAGAGCGCTGCTAAACGAAGCCGCTGCTCATCAGTCGGAGACTTTCTGAGTTGGGTCAAGGCTGCTCAAACTGTCTTAAACCATCTTAAACCCCTAAACATCCTGCCTGCATGGCATCCTGCCTCGCATCCTACATGGGCTGAAAGTGAGACTTTGAGCTGTCGCCAGTAGCGTGCAAGAAGCGTGTCGCCTCGTGACCGACCCCAAAGAAGGCGTTGCTAACGCTTGCCCAGTAGTTGTAAAGCAAAGACGAGGGCTTCAGAACATCGGATGAATCGTCGCGACTGGTCTGTTGCTTCATGATGGCATAACCAAACCTGAGCTTTGGGCAGGATCTTGCACAGATTCAGCATAGGTGGGTAAGTGCATCGCGAAATTCGTCTGAGACCCTCGAATCCTGTGTACAGCAAAGTCACAGCCGGGTGTCTGGGTCAGTTCATGGTCCCAGCAAGCCCGATGAAACGGAAACTGTAGTCACGGAAGGTCAACTGAAACTTACTTCTGCTGCATCTAGCACGTTGAGCAGAGCATGTTTAGATGAGAGGACGGACTGGCTTTCTCTGGCGAGTTTACGCGAAAGTGAATCAAACTTCAGGCCTTCAGTGCCTGTATTTGAGACTCATAGGGACTGAGATCTGGCTTTAGGCCTTTCGACCCGCGCTGTAGGCACAGAAACGCATGCTGATCGGCGGAGGACTCGGCTGACACGAACTGTGACTTCATCTGGGGTTCAAGCAGCCTTTTAAACATGTTTCCGTGCTGCCAGATGCCGATGAATTCTCCAAGAGGGCCCACACTCCGAGCCCAAGCAGGGAGCGAATCGTTGGACCTCTCGTTGCCCGTTGGAGGCGTCTTGAACTTGGGTACAGTCGGGTACAGTAGCACAAGTGCGCTAAGGCGCTCTAAGCTGCGAGAGTGTCCGTAAATGTCGCAACCTGGTAGGCTCAGGACAAAACAGGTCCGATCAGTCTCATGGTCACCCGATCTGAGAGCAGCCCTAACCATCCCAAATGGTCTTGGAACCTTAATGGATCTGAGGCCTTTCGGCGTGGGTGCTGCAGAGATGTTTTCCAGCTTTCTCAAGCCCAGGGTGCCCGGATAGGAGGAGTGTGACGCACAGAGTTCAAACGGCTCGCATCAGTCTTTCTGCCATGCGCATGCTCTGTGCTTGGCATTGCTAGGAGGCGACAGGAGGTGATGCTGTTGGAGCAGTCTCGATTCAACAAACAAGAGTTTGGTCCTCTTGGATTTGTTTTTAGCACCGCCTTCGCTTGCAATTTCCGTCAGGCAGCAATGAGAAGAGCAAGATACCCAAGACTATCAGCTCTGCTTCGGTCCCTACTACTTGCCTCAGTTAAGCGATCATGCGACTTCCTGAAACATACTGTCCTCAGCCCGTCGTCTAGTTCACTCCAACGCTAGCCGCAGTGGGAGTAGCCGCAGGCAGCACTGATGGCAAATGACGGCACTATTTTCACTGCCAACTGCAGAACAGCTGTAAACAGCGCTTTTGCATTGTGCCGAGCTCATGTGGACCGATGAGCTTACGAGGCTCGGAAAGCGTTGCAAAGTGTCAGCCTCCAGATTGCCAACCTGAAGCACCAGCCTGTTGGGATTTCTCGGCAGGCGCTATGCAACGGCTGACGGCGCTGAAGGCCAGCTATTGTATGAAGGATATAGCTGTGTCCATGCCGTGTCGTCACCGTCTGCTCTGTCGATGACGAGAGTGATGTCAAGGCGTAGGAATTGCTGGTAGGGTGACTGGGCGTTCTGTTGATAGGGTTCTCTCTGCTCGTGCATTGAAGCACTTCACCAGTGCTTCGCCAGTGCTTCCCGACTGCTTCGCCAAATGCACGAACAGAGTCATGAGTTCTCAGCATCGCGAGAGGTTCAAAGCCTTCAGTCCTGCGACCCTCTGCGGAGGGGTCCGCGCTGCTGCTGCGAGCAGCTGCAGCCTGAGAAACTGTATGGGATACACGCCGACATGCCCAACTACTCGCTAAAATGTGACGGCTTTTCCTACGACACGTTCGGAAAACATTACCGAACTCTCCCTGAGAAGGACCCAGAGGTGAAATTCACCGTTCACAGAAAGGGGTGGGCCTTTGCGGGTCGGAGCCTCCTTGGGGAACGCATTCCGACGGCCTCGGCACCCAGGCGGCCTCCCTCCGTACAGAGGCCGTAGACGAAGGCCTTCGACAGGCGGAGAGGCGCGCCATCGTGTCCATAAGAAGGGCTACGAGACAGCAGTTTGCAGGCTCATTGAAAGGAGTCTATAGAGTCTAGCCATGAGGGCATCTCTTGAAGGATCATTGAAAGAAGAGGTCGAGGAAAATGTCTAGCAAGCTGAGGGCTCCGTCATCCGTGAAGCTCCCCTTCGCATGAGCCTACTGTACTTTCGCTGAGCCGAGGTCCCTGTCAGTTTTTCGGCAATGCGGTGACACTCGCGGGTCGACCATCTCAGCGGACAGTACTTTTTGAATTCCATAGTAGGTGTGACAGGTGTGACTTGAGATTCGTTCCTGCAAACAAAGTAATTGGAAGTCCCGATCTTCTCTTCAACCCCCCGAAAAAGCACAAGGCATCACGTCGCTGAAAATGGAGGGGGATTGGGCCGGGACGAAGGGAGGATTTCACCTCATGCACATGGGACGTAGATGCTCTCCATACTTCGAGAAGTTCGGAGCGTGACATATGTGTGAGTTGCTCCAATGCATTTTCCAAGCTGCGTGGCCATCTATCCTTGCATCCGCAGCACTCCTGTGGTGCTTTTGAGCTGGAGGTTCCTGGTGTACAGTGTAACAGGACGCGACACTCAAGGTGATCATGCAGCCATGGCCTGCCGACAGCGAGGAATTCGAAGACATGCTCTTCAACCAGGCCGCCTCTAGTGACCACCTCCGACAGCTCATGAAGTTGGAGGAAGAGGCGATGGAAAGATCGATGCTCGGTAGGCCCTTGGGACAGTTTATATGTTCCTTTATTGGGTTTAGGAGGATCATATGTAGGAACATATCCAAGAGGGGGCTCATCCCAGGATGAGAGCGCCGCGGGCTGACGTACTGGGCAGGCAGCGTGAGCAGGTACTCCAGAGCATGATGGGCCTGACAAACCGCTGCCAGCTCGACCAGGATGGCTGGTCCTGCGCCGTGTCTCTGCTCGACTCCTACTTGGCTTCCTCGGGCCATATCGCGCACGACATCCAGATGCTTCCGCTAACCTGTGTCGCAGTGCTCCGACTGGTCAAGAAGTTCCACGGCAACCGGGGCGTGCCTGACCAAATTGGTTCTGGCATGTGGCTCAGCATGGCCAAGCAAATGCTTCCGACCCTAGGCAGGCAGATAGAGTTATCTGAGACGAAGCTCGGACAGCACGAGACCGAGATTTTGCAGAGGATGCAATGGCAGATACAGGAGCCGCTACAGCAGCAGTGGCTCACGGTGTACTGCAGGCGCTTCAGCGCCCTGACTTCACAGAAATTTGTGCCTGCCATCGCCTGGGTCAAGCAGAAATCCATGTTCTTTGTCCGCTTGTTGCTCTTCGTGGAGGCGACTTCCACACGCAACCCGCCTCGGGAGTTCGCCCTCGGCATGTTCTGCCTCGGCCTGGCATGGAGACAGCTGCTATCACCGGAGTGCCTTGCGTGCCTTCGACCGGACGATGTCCCCATCTCGCACTGGAGCTCTGCCTTGCAACAGCTCAGCCTGCCCGGGCATGTCGAATCCGCCCCCTGCTCGCTCGTTGAGGCGTTACCTCTCCTGGAGGCGGCCACGGCCGCCAGCAGGTGCGAACTTCAGCAGGCTACACGCTGGGTTGTGCATAGATTGCTGGAGTTGCGTGCCAAGCACCCAGCAATGCTAGCAGCATTGAATGCGTCTTAGACAGGACTGTACCCATCCGTGCTCAAATCAGGATTGCTTTGCACTTCTGCTTGCATCTATATATGCATTGAGGCGCATGTTCATGTCGCCCTACATGAGGGTGATGTAGTATATCCCGTGTCGGGGTTCGACGGCGCAGCAGCAGAGCGAACCATTGCCACTAATTACCTTGTGAAACCACTCGGCTAGACTTCAGTCGGAGTATGTCTATATACATATACGCATTACATACTATTATGTGTGTATATGTAATATTTCTTCGACCGCTTGCTGAACTGGCTGCTGCTTTGTCCCCAACCCTCGGCCTTCCTTGATGCCGATTGGAGGCATCACATTGTGGAGAAGCCCAGTACGTTATCTCATCATAAACCGCCCTCATTTAGGGTTTAGGGTTTGGGGTTTAGGGTTTGGGGTGTTGGGCTTTCTGTGTCTAACATTTTGTTGGAGGCAGGGATCAACAGTGCCCTGTCCCCGGTGCTGCAGAAGTATTCTGACTCCCATTTGTCAGGATCCTGCAGCAGATAGATGAACTGTCTCACTGCCCACGTCAGTCTACACGCTGGGTTGTTCCAACCCTGCGATGCTAGCAGCATTGAATGCTGAAGACTGTACCCATCCGTGCTCAAATCCAGGATTGCTTCAACAAAGGAGCCGTACCAAGAGGCCTGGCTAGCAGAAAACCCCAGGTCCCTAGGGCCGGCTGTGATTCGTGCCGAGTCTGCCCAGGTGCATTTTTTGTAGATGCAGAGCCTCGGCACTCAGTAGTATATGTATATGTATATGTATGTGTATGTGTATATGTATATGTATATGTATATGTTCATGTCGCCCTACATGAGGGTGGTGTAGTCTATCGACAGCCTTGCACTTGCACTTGCATCCGGCCGGGGTTCGATTGCTCAGGGATTGGAGCAGCAGCAGAGCGAACTATTGCCAGACCTCTTAGACTTCAGTCGGAGTATGTTTATACATATGCGTACATTTAAAAATGATGCGTATATATATATATATATATATATATGTATAAGTGTACAACATGCCCCTCTAATATATGTTTCGGCTGCTTGCAGAATTGGCTGCTGCTTTGACCCCCAACCTCGGCCTTCCTGGATGCCGTGTGAGGGCATCACATTCTTGAGGAGCCCAATACCTTGCTTTAGGGTTTGGAGTTTAGGGTTTAGGGTTTGGGGTTTAGTATGCCACCTTCACATACTTTGTCGGACATATTTCTTAATCCAGACGCGTTGGGCTTCCTGTGTCTGTCGGCTCCCCCGAACCGCTCGTTCCTTGCACCTCGCTTGGAGCTGAAAACCGTGCAACTTTGCAGTTTGCGTAGAAAGACTTCGCACCTCGGAGCTCGCATTGTAGCTTCGCAGTTCTGGAGCAAGACTTACTTGATTCAGGCCCTAAACATGGAAGGCCCCCCTAAATTTTGTCTGTGATTTGAGCACCCTTTCGTGACATTGTTGAACAACCGGCTCCCATTCTGGAAGCTCCTCGTCAGGCCAAGAAGCTGCTCTGCAAGCATCTAGGATATCTAGGATATCTAGGTCCAGGTGGCTTAATCCCTCGTACACACCTCGCATTAGCCACGAGTCCGCATGAAACCCTGCCTGAAGGCCTCTGACTTCTGTTACACATCAAGCACTTTTCGTGATGGTGTCCCCAAGCGCCTTCGAGACACTTGCGTTTCACGGAACTTGCCCCAAGGCTCGCAGATGCCGCGCGGCTTGTTTCTTGCGCCATGATTCACCAGGCGCTTTAGCATTCTTCTCGCTTGTTGTGGCTTCCCAAGACCAATTCCTGAACTTCTCCACTTGCAAAGCTTGCTGGATGGACATCCTGAACCAGTTTCGCTCAGCTATGCTAAGCTGCTAAGCCTGCTAAGGCTTGCAGGGAAGAGCTGTAGGCTGTAAGACCTTTTAAGCAGTGGCGATGTTGCAGCGGGAGGACCGCCGGAAGGAGGCTGACCGCTTGCTTCGGGACGAGCCGCTGCCTCTGTTTGTGGCCGCTCTTTCCAAGCAGCACTGCGTGTGACAGAATGTAGCACAATGTGAGGCATCCTAGTGACTTTCCAAGGTTGGCAGTGTTTCAGACTTCGGCCAGATACACGTCAAAGTCCGCCGAGGAGAGCGTTCTTTTGGTGGAAGTAACCTTCCGCAGCCATCTTCTTGGCCGTCATGTCCTTCAGTATAGTTCAGTAGACCAGTGTGACCCTGCAAAGCCCATGCCTGGACTAATGGGAGTGACGGACAGTGGCGGAGTCTTGTTGCAGGCACGCATCCTACAAGCCCTGGCGGACGTTAGCTCGGACAGGCATCGTATATAACGTGTACAAGTTATACCGCTAAGCACATGCTGCGTGCACGCTGTGTTACACTGCAGTTTGACTTATCGCATAGAGATATCGCAGGGGATGTTTTTCATCTTGTTTTGGTTTTTTCGACACCGCATGAAAGCTGTTTGACATTGCTTACCAATCCAGCGAAGGCGCGGGCAGAAGAAGCGCGAGGAGGCCTTGAAATCTGCTCGGGCCCTGTCAGCTGAGGTGGTGACGGTGCTAGCGTAAGAGGGCAATGTGTGTCGATGCCGGAAGCTTGCACTACAGCCACTTCAGGCCGGACAAGCTCGCGATATGGCTGTAGATGAGGCGGACAAAGGCCCCGGCATGTTCCAAGTATCAATTGGTGACGCTGCTCCGCAAGTTTCTTGTGGGCACCTCGGCGAGGAAAGGCTCAGTATTTTAAGTTAGGCCCTAATTAGTGGAAGAGCTTGCAAGGCACCCGGTGTCGAGAATAGATAGCCTGGGTGATCATGCAGAACCTTTCGAGAGGCCTGGAGGCTTCTACGCTGGCAGTCATGGCCCAGTCCCTCAGATCCGCGGGTCTTTTCGGGAGGTTGCTCCGCAAGTTTCTTGCTTTCTGTGGCATTTGCTCAAAACCCCCCTTTTCGCCTCTTGCATCTTCTGGTTCGCACGTTTGCTGTCGCAATTGCTGTTGTCTTCTCAGACAATCACTTCAGAGGCCCACAATATCTGGCACTCCTAGCGACCCAAGGCGAAGATCTTCATCAAGTTCAAAGGTGTCGGTGCCTGAGCCATTCCGCGATGCCCCGCTAGCGCGACTCAGGACTCAGTAGGATTACGCAAGGCTTGGCCTTAGATAGATGCACTCTGTGGGAAGACTTCATTCTTTTGCATCAGTTTTTCCTTCCGAAGTATCTGCGCGACAGCCTGCAAACTGTCTAGGACCGCAAAGCCTGCAACAAAGAAGGGCATCGCCTGGCAACAAAGGCCTGTGGACTAGCCGTGCGTTGTTCAAAAGCTCCTTGTCTTGGACTTTCCATCAAGCGAACATGAGTAGCCTTTACGCCGGTCCGCGAACGTTGCTCTTGACTTTCTGAGATTCTGTCGAGGGCAACAGTTCTAGAGTTGCCCAAGCTGCACATTCCTAGCTCAAGTTCTGCCAGCTTCTGTGTGCAGGCCCTGGAGCTGTTCGACGAAATGCAAGATGTGCCGCTTGGTCTTCTGAAGCTTCTGTTTCGCAACATGTTGCGCAAGAGTCGTCCCAGAAACTTGAGGCGCGGCCAGGCAATTGCCTCGCCTTGGCCTCAGATGTGGCATCCGAACATCCGAACACTTGCTCGGAGAGGAAGATGTTTTGGGAGATGTTTGGAGCCTCAGCCGTTGGTTTTCCTGCGGTGCACTGCCCAGGCAGCACTCAGCCGTCGCGCAGTGCAACCTCCAGCAGTTTGTACCTGCACTGCAGTTCCTTGCCAGCATTGGGCCTAGGGAAGTTTAGGTCCAGGTCCAGACACATATAATATAGAGTATCAAATACACTTGTACTAGCATGACATGCAGCATGACATGCGGTCAGGAGCCTTCAGGCGGCGATCAGCTTTTGGCGCAAGAGCGAGGACTCAATCGCCAGATCTGCCTCACGTCTCACGCCCATGCCTGAACCCACCAAGAGACTCATGCAGGATGCCATGAATGAAGCGCACTGCTTGGTGATGATGGCCGAGTCCCTTTCCTGGCTACCTGTGCAATGTGTCGGAGTGAAAGAGGAAAGACGTACAGGTTCAGTCGAACTTCCTGCCCTCCCCTTCCCACAGTAGGGGAAAGGTCCTGTTTCGCGGAGCCGAGGGCAACAGGCAGTGTCAATACACTCCGAGGCCAACTCTGCAGGTCGAGGCCTGATCCGGGTTCAATCCCCGAAAGGAGGAACATGAGAGAGCCTGAAAGAACATGAAAGAACATGAAAGAACGGAGAGAACGATCGGGCGTAACGGGGAGCAGAAAAGAACCGCCACGAACAGTGCGAGGCAATGACAAGCCGTCTCTGGGAAAGCAGCAGTCTCATGTCGACTGGACCGAGGGAACTCCTCAAGAGTAGCGGCACCAGAAATTTTCGGCTGAAGACAGAACTCCTCGCCTCATGCGCCGTCGAGTGTGGGTTTCTGCCAATCTGTACCCTCTTTGACCCCAAGACGATGAGAACAGGAGAAGCGACAGAAAGTGCGCTGAAGGTCAAGAAAGTTTTGCTACCCGGCCATGGACGCCAAGGTGGCTTCTCCACTGGAACCAGCCGACAAGGGCTGGGCCAGCTGCCGACCAGGTGTGAACGTCAAACCGCGCTTCGCATATTGCCATGTCTCGTGAATTTTCATGTCTATTCGTACTCATAGATTCGTAGATCTTGTAGCTCCTACCAGAGCGGATTGTTGCCATTTTTAACGGTGTGGTGAGTTATATCTTGATTTTAAGGAAGAGGCTGCTGAAAACGTTGTGCGAGGCCTTGGCTCTCTACAACAGCCACGGCGTCGGTGGCCAACGTGCGACCAAAGCCCTGCAGCTCGCCGTCCGGGACCCAAGGCATCCAAGAGATCTCTCTCCAGAGATCTCTAGAGTCTCTAGAGCTGCTTCGAGCTCTCCGGATCTTTCTCCGCGTAGATTCGGCTTAAGCTACTTTCCAAGCATGCTCCTTAGTTGTAAAACGTGTGCGCGGCCGCGTGCCTCGGCCCGGCCCGAGAATCGAGAAAGCGCTGAAGCCGTGAAGGTTTGTCTATGTCTGTCTACCGGAAGTTCGGGATGGGAATCGAGAGCTAAAGTTCAGCTAAAGAGGCTTTGGGCTCTGGGTTGTGAAGCCGCCGTTGTCCTATGGGTCCCTAAAAAGTTTATGGGTACCGACTGATAATGAGACGTTTGGGGGAGTCCCGAGAGTCAGGTCCAAAGCATCTTTGTGCGGTAGGTCCGGTCAGATTTCAAACTTCTGGAAATGAACAACAGTGGGGCAAGGGGGGGGGATTGGAAGAGGGATGAAGAAGGCATTCTCTTGCAGAAGCACCTTTTCCGACTTTCAGTCCCTTCAGTTTCAGAGGGGCCTCTGCTCTCAGGTCCGCGCCCAGATCAGCAATGGCGAGCCCTGGCGGGCCATATGGACCTCCGAGGATGCTGCTTGGATGAAGCCACCGGAGACAGAGAGCCACGGAGAGCCACGGAGAGCCACGGAGAGCCACGGAGAGCCACGGAGAGCCACGGAGAGCCACGGAGAGCCACAGAGCATTAGCCGACTCATGTTCGAGTTCGCACCAAAGGCAGTTGCGCGGTCCCGCGAGAAGAAGGATCAGCGCAGCGAGGCTCAAGCGGAGACATCGGAGAGAGATGGGCTAGGCGGCTAGAATCGTTTTGACAGAATTTATGATGGGCAGTGTACCAATACTATCCCCGGTGGGAAAGGTGTTCCCACACGTGACGTCATGAACTGCAAAGACGAGGGATGGCCTGTTGTTTCTGCGAATTGACAGGCTCAAGCCCTTCTCTGCTTGGTCCAGAGCTGAGATCTGCAGAGCCTGAAGATGTCTCAAGGAATCATCGCCAGCCTTGCATGCTTCTGCGAAGATGACCAACGACAGTTTCATGCCAGCGCCACGCTTCTGCACCGTGCGAGGCAGAAGGTTACACCTGCTCGCCATCGGGCCGTGAGCAGCAGGAGGCACGGCTGTGCGCATCGGTTGAAGTGAGGGTGAAGGTGCTATCACGTGCTATCGACCCGATGTCAGACGCTTACAGCTGGCAAAACAAGAAGTCATGGTGACTTCCAGCAACAGAAGCCACAGCAGGAAACGACAGCTAGGTTAGTTGTAGTTTGAATCCTGACTTGCAATTTTTTTGCTCACTTGTAACTTTAGGCCACTGCCACGAAACATGCGGTTTTGGAGCCTTGAAATCGTGGCTGTTTTTATGGGTTTTCGGAGCTTGAAAGCGGCCCCATTCCACGAAACATGCGGGTTCGTGGCCCTGTCACGAGAAATGCCATCCAATCAGAGAGACGGAACTCTGCAAGCCTCAAAAGATGGCATGGTGGGTTTGAGCGCAAAACCTTCAAGTGCAACTTTTTATTGAATGGGAGATGTTGGGTGGTGTTGGGTGGCAAGCCCGAAGCCCTAACCCCAAAAACGGAGATGTTGGGAGGTTTTGAGTGGCAAGCCCATCAAGCCCCAAACCCCAGAAGGAGATGTTCGAGATGTCGGGTGGCGAGCCCTAAACCCTACAAGGAGATGTCTGGAAGCCCTCAGCCTTACAATGGCAAGCCTTAAGCCCTAAGCCCTTAAAGTAAGCAGACTTGGCCCAAAGCCTCAGAAGGCCAAGTTCATTTTTGCGACAGCTAAGTAAGGTAGGAAAAGCCTAAGAGTCAGAAGCAAACGACAAAACAGTCACAATTAACCGTGCGCCCCACAAACAGCTTCACGCCGAAGATTGCGGAAGTGCAAGTTTCGAAGCATGTCCGATGCATAGCAGCGAGTTGTCATATCTTGGGCCACCCCGCTACTGACCGCACTTATGTGCCTGCTGGGTCTGCCAGTCGCACAGCATGAGCGCATATCCCACCCTGCACAACCACAGCCCCCCGGCCCCCGACGGCACAAACCAGCCCGTACCGCTGTGAGTGGCGCTCATGACAGCTGGTAGCAAGTTCTAAAAACACTTAAAGTTAGCATATTCTTGTAAACAACGCTTTTTGTGCGCCTGCCACTACGATCACTCCTGGTTCAAAGTTGATCCGGTGAACGCCGCGCGGGAGTGAGGAAGGCCGCAACGCAAAGCGCAGAGGAGAGGCAAGCAACCAGAGGCTGACCCAGTCTTCGCTTGAAAGAGATCGGACGTGCTGAGAGCACCTAGCGCCTCAATTGGAGTGCCTTTTGTCATTTCTTGGCGCATGCTCTAAATGCTGGTCGGCCGGAGGCCTTGGCGACTCACCACGGATTGTTTCCAAGGATTTTGACTTTCATGCTTTTCAGGGTCGAGATCAGAAAGGACCAGGGGCGGTTCCGCTATCGGGACTTTGTTTGAGATGGTTTGAAGAGCTACGAAATCGCTACTTTTGTTTGGGCAATGTCGCTTCAGCTGTGGTAGCAACAACTTTGCTGCAGGGCTTGCCCGCTCCGCAGGCACCTAGCAGCACAAGTAGAAGACCTCCGCCAGAGGACTGCCACTTAAGGCAGAAGTTCTGTTTTCATTCATTTGGCGATGCCAGGCTCGAGAGTTGCCGTGCCGTCACTGCTTGCGAGGATGCTGTCGCCGCAATGCGAAAAGCTTTGCAGATAGCGAATGGGTCTGTGACTCGAAACGGAAGGATCCACAAAATGGCCTGATGATTGTGGCTTGATGTTGCTTGCAGACGGAAGTCGGAAGTAGATGTGAGAAGATCGTCCACTGCCGAGGCTTAATGATGAAGCTCTGGAAGCGGAGGCAAGGAGAGCGCGGGAAAGGCTTCTTGGACACGCGACGTGCGTGGTTAGGTTATGACAAAGCTCTCCTCGATGCATGTCAAGTCTGGCGCCCAGAACAAGACTTTTCCTTTTTCACTGGCGGCTTGCAACTGGAAAGGCACGGAGGATTAAAGGCGTTCGAGGAGTCGATTGAAATCAAAATCCGGCTCTCATGAAAGTGAGGCGGATAGAGATGGAAGAGGCCATCTTCGCAGCACATGACGCTTTGAGTCATCGTGACGCACGGCTCTCGCTGGGTTAGCACGCTGCGCTTTGCCACTTTGCTTTGCAGTGGAAATTTCGGGCGCGTAGCCTCAACAAGCAAAGGTCAAAGATACTGACGGGAAGGCAGGACATGCTTGGACATGGAGAGTGCACATCGAGAATGCACGTGGAGAGTGCACTTCGTGTACGCGAAGGGCAAACACGATTGTTACTGGTAGCAAGACTGCCTCCAAACACATACATGGCTACAACATTCCCGCAGGGCCAAGCGTTCCAGAACCTTGCCGCAGCGCACCTCCACAACAAGGACCCTGCGTGCAATGCTTCGAGACGCTCCTTGGCTAGAGGGCCAGCCCTCAGCGAGCATCAGTCCCCCGCTGGCTCCAGGACTTCGCCACGGCAGAAAGAGCTGCGCGAGCAGCCAGGGACATCTGTCGTCTGCCCAGTGAGGGGAACCTGTTGCTATTTCCCAAGTGTCCTGGCGCATCCTGATGCCCTTGCCCAGTGCATCTTTTCAGCAGTGTCAGGCCGCAAAGATGGGAAGTGGCAGGGTGACGCTGCAGGCATCCTGTCCATGGCAGAGGTCCTCCTCGTCGGGGCCCAAAGCTGAAGCGTGACGAGCGGGTGCTCTTGTGAGACGCTTGCGCGATCTCGCAAGCTGATGCAAATTGGAGAGCGTGAATTTCGTTTCGAGGCAGAGGCGAAGGTTGACGACGCAGTCGATCTCGCCAAGGAGGCGCAGTCGCTGTACAGCGAGCCGACGCCTCAGCAAAGATCGAAGCGACAGCGACTTCGCAGCTCGTTATGTCGGGCTGTGTTGGGATCAAGAACGACACGCATGTGGCTCTGGGGCTTGACATGGCTTTGGCTCGGGCCAAAGCTGACAATGCTGACATCTTTAAGTCTTGAAGCCTTTAAGCATCAAAACGGTTGCAGCATTCCAGGCACAGTGACCGCCGCGGCGAGGCAAAGGCGCTGAACTTTGCCACGGGCCCAGCAGCTTCTTTGGATCATTAGGCTGCCACAACTCTCAACTCAGAACCCGCATTACTGGAATACGGTTGGCTTCGGATACCTTCCTGCTGCTTCCTGATGGGTTCCCAGCATGTCCGACAAACACTAGTTCTGGGGCATGTACTCGGGTCTTCGAGTACAGGTGCTATGAGCTGTGAGGCTGAATGCCTCCAGGGCTATTTCTGAAGGCCAGAGGTCTGGTTGTTAGGTCAGTGGACGCACAATGCCTACACAGCCGAGGTGGCGAAAGCAAGAATGTCAAGCGAGGAGTACGAAAAGGCTTGTGCGACATTGCAGAAAGTGTTGTGGATGTACACTTTTTTTGCAGTTCAAAGGGAGTTCCTTCTCCCAGAGGCATGCTGCCGTTGCCCCTCGTCTAATTATGTATGATGCAGTAACTCTTGCTCTCAGAAACTGGTCCAGGCGTGCTTTGCTGCGGAGCGTGCTCACGAGTTGCTAGACTCCCAGGCGTCAGATTCTTCCATACTCACGCAGTCCTCTAAGGTGCAGGCTCAACAGGGTTGCGCAAAAGAAAGGTGACAGCTGTTTAGGTTGATCGCTGAGTAGGTGGTCTTGGCGGAACCGCGTGCCTCGGGCCGCTATGTAAGCACATCACATCAGCCGAACATACCGAAGGCATAGTTGGTGCCCAGGTTCTCTCGCATACGAGATGAAGAGGGCATGTGTGAAGCTCTTGTGCTCGCAGTCCCCGGCTCAGATGCTCCGAAATACGAGCCAATGCGCAGCAGACCAGGGAGTCCCATAAGCCCATAAGCCAAAAGCCTTTGAATGCAGCAATCAGGGCAAGCACAACATGCACGCGCACACCCACACGCAAGTAGGTCTCGCTGCGTTTGTTTCATCAAGTGGAGTTTCCAGGTTGTGAATCTGAAGTACATGTCATGTTCTTCATCCAGTTGCAGTGCACTCGTCAGGGTGAGACGTCGTGGGTCATGCAACGCACTGCTTGCTGTACAAAGGTCAGGTATGTCGCCTGGAGTGTTTCTTGATGTATAGCATCCTCCAGCTTGTTCGCGTACCGACTTGTTCTACGCAGTTCGCACCTCGTACGAAGATGGCATCGCCATCATCACGCTGGAGGTTGTGCTCTAGATCCGCTTACAGTCTGCAAAGACCAAAGGCAACGGCACCGACAGCAACCCGTGTCCCCGCCCTGCACGAAACTTGGGACAGGTTTTGGTTTTTAGATTTGTGCAGAAAACACAATCGCACTCTTGGAATTTTGGTCTCCCCGCACACACACACACACACACAGACAACGGGGCTTTGAACAGCCGCTTTCCCATGGCGATCATCGGCAGACTTGTTCTCAGAGACCAGTTCTGCCCAGGCCCGGTGCCGCGTTGAGCTGCTCCAACGGCAGCAGAAGCAAAGTTTGGAGCTCTGGAGATCTCTGGAGCGTTCGGGAAACGAAGCTGAACCTAGGCTCTCGGGCCGCTATGGCCGCTAGGGGTGTACCAGTGGTGTGCCGCAATGTCATGCCCCAGTGCCGCAAGAAGAAGACGTGTTTGGCTTAGGGCTCTTAAGGCTCTTAAGGCTCTTGAGGCTCTTGAGGCTCTTTGAGGCTCTTAAGGCTTAAGGGGAGCATGGTGAGCACAGGCCAAATGACCAAGCCCTGCTCGCAAACTCAAAGTGCTCAAAGCCCGGACTTAGCTTTCAACGCCTGACCTTCGCCGAGGCTCTGCGAAGCTTAAAGGCAAGAAATCGTCCTTGAAAGCGCCGCTGCCATGGGAGGAGCAGACTCTAGCCGGATCTGACCACTCTCTCGGGTTGAGATGTTGAACTCCGCCCAGCATAGTGTGGTTGCAAGTTGTACACTCATGTTCAGACAGCGCTAGACTCGCAGTTTGTTTGTGGCGCTTATCAACTTGCGACTTGTATCTCAGCCATTCCGGACACAATGTTGGCGGCCAGGATCTTTCCAAAGCATCGAAAGCTTCAACCCAGGCCAGCAGGGTCGACATGGGTCGACGTCTGGATGTCGAGGTATGCCGTTCAAGACGACCAGCCTGCACGCGTTGGACGGAAGCTGGGCACTGCTCCAGGACGTGTGCCATCACTTGCCAGCACTGTTGATAGGCAAGGGAGGCGGCCAAGAAGCTGAATGATCTCAAGGGTGAAGCGCCCGGACCTTGGAATCGGTGCTAGGTCCCAGGGACCGCAGTGCTTTCCGGAGTTCCGGGCGGCTCAGACAGCCATTGCAGACGGTGTGCTACCCGTACTTGAGCTTTCAGCAGAAACACAGTTTGCTGTGCTTGGAGTCTGGGCTGTTCGAATATGGATGTTGCCATGTCATGATCCTGGTTATGATTGCACCTGCAATTGCAAGAAGTACGGCGAGTTGCAGTGCCTTACCTACCTGCATCGTCAGGGCCGCCTTGTGCGCAATGGCCCAGATTTACATCTTCAATGGCTTTGGGCTCGGATGCGCGTCGGAGGCAGCAATCCTAAGAATCAGACTGCGAAAGCGAGTTTGACATCTGCAAAGTTTGATCCAATCAACTTTATGAGTAGGAGGGCTGACATGCATTAAAGGAGCTTGCACATGGAGCCACGACGAGAGATTGCTAACACGACCCCATGCGAGCACTGTAAATTTCAGGCGTTGCGGTTTTGGACTTCCGGGCTTGGTTCCTTTCGTGTATACTGGCGGAAAGGCGAGAGCAATGCCGCGGTCACATACCCAGGACGTAATGACGTCATCCGCTCGTCACCTGAACTTTGAGTCTGCCCAGGTCGACCCCAGCAGGAGATCTTCAATACATTGGAAGAGGCCCTCTTGGTCGCAGCCGAGGTGCCCGGGGGAATTCTGAGGCATTGAACAGGGAAAAGGATGCCATGAACCAAATCGATCAAATGGATCAAATCTGCCAGGACTTGCCGAACTCGCAGCTTGCTAAGTGAGGTGGTTGCTGCTCCCATGATCTGGCATGAGGCAGAGGACCCAAGAAGCGAGGGCACCGCCTTGCTTCTCCAAGCACAGCTGCACCTTGAGGCCGCCGGTAAAGCTTGGATCCTGATTTGACGCTGACATGCACATGTATGCACATGCCGAGCTTTGCAGAGCCTTGAGGGGTTCAGCGTTGCATCCTAGCATATCCTTGCAGCAGTCCTCAGCTGAACCGCTGAACCTGACATGTCAAGAGATAAGCCGGCTGCGAGTACGATGCGACGGAGTATCGGTTTGTGAACGCTTGTGAGACGTTTGAGGCTTTTGGGGTGTGCCGTGATCCGTGAGGCCTCCGAGCTACAAAGTGCGCTGAAAGCCGCGAGGCACACTGCGGGTGCACAGCCGCCTGTGGCATATCCGGAAGCAGTTGGCCTCGTGTCCGTCGTTTCCTAAGCACAGCTTCCCTTGTTACAATGAATTGCTTGCATCCTGTCTGGCATATCATATCGTGGATGCTGGTGCTGGTGCTGGTCCGAGTTGCCTGCATGACCACAGCCCGCAAGTGGACCCTGCATCGCTGGCATTCACTGCAACCGCAACTCCACAACGGTCTGTGTCCCTTGTGCGTCTCCGTGCAGGCAAGCGCAGGTCGTCATTGGCCGAGGCGGTGACGCAGCGCAGAAGTCACAAGTCGCAGTGACCTGAGCTCGGACCACCGCAGCACTAATCAGCAGTCACTAGCACGATGCTTAGCACGGTATTTGTGATTCTTGAAGTCACATGTGTCGAGAGGCACAATTTATGTGCTGGCTCGTGCAATTGCAGAAGCTATCCGGCTCGGCAGAACAGGTACTCAATCATTCCATATCTAGTTCCAGCCGTGCAAGGGTGGCCCAATCCGCAGGGACGTCTTGGATATCTTTAGGCCAAGACCCTAAATGTCAGGAGTCGATCCTCGATCAGCTGCGCGGACACGAGTTCCGCGTTGACGAGGCATCAAAGCCTCAGAGTCCTGTGCTTGAAGCGGACTTCCGTCTCCAGCTAGTTTTGCACCACATCTGGGCAGCACGGGGGTGTCACAGTGATCATTCAGAAGTGCAAGTTCACATGTCAGTTTCTACAAGAAGTCGCGACCAAGAGAACAGTCATGAGCCGGAGCCGGCCTCCAGAGGGCTTGACGAATCAGCCATCTAGGCATCAGCTGGACAAACCTGGCACGCCGGCCAGACTGCCGAGACAGTCCTTGTAGCTGCTTGTGCAGGCGCCTCGAATTGACCCTCGCATGGTCGCTGGGACCCTATCATGCTTTCTCAGGGCTTGTTCTCAGGTTTCAGGCTACCCTTTGTCAGGCCGGACTACCTGGAATCAGAAGTGCATGTGTCATGTGTGCACCAGGGCCAGCAAGTTCACTGCCGCAAGCGCATCCAGGTAGGGCAGATGGCATTGCCTGTGGTGTCCAGCCCCTATCAGATTCAAAGCTCACATGCGTACTATGCCATCGACACAGCCGGTTCCAATTCAACAAAACTCTGTTTACCCTACTCTGTTTAGACATGAGGGCGGGCCCGGATCCGGAGACCGTTCGGGCAACGATCCAGGAGGCCGGTTTGGCTAGCAGAGAGTTGCTTCAATTAATCTTTATAGACTTCTCGAATAAGGCCTGTGTTCAAGGCAATGCTGTCACAGTCCACAAATTAGTTCGCCTCAGCGCCAATCCCTAACGTGGCAGCAATAAGACTCGCAAGGCATTCAGGCTAAGCCCTAAATGCCAACTCCACGGACTGGCCACCAATGGCAAGGCACTAGAGCTTTGTGTTACAAATCTCCGAAAAAGCTTTCCGGGGTCTTCAAAGGACCGTCGGCAGTTTACAAGAGGCTAGAGGATAGGCTCTGAGAACAAAAGCCAGAAAGGTTGGTTGGCAGTCTATCGGCTCCCTTGTGCTGACATTCAAGCAGTACGAGCTCAAAAAACTCCTGGTTGATTTTGTTTCTAACGACCTTGAGCAGGTGACAAAGAAGATGGTGGGCAGTGGCAACGACATTGAAGCTGACATGCCCCTGATGGACATAGGCGCATCTTCTGCTTTGTATCCCAAGCAGAACAGCTTGTACTGCAAAGTCCCACCAGTAGCCAGTGTTGTATCAATGCGTGAAGCCAAACCAGGTACACTGTTGTGTCGTGTGGTTATGTTTTGTTGTTTATCAGCCATTGGCCTGGGCGGCAGGAATCAACAGCATGAATGCAGTGCTCTTTCGCAACAAACTCATCAGCGAGTTCAAGGAGACTGGAAGCTGCCGCATGGTCACAATCAGAATCGAGTGGCTGGGCCTTCTGAGGATGTTGAGCTGCCAACAACCCTGGTACACGCCTCGGAGAACCTCACCGCCAAGTTTGCCATTACTGTTGACTCATTGTGATTCGCGTGCTTACAAACACGGATTCTGACGCATGCCACGCTAACAATGCACATCATGATGTGCGTACGAGGTCTTTGACTATCCGACGGTCAAGACGCTGCCGCTTCCTAATTTTGCTCAACCTTGCGCTTTCAGACTTTGAGCCTGTGAGCCAGACAGACCGTGACCTTCTGCAGGTCAGGGCTCGTGGTGGAGCAGGTCACCCAAGCTGCCACAGATCGGACCTCATTTTGTTGATATGACCTGTTGGTGGTCTCCTCATGGCCCCTGCCATCCACCGCATGTCTTAGCCCCGAGGCGGCGCAGCAGCAGGCCATGGCATCGATGGCATCGATGCCTCTGCAAATGGCAGGGCAACGTGGCATGAACTAAGGATCATGTTCATGGGGCACTGCGTTCACCTTGTGTCCTCTGTTTCATTCTGACTCTGAACTGCCTAGAATGCAGCTGTCTCACTGTCATTGTTTCATCGAGGTATCCCGCTGTGCCACAGCAGCCAGGCCTTTACCGGTCTCCTGAGCTAAATCCATGAACCATAGCAGGTCGTAGCATAGCAGGCCATAGCAGCCTTCTGCAGACTGTGGCCTCTGCTCCATACAGACCTCTTGACCATGCGGGGACCTTCCAGGCCCTAAGCTCCTTTCATAGCTTCCTGTGCATCAGCATTTGAACACGTCGCCTCTGAAGGCGTGTCTCCGCTCGAAGTTGCCTCAAAGATTCAGGAGGCACGGGCTGTAGGGGCTGGGGCTGCACCTTGCAAAGGACCTTCAGGGCTCGATCTTCGCTGACAGCACTGCTAACTTCGGCAATAGGACCTGGCACGGTTTCATAGCAAGGCAACTTTGAACCACAGGTATGTTACACTGTGACCCTTCTGTCAAAAAAACATGCGGAAGTGTGCTTTATGTCAGGTTACCAGAGGCATGGTGGGCAGCGACCGCGACATTGCCGCCTGGCTGAGAAATGTGGATGCAGTCCGGCATGTCGCACACCTTTGGGGAAGTATTTGACTTCTATCTTTTTGTACTTTGGCATGCGAATGCATTTTGTTTTCCAGCGGTCTCCCGTGAGAACTGTTTTATGATTGGTCCGGATCCCTCAGGACGCAGACATGCCGTTGATGGACATAGGCAGGCGGCTGAACGATGCTGAACGTTCTTAACTGAAGTACCGCAGTGCCGTGATTTTGTAGGCCAAATGCTGCAAAATCCTCCAATAGCCTTCGTTCCGACAGATGCCCTGCTGTTGCAATGTGAGGTGATATCAGTTGGAAAACTAGCAGAATCGCTGCTAGCACAGCTTAAGATTCGTCAAGAGTACGGGATGAGATCTGAAGCGTATAATAAATGTAATCAGTTTTCGCGAATCCAGCTAGCCTGATCAAAATGCGTCTGCCAGCAGCTGCCTTCTTTGGTGGTCTGTCGCTCCCTCTCAGGCATCAACAGCATGAATGCGGTGCTGCTCCTTGCCTGTTGCGGATGTGATGGGTTTAGCTTCCCCTTTCTCAGGTTGAGGTCGTTGGAGTTGTTGGATGGTCGGGTCAAACTGCCGGTTCTGCTATTTAGTTTAGTACGTGCGGTCCACTTGCAGCAGTACGAGGTCCTGCTAGGTCATTCTCTTTCCATGGAAAAACTCAACCAGAATGCCTCCCGAGGTTCCGGAACAAGCTCGGTAGCGTCTTTGAAGGTGTGGAGCTGCCAAACACACTGGCCCACAGCTTGGTTCAGAAGCTTTCAAGTCAGCAATGCACACTCATGACTTGCCGGCCGAATCCCAAGTTCAGTCTGCAGCATCGAGCGCTTTCGTGCAGACCAAGTGCTGACCGTGGAAGACGCCTGTGAGGAGACGCAGCAGCAGCAGAGGGCGGAGGCTTAGACAACTAGGACTCTTTTGACAGAGCGACCCCAGGCGAGCTCTGTTGTGAGGAGGTAATGGGCCAGGGGGCCAGGAGGGCAGCCCTCATGGGCTACACCGAAATGTTTCCTTCCTGCGCTGGGAGGACCCGTCCCTGGCAAGAGCCCACGCAAGAGCCCACCCAAATGACTTGGCCTGAACTATTCCCTCAGGCAGCAACTGCTTTTGAACGAACAGGGGACACCAAGGACGCTCCCCAGCATGCCGATGAGCAAATTTCTTACGAAAGAATGGGCTCGAACTCCTGATGCGGGTTGAGTAAGAGAATGGTGTGGGAACCTCATGAATGTCTGCATAGCGGACGTTGCGGCCAGGGACCACGCATGCCCGAGCCTTTGATTACCGCGGGGCAAAGCGCACAGACGGTGGCAGATTGGGCCCTGGAGGCCCAGGAGGCCCAAGAGGTTCAAGGACGCCCTTGCCCTTGCGGAAGCAAACAAAGCACGCGAGGAGGATCATTCATCAACACAAGGTCATGGTGGGCTCATGCCTGGGCACCTGAAGAATACGAGACCAAAGAGAGCCGACCGCTGCAGCTTCAATCGTAGGGGCCAAGTCGTATCCGATTCGAGCATGTCATTCATTGTCTCCGTAAACCAGCCATGTGATGAAACGGAGGGTTGCTTCAAAGTCGAGCAGACGTCTTGTGATTGAAGCGGAAGTCTGCAGCGTAGACCGACATGCGCATGAAGAAAAACCGGACATAACGTCGCACTGTGGATGCATCGAAAACCAAATTCGGAGCAACGTGAAGTGTGGTGTCAGGCGGATTATTTTGTTTGTGTGTTTCTTTGTTGGTTGGGTGTGCATGCTTGCTTTGGAGTGAACGACCTAGCTTGCTTGCCGAGTTTTCTTTCTGGAATATCTGTTTTTGGCAGGTGTGAAATGGGGGTTTCTGGGGATGGGGAGAGTTGGATGTCCATTCCAAGTTTTATGCGCAGTCAGAGTCCGCCGGGCGCCTCGACCATCCAGCACGCAGCGCGAACCCTGCCGGCGTGTCCCGATTGTCACAAGTACCTGGAAACTTGGAACCGTTGGCTGTTTGTCTGAAAACGTGCCATTGCCAGCATTGGCGCAGCGGCGGGGTAGAACATTTCGGTATATACATGTCCGTAAGGCAACAACAATCAGAAACGATTTTGCAAACAAGGCAGTCAGAATCAACACGGCCTGATCCGATTACATTCAAATGCTGGAGATTTTGTTCGAAGCATTTCGAGGGCGCGTGTCGTTTTTTGTGCTTTCGGACCGCGGTCTCCGGAAACCCATCCGGCATCGGCAGACTCGACCATGTTTTCAGCTGTCTGATGAAGCTTGGTTAACTGTCGTGCGGCCCAGGTGTTCGACTATCCCACGGTCAAAGACTTGTCCGAGCTTCTGGTACAGCTGACAGCTAATTAGCTGCTAAACCATGTATTGAACCTCTTCATCTTTGAATCCCGATGCCGAGAGTTACGAAAGTGACCATAACAGCATGTTCTGGATTGCCAGTGTGCAAAGTCTTCTCGTCGAAAACAGCGGCAATCTCGCCCTTTAGGCTCAGGCTTACTCGGCTTATGCTTCCGTCGACAAAAGCCTGACGATGGTTTGTGTAGTGGGCAGGCTTGCCGTCTGGGTTCGTTCAAGCAAATGACCAGGATGAATATATTCGTACTTGCCATGCTTTTCCTCAGCCATTCAAGATGGAACCGATACAGCAGCCTGACGTATCTTCTTCGCGATGACGTGTTAACGGCGTGGCGGAAACGAGAGAAGCATGCAGACATGGTTCCGACTCAACCCTACTAGCAATTCGACAGTCATGTCTCTGTGTGTGTGTGCGTGCATCAGGTTAGAGGCATGAAGGTACGTGGGGTCCGAACAGATCAAGCTCGAAGCTATCTGTGGTCTGAGGCTTCAACATGTTAAGCATGGCGCACTCTGTTACCCCCGGCCATATCCAGCAGCTGCTGCATCTCGATGCATTCAGAATAAAACGCGATGCAGCCTTCCCACGAACAGTGGAAATGAGGCACCTCATGTGCAAAAACTGAGTGCCGTCTGTACCTCCTTATCATTCATATCCAACCTAAAAACCCCTGAGCCCACGCAGTGAAGACTGAAGAGGTCCCGAGGACCAGTCTACGATCCAGCATGCCCCACGCATTTCTGAAAATAGTCCCATATGGTCCCTCTTCTGGCCGCTTGCGAACTTGGATGGCGCCGCTGACGAACCCTGCGCAGCAGTTCGCTGAATTCTTCTGGCGAGGGGAAGTTCCAGAGTGTCAGCTTGATGTGTGCTGCCGAATCTTTCGTTTCTCGATTGCAGGCTGCACTTGCTTTCTTCTCCACCGCACTTGCTTTCTTGTTCCCCACCCATATTAATTATATTGTATTGGTATATAATGATAGTTCTCCCCGCCTCTCCAGGGTAGAGATCTGCATATTTAAAATATGCAAAGACATATGTGCTAACTAACTTTGCATTCGCGGTTCATATCTCGCGGAATCTTGAACCCCATGGCACTCGGCTCAGGTCATGAAGGCAGGCTGAGTGCCGATCTCGACCAGTTCGAGCCCAAGGAGTCGGCTCTTAGGATCGTTGGGATGTCAGTTGGGGTAGGGTTTAAGGGTACCAAAGTGCCAGACTGGAGGCTCCTGGTATCCCCTTCACACTATACTCCATGCTAAAGCAACAAATCAAGAGAACAGAGGGTCCAGCTGTCCTGGAAACCCAGAAGTCAGGCTGGGATCGACTTTCCTCTCTCTGTCTATTGACCTCGACGATCCTGAGCGGCCGGACCGGAAACTTTGCAACGACAAACTCATCGGACTTTGCATTTTTTTCGGCTATTTCTTGCAAAGCGTGTGCCTTTTGCAGGTAGTTCGAATGACGCCGTACGGACCCGCATTAAGAAGGAAGACTCCAACATTGGTCCAACATGGTACTCTCCGTAGGTTTTTGTCAGAAAACTTTCGGCCAATGAAAGAGCCTTCTAAGGAAGCCCTTCGTCTTTGCAACCGGCCCCGATGGTTGCCATGCGCTGCTTGCTGACTACGGCAGAGACAAAGTGCGTGAAGCTTGACCAAAAAGCTCCCGAGTCCCCGACAAGTTATAAGTTGTGACAATTTGTGACAGTTGTGGTGTGGGGATTGTACATCACGTCTTTTGTATTCAGGGACTTACGACCAGCAACTCGGCGCTTAACCAGACGGCCCACCCAGCCGAGACAACCGTCTAGGTAAGACAAAAAGTTAAACAGTTAAGGTCGCTGCAGACTACTAGAGGCGGTGGGGAAGGGTGGTACATCCGCCGGCTGTACTGACTCGAAAGCCCCCAAAGCCGTGCTAAACGGGCTCAGCGCTATCCGAAGCCTACATGACACAGAACACAACTCACTGAGGGTTTCATGGTGCATCTGGGCCTCGGTGAAGCTTGGATCGACCACGTCTTGGAAGTGGACAAGCGCCGGTTCTCGATGATTGTGCTGCCGCTGGGATGGGAGGCAGTGGGAGGTTTGTATTCTTGGGTCTCTTGAGTTTGGTGGGGTCGCATCGGTTTCGACAGGATTCCACATAGGTTGAGACCAGGAAAGGATACGATGAGATCCATGGTCGGTGTGGAATTTGAGACTGAGGTGGAAGAATGGTTCAGGTTTGAGCCCCAAACTACCCATCACCGTTGCATTGTTGTGGTTCTGGGGCCTCAGGGGGAGGAGCACGAAGTGGCAGTGCCTGCCGGCGTGTCGGCGACCTGGGATGGACTCCTGCAATGTGTTGGCACCGTACCTGGTCTCGCAGACTATGTTATCAGGCACGCTGGGCTTCAGGACTAAGTTGACTAAGTTCTGGACTGCAAGGAGGTGAGAATCGGGACATCGACTGATAGGTTTCAGAGCCTTCAGGTACCTGTGAGGGCAAGGAGGCAAGGGCTTGGGAGGATGACGCCGGCTTAACTGTACCAGGTACCACAGAAAGGGATGCAACGGCAAAGGTACGCTGTGTAATCTGACGCGCCAGGATGCGCCAGGTGGAAGTGCAGTGCCAGGTAGCGTTGCCTCACTCACACTCCCCCACCAGGTATGGAGATGACTGCAGGAGGACAGACATGGCCAGCTTCGTGAGAGGGGAGGAGTTCCTACAGAAGTATGAGTCCATCGAACGGGTGGAAAACTGCGGCCTGGAGGACCTTTGTGGGTCTTCATGCCCTACAACAGGGACTCTATACCACACTTCCATTTGCTTTGCTTTTGCACCTGAGGCCTGGCAGCCCAACCCGAAATTAGAACTCCAGCTGCCGCAACTTACTCCCGAAACGCTGAGATGTCGAGCTCCTGCACGAAGTCTCTGAAGGATGCAGTCTCTTAATCTCAGCAAGTGCACCTAGGCCTCCTAACCTGTCCTAACCTCACTTAGCTCTGTACTCCAGCACCTCCTCCGAAAATTAGGGCGTGTCGGCTAGGATCCAGTCTATCTGACCCCTGGCCGTTTTCTGAAGAAGACCGAGCGCACATTTGTGGACTTCCGCATTTTGCTGTGGACCTGGTCGCAGGGCGAAACCTAGACTTGTCCTAGGCTGCATGGTCCCAGTTGAAAGAGTTCAGGGCGGCCGTTCTGGTCTGTGAGCCGTTCGCGACTGGATATTTCTTTGTTGGTTCAAGGTTTGGGGCGAGCCACTGCTTCACGGGGGATGGCATCACCCAAGATGAGAAAGGCATCAGGGGCAGCTCTGAGTATTTCATCCCCAACCTCGCTCTGAAGGACCTCTGTCCTAAGTTGAGAGGGTCCCCTTCTTCTTCGAACCAATAGATTCAATAGATCCTGGTGTGTAAGCCCTTGGTTGTGACATGCCGTCAAGTCAGTGGCTGGCGTGGCTCTTTCATGCCTTTTGCGCATTCCCCCCGCTGCAGGAGCTGGTGCGGGACAAGGGTGCTGCCTTGCTTCCGTTGACGGTGCGGCTGTCGAACGGCAAAGACCCAGACGACTCATGAGCCGGCCGTACCCTACGTTGCCCTACATGCTTGGAAGCTGCCCAAGTCACCCTGAACAAAAAGGCTCAGCGGCTCATCATGCTGAAAGCTGGCGTGAGGCACTTCTCATCCTCACTTCTCTCATCCCTAACACAATGTGGATATTGACGAGACCGCGTAAGTTGTAACAGGAGCTAGTTGGTGTGCCCGACGATGTACAGGCTTGCCAGGTCTTGACGGCTTGCAGTAGGACGGAAAACAGAGTTGTGCCAGGTCACCGCGTGTACACCGTCACGACCCTCCAAGGGGCTTATTGCAGGTTCTTGTACGCTTCTGCGTTGCGCATTTCTCGGAAGGCATATGGGCCGTATGGGGTTGTACGAATGAAGGATGAAGTTCGTGAGTTCACGACGATGGCTTCAGAAGTTCCAGCAATTTCGGGCACACCGTCGTGCACGCAAGTTCGCCCCACCTTGTCAGGGTCGGGGCACGTCGATAACGAACGTCGATAGAAAACTGGATCCTTGAGATGAGTTGTGGCGATGCTTGAGATTGCTTGAGCTCAGAGGAGATTTTGGACACTCACGTGCCGAAGAGCAGGGGGGACATAGCCGGGCATGGATGGAGGATGGAGGCTCAGTTCTGGATAAATTGTGCTAAGGCACAGCACAGGCACAGGCTGTGAGGCTGCGACGTGAGAATGTAAGGGTGGTTTTTTTCGACAGCCCCTACCAATGCCAGGCTCGCTTTCGCTTTTGTCCGGCCCGCACATTGATGGCCTACTGAACATGAGCTTGCGAACGTTGCCGTTTCGGCTGCAACGGTGGGGCGGTTGTGCCATCTGCGAGGGCGAGGACGCCGGGTTCTTACTACATGTCTGCCTTTAGGCTCCCGCTTAAAATGTGTTTATGCACCTTTAAGTCGGGGTGCCGGCGGGTGCACCCTAGAGAGGCCTGAAATTGACATAGCACCCTGCTGTTTTTGGACGGCCTTTGATGAGTGCGGCGTGAGCAGCTGTGATTCTTTCAGCTCAGGCCATTGCCATCATCGCCAATAGCGCAGAGGTGTGTTGTAAGGAGAAGTCCGTTTTTGCCAAGCCCTCAGATGTATGGTGGTTGCATGTTAGCCGCAGCACAAATTGCGACTTGGCGATGGTATGGTGACTGATGCGGGGCTCGGGCTTGCTATGCCTCAGATGAGAAAGAAAAGAAGGCTTCAGTTGATAGCAAGACTTTCGCCAACATCCTACGACTCGCACAGATACGTTGCAATGGCTGGTGCATGCTGAAGCTCGCATCAGCACTGAAAGCTCAAGGCACCTTGCTAAAAAGCCGGGCCACTGTTGACACTGAGGAGGCCAGCAGACATGCCGAAGTGTTTGGTAGGATTTCTCTGCCGGTTGCGCCACTCGCTTGCGGAATCAGTGACTCAAGGCATTGGCTTGACCATGCTCATGCACTGCATGTACCGTCTTAGAATGGAGATCCCGACAAAAGGAAGCCAGAAGTTGCCGAAACGGATCCGAACTAGGCGGCTTTATCTGGCCTTCTGCTTCAGTGCTTGACCCTCTCACTTCGCAGGCATGTCGTACGCGTACCTCTTCAAGTGCGCTTGATTGTTTCTGATTTCAGGGGGCTCCATTGGCCAGTCTGAAGCCGGAGCAAAACACTGGCGATACAATTGCTTCGTGAGCAGTTCGTTCAGGAAGTCTTTGGATCCAGCCTGGACTCTGAGCTTCCAATCGTAAATCCAGGTACATCATCATCGGTGACACGGGCGTTGGGAAATCCTGCCTTCTGCTTCAGTTCACGGACTGCTTGAGAAGCTGAAGCATGTGTTGGCCAGTTGTGGTTGTGATAGCATTGTCAAGATCTTGTGGAGCCCTGTTGGCGACACTGTGCACATATGCGATCAAAGACGCCGAAACATGTACAAGGTTGTACGACAGGCAAAAAGGGGACGTGTGGAGCCGTGCTCTCAGCAGAATGGCGGCGACCGGAAAACGCAAGCGACTCCCCCACTTCAGAAGGAAATTGGAAAACATGCTCTCGGAGAGCATCGGGGCCCGATATCAGTGCTCACGGAGCTCAAGTATTCGAGAGTCATCGATATGTACGAAAGTCCCAACTCTCTCTCAGCAACAATGTGGATTTGAGTTGTTTAACTTACTGTTTAGACATGCTGAGACTGCAGGCATGCGAGGGGCACATTTGACCGCTATCTTCGCTTAAGGGCCTTTCCACGGGCTCTCTCTCTCTCTCTCTTTCTTTTTTTCTTTGTTTTTGTTTTTTCATTGGGGGGTGGGTGGGGGGTGGGGGGGGGGGGGATGTCCAAGGAGAGTTTCGAGCTTTGTGCCCAGCAGACAATCAGAGCTGAACTCTGCTTGTACACGCTCCGCTGTGGTGAATGTCAGGACAAGCGATTTCGAACCGACCACGACCTGACCATTGGAGTGGAGTTTGGCAGGGCGCTTGAACTCCTGGGACTGAAAAGCAAAGTCGGTGCTTGGTATGTCGGGACTGCATACCTGAGCCTGGTGCGAAGCCACAGCACTTCAAGCTGATTAACGTGCTGGTTTCAGGTGCCCGGCTCATCAACATTGACAACAAGCAGATCAAGCCATCTGCTCGGATGGGAAGTTTAGGTTGGATGCAGGGTTGAAGGGATGAGATCCGCAGTTCTGAGTCACTGCAGCTAGGATATCTGTCAAGGATCCAAAAGGCAGTCTTTGGGCCGTTACTGTATGGTTTTCCTGACATCAGAGGCAGAGCTTTCAGTGCCGCGATAATGCCAGTGATCCAATTTGCGCACAGAACTGCGAAGACAGTCGAGGCTTCAGATCTGGGACACAGCGGGCCAGGAGTCTTTCCGCTCCATCACCAGGCATGTCGCCGCGTGTCGATTCGGCATTCGTCGACCCTTCGCCCACCCAAACTCGAGATCTCGATGCTGTTGTGGGCTTAGCACGGTATAGCGGTGGTTAGCGGGTCGCACGTGGTTTGTTGTGAAGGCCTGTGTCCCGCAAACACTACAGGCCATAGCTTCCTTCCACCCAACCTTTGATGGCGTCTTCTACAGCTGCTCCCGACCTGAACCCCCTCTGATATGAAGCGGATCACTGTGAATCTTGCCAAACCCATTGTTGTCACACATCTTTTTGCGCCTTTCAATGCCTGCAAATCTGTTTGTGTGCCGCCAACTTGAGCGTGTCTGGGAAGGTCCAACCACGACTTGTGTCCGAATGTGTTTTGCAATGCGCAGGTCTTACTACAGAGGAGCCAGCGGCGCCCTCTTGGTCTACGACATCTCGCGACGTGACACCTTCAACCACCTGACACGCTGGCCGCAAGCTTGGCACCGTACCTTGCAATCTAAGAATTTGCCAGTGGAAACATTGCAGCCTGGAGGCTATAATCTTCATAATCTTCATAGTCTCGATACCCCAAAGTCTAACCCCACCAATGAACCTCCAGATTCTTGCCGTTTGCCCGCGGTGCCTGTTTTTTGGGTTGCGGGTTTCTAGCTGAAAATCCCACACCCATCTTCTGATTCATCAAGGTTGGAAGAGGCGCGGCAGAATGCCAATGCAAACATGGCCTGGACCCGAGCCTCCAGATCCCTTTGACTGGAAAGTCCAAGTCGGCATGGTGCATCCGTTTTTTGGACCGGAAAGGGAAGGCGAAATGGTGTCTTTTAACTTCAATATATGTGTATGACGATAGCCATGCCCTTCTGGTGCTCTGCCAGCTGCCAACGGCCCGCGGCTCGATTTCAACGTCGAATGGTGAGTGTCCGTAAATCCCATTTCGTTGCGTGTTGCCAGCCAGGTCATCATGCTCATTGGCAACAAGTGTGACCTTGACCGACGCGAGGCAAGCGGTGAGGGGTGAATTCGGCTGTGAGCGAAAAATTCAGGTTGACTCACAGCGACTCATTAGTGACTCATTCATTTGTCCATCCACCTGCCGGCTGTCAGGTCACTTATGAGGAGGGTGCACAGTTCGCTCGAGATCACGGACCGGAGCTTACTCCCTGCAGATGGGTGTGCTATGGTGTGCTTTCGTGTGCTCGAGAGCCCGTCCGGATTGCAGTTTCGGGATTGCGTGGTCGAAGGGTCGGCTTCAGCCGATCCGACTCAGGTATCGGTTGACCTAATAGTGCAGTACAGTGTGCCCCAAAATGAGTTCTCAGATGCATCGCAGTAAGGATTGATTTTCAGAGAGACATCAGCAAAAACGGCGCAGAACGTCGAGGAGGCAGGGGCAACGCTTTCTTTTTAAATGTTGGTTTCTGCTGACTGCTTTCGTCGTGTTCCTAATGGCGTTCGGCCGCCATGTGACGTAGTTTGTGCGATGTTGATGATGTTCTCCGCTCCTGGCGATTCTCAAGCTCCCAACCGTCGGCTGGATGTTGCCGATGGAGCCATGCTGGCAGGCCTTCATACAGACGGCCCGCAAGATCTACGAGAATCATGGCCTTAACTTCGTGTTGCAAATTCAATGAAACACGTGCGGAATTTGACACATGACATGTTATTACATGTTATTCCATGCCAACGAGCAAGCGAACACCAACATGCTTCGCTTGTGTGTATGTGCTTGCGTCTCCAGGGATGCTGAGCCTGCTAGAAGTGTGCTGCCGAGGAATATCCAGAACAACGTCTATGACTTGAGCTCAGAGGCTCGGGTGGTGGCGTCACCACGTGTCTGCTGGGAATCCTTTTCCTTCGGACTTGCCTTGACTGCTGTCTGCTGCTGACACTTTCCATAGAATGCCATAGAAGCTGCCAAAGCACTTGATCCTTGCCTGTTGCTCGGGCCCTGCAGAGCAGCGGAATCAAAGTCGGCATGCCGCCCACAGGCACGCCGGGAGCATGCATGCTTGGTTGCTATAGAGCTTGGATGATTTGGTTGATGAATTAGTCTTGCAGTACTCAGTCATTTTAGGAAGTTTCAAATCCTGTGGACAAGGTGCAAAGGCTGTTAGTCTGGCACAGTGGGATCTTCAAGAAATTAGATAAGCTTCTTGAGGTCGCGACTACAATGTAGTGACTACAAGTCTGGCTGTGTGTGTGTGTGTGTGTACCTGCCGCCTTCGTTCAGACAAGAATCAAAACAAGCATGATGTCGAGGGCCATGAGGGTCATGGGCTCACAGCATCTTGTTTGTGTGGAAAAAGGTGCTGTGCGTTGCTGTCTGTGTGGAGTGTTCCTAGTGTCGCCTCCGGGATCGACGGACAGATTCCCAACGGCCCCAGATGACATGCTTTCTGACGCATGTTTCTGTACTGAGCTCCCTGGGCTGTCCTAGGGTTGAGGCGATCAAGGATGTTTAAGGCTCGTGCTGCGATGGTCATTGCACCTTCCAGACTGTATTGACGCTACTTGTACAGTATGTGCTGAGTACAAGCGTATGGATTAGGCGCTGGCTACCAACATGGGCCACCACGGCTGGATGGTCGTCAGACGGGCGGCTGCTGCAACTGAGAAGCGTAGCCGAGTAGTTTCTCGTCAGTTCATGCTTTGAGAGACTTGCCTCCGCGTCTAAGCATTGCAGCTACAGAAGAACACGGCAACTTGTACTTCGCTATGTTCGAAGATTTGCATCCTACATCAGTTCTTCATTCACCCGTACAGCCCCATACAGTACCATACGTTCAGAGAGTCGACGTTGTGTCGCGAATTCGAGTGAGGCTGTGAGGGCACCGCACGGGCGATTTACAGGCCCAGGCAGGTTCGACCTCAGCATTTCCAGGAATTTGAGCGCAACTGGAGCAACCCGGCTTTACAAGTTCAAGTTGCAAGAAGTTGCAGGGTTCCATGGAAGGGCCTAGGGGTCTTAGGCTCCACAGCGCTCGGTTGAGATCAGCCCTCGTCTTCGTTACCAGCCTCAAAAAGATAACCGTGAGGACCCTTTTGCCAGGCCATGCTGCGTTTCCCAATTTTCTGGGACACATAGACTTAGATAAGCCACATCAAGCCTGTCCGACCTAGCTGTGGTAGTGGCAAGGATGCCCAAAGTGTAGAATCGGGCACCAATAGCAGAAGCCTGAGGGGGTCATCATCAAGTCTCACGCGATGTGGGCACCAGCAGCCAACATTTCGACAATGGATGCGTCGACGAGCTGCGTATCGTGTGAAGCAGAGGTAGGCTTTTTTCAGCTTGCAGCCCACATGTATGGCCTTGGTGTGCCCAAAATTGTGCATTTATCACCAAGCTCGCGGACGTTTCTAGTGCTTCGCAATTTGGGCTCTGGCCTGACTTCAAGCACAGCCCTACATAGGTGAGCTCGCGCCTTACGTTGTAGTGAGGCAGGGCGATGAGTGGCAACGAGGAGAACCACAAGCCATCACAAGCCATGCAGTTCCCGAGGTGCTCAAACCATAAGTTGCTGACAGTGCACACTTGTGGCTCTCTTCACTCCATGGCCACGTGGCAGGCACAACCAAGAAGCGTTGTGTCTGAGATGGCACTTGTGAAGGTGGTGGGGCCATGAGCCTTATAGCGTGGCTATGCTTAGATGCCTGACTAAGCTCCCGACTTGGGAGATGCTATGAGATGCTACTGCAAACTCTGCAAACTCTGCAAACTCTGCAAACCACTCAATGTGGCATGGGCGAGGCATAAGTTCCAGTTCTTCCCACCTTACTCAAAACACAATCACATACAATTCATACAATCACATGCAATCACATTAGACCTCAAAGGAAACACACAGCAGGCCTTGCTATCACCTCTTGCGTGGATCAGGGGACAGAGGAACAAGGTCAGGCCCCACTGCCTGCATCAGATTGCTTGAAGCTGTGCTTTTGATGGTGTCCTCCTGAATTGTGCTCACTGAGGCGTGCGCGGTAATGAGTTGTTGCATCTACAAGCTAAAACAAAATCTAGCAAGCCTTCGTTGAGAGCTTCAGAGCAGAATGACCGTTCACACTTCTGGTCGTCCTGCTCAATGCCTTCACTCGGACCACTGTGCCCTTGCCACCACCAGGGCTAGCAGTCTGTCTCTATTCCCAACTGATTGACATCCCTGATTCTGCCCAACAGACATGAAGGCTTTGCAGCGCTGTGAGCCTTCGAGTTGGCATGATAGTACCCGCGCCAGTTGAAAAAGACAAAACCTAACGCACCTGAGAGAGGGAGGTGGTACTGAAGCTGAAAGGCGAAAACAATGTTCTTTCTCCCAGCTCTTCGATGTCCGGCATCAGCTTTAGATGCCAGCAGGAGTTGGATTCCGGCAGTTTAGCCATGTCGATTGTGTTGCAAATGCGGCATCAAGCTTTCAGCTGTTTCGGTTTGTGCGAGCGTCCTTGTGCGTGAAACTCCTTTGAACATGTGAATGGTCTTCCATGGCTTGACATTCTTCCAGCTGATGTCTGCCATTAAATGTCAACATGGAAAAACATTCAATGTCTTGCAACTGAACAAAAGGCGGAAGAAGATCTTGTTTACAATCTCAAAAAAAACCCAGAAAATCAGACTGAATTGATTTTCAAGAAGCAGGGGAAACCAGCAGGTCTTTATCAAAGAAGGCCATGGCGGCCATGACGTCTGTGTGATGATGTTGTTGAGAGCAGTCTGTCATTTGCAGCATGCACCTGGTCTTCAAGAACGTGAGCCGTTTCAGAGCTTCCCACCACGACTTACAGCACTGACGCATAGGCATCGTTGAGTGCAGAGGCCCGCAACTTGCAGAGAAAGCTCTACCAGCCTTGCACAATTGCGTTCTGGAAAGGATCAGACTTGCACTAGACGTTTAGCATGTTTCTTTTTTTAAATCTAGCTTATCCAGCCGCTGGTCCGAGTTCGTCGGGTATGTCCAATGACAACGGTTGTGGCCGTGTCGAATGCCACTCCAAGGGCACAAACGTTGGGTGCATCGGCCTCAGTGGAGATCGCCAGTTCTTCTGGCACGTATCACATATTGTTTTGTGTAGTTGGTGCAGTGCATCGGCAAATACGTGTACGAGCTACTGCAAGAGTAGTAAGAGGAGAATCTGAACCGAGAGTACGAAAATGCAAAGTTGTGTGAGAGACCGGCAACAACCATTTTCCCGGCAAATTCTTCCCTTCTGGTTTGGGATGATAATGAATGCACGTGAGGGCTGAATGCAACCAAAGCGCATGCGCGTGCTTGAAGTTGGTTGCTTGAAACGATTGAGGTCTCTGATGTGTCTTTCGACTCAAGGCCGAATACGTCAAGCTTTGGCAACTTTGGCGTCTGAGCATGATTTAGGCATACCAGGAGGCAACCATGCATGTCCAGGGCAGTTGATGCAGCCATCCAGTTCCGAAAAGCAGTTAGGGCCGAACAGAGGGAATGGCTTCACTGTTGTGATATTGTGGCGTCGCAAATATTCTGCTTGTTGATTGTGGCCTTGGCTGCGAGCCACCGGAGCTGCAGGCAACAGTCTGCACAGAATGACCAAGTTATCAGAGACCAGGACCCTCTCTCGCTTCTCCAGCTGTGTGAGTGCAACGCGTCCCACAAGGCACCTGATTTTGGCCCATTTTGGCCGCAGCACGCCAGTCTTGTCGCTGCAGGATTTGGCCATGGCCATGGCATTGCAGGCCAACGCAGTACATGCAGCTTGCTGTGTGTCATCTGGTAGCAGGCGAGAAGTTTCTCAACTTGTATCTGACTTTCACTGACATGTCTTCGCTGTGCTCAGCGGTGTCGTACCTTTGCCCGAAGCCGAGTGGCTCGTGTCTAAGTGCGTTTCCACTGTCTGTGACGAAGAAGTTGGGATCCAAGAAGGCGAGCTCCCACAACTCCATACTGCTCACGCTGCATTCATACAGCCGTCACTGGGGGTAGCTACAGGCTAAATGTCTACACATTGTGTTCAGTTCACGCTCCGCTCCCTTACTTTGCTTAGCATTCACATCCGAACGGGAGGCTGCCATGTTGCAGTTGCCGCATTCTTTTGTATAGACTCCGGATGACGTTTGGCCATGGAGGCGTTCCAGGATCTGGAGGCCAAAAGAGTGAACAAAAATGCATACATTTTCTGCCTCTGCTGTCTGAAGTAGAGCTCACAGTACTGTAGTTTACACTGTTCCCAAACAAACTCTGCAATGCGTTCGACGTTGGGAGCAGGCTCACAGCGTTTTTGTTCTTCAATCCATGCCCACACGCACTCAGCCAGATGCGGCCTGAGCAGGTTTGGCGGAAAGAAGCCAGAGAGGTGGGGTATGGAACGGTTATGGTGGGTTGTTTGCAATGACCAGAATGCAGAATCGGGCTGGACCAGAGCTGCCCTGTGAGTCCTCGACAGGCCTTGCAGAAACGCACCCAAACATGCCGGGAACAGCTAAGCTGCTTGGATATATCTTGGACGCATCAGTCGCCCGAACCTGCCTTTTAATTAATTGTTCTAATATTACCTAGCTCATCTCATTGACGATATACAGGTACACATATTATAGTATGTAAATAGATATAAAAAATAAGGAATGAATAAATGAATATATATATATATATGTAGAAATGCATCTGTATCCTTCCGAATGATTGGTCTTCAGCCCCGGGCTTTCTGCAGGCCGGCTAGATCTCGAAGCGGAGCCGTCTGGTGCTGGCAAAGGCGCAACTAGTCAGACCTCGAAAGCCCTTGCAGCCTGTGGCCCATCCGTGCATACTGCCGAAGATTGCCGAAGGCATCCGAGGTTCATCCACAAAGATCCAGAATCGGCTGAAGAAGTCTGATCTTGGTCTCCGAATGTTTCCTTGGCCCTGACAGCCTTGCACAAGTGTGACATTCGCATGGGGCTGTGTGTCCTGGAAGGACAGGCGGGGGAGCTTCCCCACCTGGAGAACAATCCGATTGTGCCTAGACTTCTTTTTTGTGATCCGGGGCCAATTGGCCAGAGGGACACATGTACTGCCAAAGACTGCTGCTTACATACTTATCAGAATTGAGTTCAAGAGTGCCAACCAGAACCTGGGCTTGCCAGTTGAAAAGGTATACTGGAGCTCAAGACCCGGAACTATGTCTCAGGGATGTGAGGGCCATGTCAAGCTGCCTCTCTGACCCACCAGCCAAGGATAGTGGAAAGGCGCCCGTGCGGCGGTGGAGCACCAGCAGGATGAACGGGCGATGGTGAACAGATGTGAACGGACTATTGCAATGATGCTTTACCATAGGTTGCCCTTCCCTCTGCAGACAGCAGACCATCTGAACTTGCAAGGCTCCCGCAATACAAGCAGCTGCACGCGCACCGGGCGAGGACGTCACCAAGGACAGAGCCGCCGAGGCCCGACCGACCAGGGTAACACGGGAGGTTTAAACTTCAAACTGGGCTTTGGTTTACTTTCGGTGCTTTTGCTCTTTTCAATCTTTTGGCTGTAGTCTTGCCGAGGTTTAGAGCGTCGAGCATACAAAGCTTGCTTACGGATTCTATGGATCGGTCTCGCTGTGTAGCGGTGCGCAATCCACTCTTCTAGCTCAACATCTTCATGACGGCCTCACTTCACCATTCTCCCTCCCAGGCTGTCTCCAAACCCCTTTGCAGCTCGCCCTGTGCAGAAGCCCCGCGGCTGCAGGAATCGGCTCATGGTATAGAGACATACTGATCGCATCTCGTCGAATCTCAAGCAAGGCCCCGATCCCGGGGTCCGACTCCCCGATCCAGCATCTTGGGCTTAGATTTCAGAGCCTCGATGTGCCTGCCCTGGTGCAATGAGCAGTACACCGTCATCGTCACTTCCTAGGTCGCCATTGTGCTTCGTTGTTTTTTCTGTGGGCTGTAGGTAAAGAAGATGAGGGGCGCAGGAAGACGCTGGCGGAGCAGGCACCACAGTCCCGAATCATCGATCATGTGCAAAGTATCGTGCCGGAATACCGGTTCTTTGCTAGAGCTTCAGAGACTTCAGCTGCAGGCACCATCTCGCAGCCTAGTGCGGGCCAGGCACGGCGCCAGTTTGCATCTCTCGGAAAATCTGAATCTTATCGCAACACTCCCAACACTTCAAAGCTGAGAGCCCGAGAAGGACCCAGCCAGGGCCTTGGCGCAGGGCATCTGATCGGGCCAAGGCGCTTGTTTTTTTTTTGCAGGTCGTTTAGCGTTGAAGGCAGACATTCTGCGCTTAGCATATCTTAGCATGCTTCTGCAGCTTCGGGCAGGCAGTAGGAGAGTGCGTTGTCTGGCATAAGCTTGTTTTGTACTTGGTCAACATTGGTCAACCCGGGTTTAGGCCTCTACCAACACTCATTCGGCTGTCTTTGCGTGACAACAGAGAAGATCAGGAGATTCGCTTCTCGACTTTTGAACCGATGAGTCCGAAGAGTTTCTACATTCTACATCATTCTACAGGTTCTACAGGAGTTGTAGTTGAGTCAATGGATGTTTCGTGGGCAGGAGTTTCGGGCCAACAAGGCGGTGACTCCTCTCCGCGAGGCTTCTGGGGGTGTTGCCGTGCATGGCCGCACCTTGCCGCGCTCATTTTGCCGCAGTCTTTCGGATTTCCATGGATTTCGTGCTCACGCCCCTTGCCACGTGCCTGTGACTCTTGGTGTTTGGAAGGCACGGCGTGCCCTGGAAGCCCTGGCCTCCGCTGCACTGGCTGCGACCCTTCGCTGCTCTCGGAGCCAGGCCCACAAATGATCCCCCGAAAGAAGGCAAAAGAGGGCCGGATGAGCAGTGCCTGGCCTTTGGCCGACGTCTGCAGCTCTGAATTTGGCACAGCAATACACACTATGTAGAGCTGAAAGCTCGAGGCATCATGATCAGTGGTATTACTGTAGACTGCAACCGTCCATCATCGTCCGCCATATATGTGTGTGTGTGTGTGTGTGTGTGTGTGCTTGTGCGCGTGATATTTTGTGTGTGTGTGTGTGTGTATGTGTGTGTGTGTGTGTGTGTGTGTGTGTGTCTGTGTGTCTGTGTGTCTGTGTGTCTGTGTGTCTGTGTGACTGTGTGTCTGTGTGTCTGTGTGTCTGTGTGTCTGTGTGAGTGTGTGTGTGTGTGTCAGTCAGACTGTGTGTGTGTGAGAGAGAGTGTGTGTGTGTGTGTTGCTTGTTGTTGAAGATGCTTGCAGGATCTGACATCCTCCTTGCTTCGAAGGGTTCTTGCTGAGTCTGCCTGGATCCCAGCAGTTGGGGTCTGAACACTGCTGTAGAGGATCGACGGAGCGGTTGTAACTGTTGCGGCCATTCAGGAAAAGCTGCGAATGCCCATTGATCCTGGACTGGCGTAATGTTAAGAAGGAGACGCTAAGTGATGTTAAGAGATCTTATGGGGCTCCAATGTCATTTTCGCAGGGTCCTCTTAAACGACAAGTTTTCCGGTCAGCCTTTGCCCGCAGGGACGGGCGGCCGCGGGCTGGGGAACCGTTTTCAACGCGTCGGCTTTGGTTCCGAATGGTTTCGGGAGGGGGCGGCGGGAAGCGTCCACCAGTACTCATCACAGAAATGTCCTCGAGCTGCCAAAGCAAGTTTTACAGGCGGAGCTGGAGCAGCTTGCAGAGCTGCTGCGCGCACCCTCCACAGCCTCCACAGCCTCCTCCACGGCCTTGGTCGCCTGGAGCTGATTCTGGGGCTGTCTGCATCTTCGGCATTTCTCCGGTGTTGTCCCATATGTCCCTTGCCAGTTTGACACGAGGGCCACACATCAATGAAGATTTGGACCACGGTGCTATGCCAAGTTGGAAATGTCCCACAGCCTAGACTGCCCATGCTCGGGTGGTGGAGATCCTCGAGGAGGCCAAGGAAGCCAACCGTGACTGGGCCATGAATGATCGTGCTTAACCATGAGCATAATGAGTAATAATGAGCATCATCACTAAGCCTGGCCAGCAGTGTCATGACCTGATTTCTCCATCTGAGCCATTCTGAGCCGCATTGAGGCCTCCTTGGCCAGGCGCTGAGGGCACTGGGCACGGAGGGACGCCGCTGGGGCCCATGCAGGCACACACGTGGCACCCGTATGCAGCTTGTTCGGGGGCAACGTCTCTGCTTGACGGTCCTGGCTAAACTTTCCGGGTCAGGCAGCCGAGCTCGGACCAGGGGCTCTTAACGACAGAGACACGCCGGGAGGAAGCTGTGGAGGTGGTCAGTCTTCACTAGTCGAGACAAAGATTCGAAAGTCCCAGTCTACCTTTGGAGGCCAAGCCAGGGACTCCGACAGGTCCGGAGGAAGCAAATGCCAGGCGGGGGGATAGGCAGAGGAGTTCCTTGGGTTGCTCATTCCACTACCCTTACGAACTTATGTTGTTCTGCAGCCCACAAATGCCAGGGCTTCCTAGAACGGGTTCACACATCATTCCAGCTGAGACCCACCCTTTTTGAAGCTTTCCCTCTTGGTCGTCTGGAAGAGCAAGTTTTGATGTTTCTTCCCCATGTTACCCCACTTGGCAGCCGTCTAGCAATCAATGCTACTCCCGCGCCGCCTCGGCCTCGGCCTCCGCTCCAGGGCGTGGCCAACTCCTAGATGGGGCTTACGAAATATTGGGCCCCTCAAATGGAACCCAAATTCTAGGATTCTCTCATAGTAAGGGGCACCAACAATGTACCCAGATGCTTCCTGCAAGTCTGCAGAGGGTCTCAGAAGCAACCGGTTCCCACCTTTCAAGGCCTCAGACCAAAAAATGCGCCACAATGTAGAAAACTCAGCTCAGCTGGACAAGGCAGAATCAGCGTAGGGCCATTACACGTCTTTATAAAGGATCTCAACCCATGCACCCTTGTGTCGGTCTCTCAAACGAGGTGCCTGAAGTGTCCACACCGCCTTTTTCGCGGGGGGAGCTGGCCTGCCAAGTGGCGGCCATGATCGCATGCCGTCCTGTGACTCTACTTGTGAGGTGCACTGTGATGGCGGCGCTCAATGAGTTAGTGTCTGGCGCTTTGGCAGGCAAGTTCTGGTTTGTACTCATAGCATGGCGAGAGGTCAGACCATGTGTGTCCACGTATGCTATAATTCTCTCGCGGATGAACCCTTTAAGGATTTGCATGCTCAGGCCTTCCGGCTTAGCATATAATCCTATGCCCAGTCAGCATATTCTCGGCTAATCTACTAGGAGTGGATGTGCCGGCACAGACTCTAGGCCGTGATCCTTGTAGGCTTGAAAGGTGCAGTTCTTTGAAGAGTCCTGTGTCGCATCATGGCAATCTCTGCCCAACCGAGCAGCCATCTGTGTCTGTGTTGCCGTTGCAGCAGATCCACAATTGACCCAAGGAATGCGACAAGCACTGGACGACATCCATCAGATGCGGCAACATGCTGTGAGCAAGCCAGGAATTCAGCCAGAGGGAATCCGGTGCGACTAGCTCAGCGCGAGTTCGGCATGTCCAAAAGCGAGGGATGATGGGCGCAATTCATTTTTAAAGAGCTGCCACAACGTGACCCCAACATGCCTGGATTCCTGCGGGGAGTCGTGCAATGCCGAATCGGCCACAATCCGCGGAAGCTCCGAGATGCCCCAAAGAAGTGCATATCAATGTCTATGTCCGTATATGCCAGGTTGTGCAACGTGGGAGCAATGTTATGCTACGTGAGACGATGTGAAACGATGCGATCCATATCGACATGCAAATTCGCCGATTCCAGTGTTGCCATTGATGCAGAGTTGGCCGCGAAAGTGTCACCCAACGTCTGCTCGGCAAACCCCATTGGGGTTGGGGTTGGAAAACGGACGCTGCATGCAAGTCAAGTCTGCTCATGTATCCTTATGTGTTCTGCTCGCACTGAATGCTATCCATATGAAAAGACTCGTGACTTATTAACCATTTCCAAGCCCTCCTGTCAGGCCGCGGAGTACGAACAAGCAGAGGCCAGAGCTGAGGCGTGAAGCATAACATAAAGCCGCACAAAGTGAACGTAGCACAACATGACGGTGAACGTGGGCCCGGCAGTTGCCTTCACCTTGTGTCACCATACCAGTTCCACGCAGGCCGACGCAGTAGCACCAAAAAGGCGGTGACGGAGCGAAATATTGCGCCTGCGTGCCCTCAACAGCGCCCGATTCAACACGAGGCCGCAGCAGTGCCAAAACGAACGTTCTTCATTCTGTCTGCGTCACTCCTTGCGCGCTCATCTGCGCAACGTTGATCCATACTCACGGGCACCAACTTTCCGGACATCACGTTGCAACAAGCAACTGGATTGTGAACGTTTCGGTGAGAATCGAACAGATAGCTTGGCGCGTGTGGGGCAGAGGGGGATGTGGTTGTAACGTCCACTAATATCGCCCCCGCGAGGGGCGGGGCCCAGGTTTTTTTCTACAACACTCGTGACTGGGAGTATGCCTTGAGCAGTCCGTGGAGTTCTGCTCAACAACATCGCACCGTGTGGAGTATTGAAAGGCATGAAGCATCCTGTTTTTCTATCCAGATGAACTGAGATGATCTGGGCATCTCGGGGCTACATGGGGCGACATGCTTTGCAACGTGTTTGGGGTTAATGTGGCTTCATGACTTCGAAGGCAGCCCTGCGGATGCCAGACGTCACTTATTCTGTCGTGGATCCATTGTCAGGGGCTCGGAGCAACATGCAACATCATGCGCCATCATGCAACTAGGTTAACGTGTCATGCCCTCGAAGTTGTGCAGGAAGGCGGAGGTACAGTGTAAGATCGTGTAAGTGTGTAGTTGCAGGGCTAGGACCGATCTCCAATGATCTACTTCTGTTTCAAAGTGTGGGCAGCGTTGACAAGGAGGTTCTCAGCCTTCTTGCGAACACGCGGCGATTCAAAGGTTTGGACAATGCCATGGCAAGTCACATGTTCAACAAACGCCATCTTTGTGAAGCGCTGGAACCGTTTCGAAAGAACCCTGTATTAGTATAGTCCTTGCGCAAGAAGTTTGCATCGTAACCCTGCGCTTTCAAAACTTCCCGAAGACCATGCGCTGCCTAGCTCAGCTGGGTCGTCTAAGCGTCGCGAGCAACGTGTGCAATTTCATCAATTTCTACTGTTTATGTTCAGTTGCGCTTGTTCGAGCTTCAGGCCAATCATGCTAAGATACCGAAATCTGGAGCACACGTTCGAAACGCGCTTTGTATTCAAAATGGGCAGAGGTCTGCCAAGGGCAAAGGAGCCGAACATCTTCGCGCAGCACGACACTGGTAAAAAAACGAATGCGGTGACTCGTAGCCTGACCCTGTGATGTAGCTGAGGTGGGGGGAAGTGACCACCACCGAGGCAGGATCGTGGCTCCGGAAGACCGCTAGAGTCACTAGCATTTGTATTCGGGCATGTTTCCGTAACTGTAAATGTGTGAGGCCCCCTCAGCGATGTTTCGGCTTCTTTTCTGCTGTTGCCCCTGCTGCGTCGTGGGCTGCAGGCACGTGATAGTGAGTCAAGGAAGAGATATAAGATGATGGGATCACAGACAATACAGTACAGTTGCTCGGACAGACCGAGCGGCTTGTATCCAAGGGGTCAAAGTGTGATGTCAGGATGTCTGTCGATCAGCTTTATCGGATTATCTTGGCTTGGTTGGCTAGCAGAGCTCAGCAGCATGTCTCATGTCTCCGTGTAGGGGCCGCTTTGAAGAACCTCTTAATCAACATGCTTCGTTTTCTCTGTGTGGCGTATTTGGTTCTAGTGACGCCAAGCGGTCAAAAGCACTGCGACTGCAAGCGCCGCCAGCACCAAAGAAGCCAAGCGAGCATGGTTCAAGTTCCTGTGCTCGTTGCGCTGGCACGTTTTGCGACCTGAACAGAGATGTTTGCTTCATTTTGCTTCAGAATTTCAGAAGATTCAACATGCGGACTGAACTTGTGGCGGATCCTGCGTATCTGTAAAACTGACTCGTGAGAGCTCGATGATGGCTGCTGCAACATCACAAACGAAGGGTTTCTCCGAAAATCGGGTACACTGATGACCACCCGATGACGATGCCAGGTTCTCGTTCATTTTGGCCGTGCTGCAGGTCCACTTGATTTTAATGTTCAGTGTGATGTTGTTGCACATCGCGTGTTTGCAGCAGTTTCAGTGCTTTGAATGTTGCATCTGCTCTCACTACATGCGACGCTGCACGTGAACGGGCTTCTAAAAACACCTACATGTCTCGGATTTGACCGTGAATCTTCGCAATGATGCTCTGAAGGTGGCAATTCTCATCACAGTGATTGTAGTGGATGGCGGCATGGTTTCGTACGAGGAGCATTTTCATAACAACAGCCCGCAAGACTTCAGTTCGGTTATAAACTTGAGAAGGTGCAGAAGTTGCGGCTGTTCTCATGGTGTGCAATTCCTGCCTTTCACTTAATATCGGTTCTTGTCACACCTGACCCATTGCGATGCTTGGGACCTGTATCTTGCGGACTGGCAGCCGGGATCCGGATTCAAAGTCACGCCACACACTGCCACACACTCCTCCGAAGGGGCGTTTTCGGTGTTATATGTGTTGCTGTGCGCACTGTTAGGAGAACCCCATGCTGGGGCCAAAGTTCAATCGTCTCGACGAAGCAGGCGGCAAGAATGCGGCTGGGAGCCTCGTGGTTTCCACATAGAGTATATCAGAGACAGCTGTCAGGCGTTGGTGATGCATGCAGACTTTGTTGCGAGGGCAGCACCAGTGTCAATGGGCAACGTTCCCATCCTTGGTGAGAGTAGGGCTAGTAGGGCGACCGACAGACAGGGCATGAAGGGCAAAGGGGTTCCTGAAGGTTCCAGCATGCTTTACCGTCTTGTTTGCTTCACATGGTGCGGGAATAGCGGGAATAGTTCGCATGCCATCTGACATCTGTTGCTGATATGTGTCTCGGAGTGCCAATTCAGTTAGATAGTCAATGCAATGTTCCGAGTCTGCTGCTACATTCTGGTCTTTGTTGCCGGGGGCAGCCAGACATGCTTACCAGGGGCAATCCCGGAGGGACAGAGGTCGAACATTTCCCAGAATGGCCTTTCCATGCCCATTGGCATAGCCTCCGGTGACTGGCAATTCAACTTGATTCTGACTGATATGATGGAGATTTTGCTGAAGGAAGCTCTCGGCTACAATGTTGCACGCGTTGTAACGGGATCTGGGCTCTTTAAACTCCTGTATGTGGCTGGGTGCAGGCTTGAGGCCCCAATTACATGCAGCCTCCCATCATTTCATCATATTACTCTGGAGGTAATGGTGGCCCATACTGCGCTGACTGAATGGATCACAGCTATGGAGCAGCTGGGTGACGAAGCCCCGGTGGACTTGGGAAGCATGGGCTATGAGGGAACGGAGGGCTTGTTCGTGTTCCAAGAACCACGAACGAAGTATCTTGCTGACACTGGTTTGGACCTGTCGTACTTCTTTTCTTATAACGCCTCATGGTTCCATCCGGAGAACTACCTTGCCACAGTAGATGAAGTGGACATGAGTCAGCTTCGCCCTTGTGCAGAAAGCTTGCATGTGGAGTGGCCTGGCCTGGCGCAGCAATACCTAAGTGTGACCGGAGACTTAGATGGCATCGAGTATCGAAATGGTGAGGCCCATTTGATATGCTGGAGGGACACATGGTGGCTGGCACCTGCTTGCCGATCAAATGCTTCGAATTGTATTGCAGTGGTGACAGGACCGGAGGCCTGGGGGAAGCCTTACATGGTGCAGCAGGCAGCTTTTCACAACATGCCGCTTGCATTGGCATCGGCCGTGTCAACCTCTGCCTACCAGCAAATTACTTTGCAGCTCAAGTCGCTGTTCTACTGGTGGACTCCAGACCCCTCGTTTGCCGCCTTCCAAACTTCCAAGGTCGTGTTTCCGCAGCACAACGCAGGAGAGTACAGGGAGGGTGTGTACAAGACCCAACCCAACAGTGAGCCCATGCGCAAGCTGGTTTCATCTGGGTTAGCAACAGCAGCTAGCCGTGCCAATGGTCTTGTTGCAAACTTCTATTTTTTAGAAAGTGATGTGAGCGACCTCCTTGCATTGCATGTGCAGTCTGGCTCTAATCCATGGCACACTGCGTGCACATGGCTGAAGTCACATGGAGATCAATGGGCTGGTTGGATACCTGCCAAAACCGACTGCACCGCAGGCAAAGGCCTTGTGGATGAGTCTGGCATGTTTGTCAGTGCAGGGGCGAATGCCGCAGACTGTGCTACGTGTCCGCCTGGACGAGCCTCGCTGAAGTGGAACAACACGTTCCTTTGCGCTTCATGTCCGGTCGGTTCTTTCCAGAACTCTTGGGGGGCCACCGAGTGCTCGCTCTGCGACACGGGGGCCATCGCAGCAGAGCGTGGTGCAACGCAATGCAGTCTTTGTACCCTTGGGCAGTTTGCCAACGGCACTGGCATGAGCTTCTGCTTCAACTGCACCATGGAGTCTGGTCATTCTGGTCAGCGTGAGTTGTGGACAACCAGTCAAGAAGTCATCTGGGAGACGGGCAGCCAAATCATTCAGGTCCAGGGGGCTACTTCCAGCTCCTTTTGTAGCTGTACGGTGGGAAGCTTTTTGAAAGAGGGCCGCTGCGTCGCCTGTCCTGTCGGCACGCACTGCCCAGGCTCCAACCGCCTGGAGTTGCTGCCTGGGTACTTCTCATCGCCTGACACGCCTGATGATGTGTATCTGTGCGAAGAGAGCTTCTGCCCAGGTGGGCCACCGGGCACTTGTGCTGAGAACCGTGATGCTGAGAGTGTTGCCTGTACTCTTTGCCTCGGTGGTCACCGTGAGCAGCGGGACGGATCTTGTCAGCCCTGCAGTGACTCTGACTACATGCTGTTGCTTCTTCTTGCTGCCGGCATTGTTGCCGGTGTGGCTGCACTATATGTTTCTTTGTTACAGGAAGAGCAGGCCCAGCAGAACCGCCATGTTTTGGTGATAGTATGTGGTTTCTCGCAATTTCTAGCAATGCTTCAGATGTTGGCCGTGATTAAGCGCTTTGACATCAGTTGGGGCGAGCCTTTTGCAAGCTTCTTGATTTATTCAGATATTTTGAGCTTGGATTTCGAAATGGTATCCTTTACCTGCGTGACCATGGGCCCTGTTGAGACCTTTGCGCTCAGAGCACTTACAATGCCTGCAATGGTGGTGGTTGCTTCAATGGTTTATGCAGCGCACAAGCTCACGGCTTTCCTCCTCAACGGAGCAGCTGGTGCCAATCGAGTCAGCGCTCGGTACCTCTTGCGAACTGTTGGAAGTCTCTTCCTTATGTTTTTCATCATCCTCTTTTCTATGCTGCTGGCACCCTTCAAGTGTCGTGCGCATCCGAACGGGCGGTTTACAGTTCAGGGCTATGGATCAGTGCTTTGCAATGGTCACGGGCAGCACATGCAGCTGTTTCTCATAGGAGGCCTTGCATGTATGATGCCTCTCCTTTTCCTTTCCGTTTGTATTTGGCTTGTTTTGGTTGAACTTCCTAGACGCTTGACGCGGTCAGACACCAACTTTGTGAGAACATGCTCTTTCCTCATCGTACGGTTCCGCCCGGGTGCGGAGGTATTTGCCGTAGTGCTTTTGATAAGAAACGCTGTGGTGGTGCTCTGCCCAATCGTGAGCACCAACTCCACAAAGCTCTTGATGATGAGCTTGGTTCTGTACGCGAACCAGTTGCTGGTGGCCTTGTTCAGGCCTTGGCGGTTCGCCCTCTGCAACTTCCTGGACATGGTCATTGTTCTGGGAATGCTAGTGATCCTCGACATGGGCTCTGTGACAGTCAGGGATTCGGATCACAGAGCCACAACGGCTGTTGTCGTGATATTCCTCTCTGCAATGTTGCTCGGCTTTTTGTGTCTGCCACCTCGAACTGAATAACTTGTATCTGAAACGGAATTTGCGTGTCAGTGCCAGCATCAGAGGTTTGCTGCGGCTTTCGGAACCTTCTTCTGGGCCATATCGAGGTTCTTCTGGCTCAAAATCCGACACTTGGATCACTACTTAGGACTGTCTGGAGGAGAAAACGAGAATCCCCCACCACAACTGCCAAGAGCCCTTTACAACGTCTGTTCCTTTGGTTGTCTTTAGTTCTAAGGATGGTCCGTCAGGTTCTTTTTCTCACTGAGTGCTGCTGTCAACACATGTTAACACATGTCTCCGACGATTCCCGATAAGTGCAGAGCTTTGTAAGGGCTCCCCAAGCGCCTGTCATGAGGCCTCATGCTCGCTCTCTGCCTCTCGCTCTCTTCTCTCTCTCTCTCTGGCTCCCCCCCTCTCTCTCTCCTTCCCCCTCCGTCCCGTACCCGAGCGCATGACATCTGAAAATGCAGCATGTTTGTCTTGTTCGTGGACCCTCCGCGAGCAGATAGCCAATTCCCCCTCCCCCCCGGCGGATGTGGCTCAAGCAGCTTCCTTTTGTTTTCTTCCTTCGCCCGGTTTTGCGAACTGAGAATTTTGAACGTTTGCGTTCTGTGTCTTTGCTTCTGTCGCACGGTTGCGTAGATTCGTCAAATTTCGCGTCCTGCAGGGGATGCTGACCGGGGGGGTTGTTGTTCTGTTTCGTGTGTTTGTTTTGCTTCCGCTCGGGATGCTCCGATGCTCAGTTTACTCACAACAAGATTTGGCTTCACTTCCGGGTAAACAAATATACTGGTTTCAGCCACCCTGAGGGTTCGTGGGGGGTTAGCTCACCGTTCATGCAGCTGTGTCCATGCGCAACACGGGTTCGTATACTAGAACATCTTTCGCATGTTTGCATGCAGCTTGGAGTCACGATGTGTGGTGATAACAATGCCAGGGGGGGGTTCCTGCCAGGTGGGTTCGCCGGTGCATTTTTTTTACTAGCCTCCATGGGCGAGGGCCAGAAGCTCATGTTGAATCGTTGGAAGTTGGTCGGGGAAGGGGGACTGTGCAGACTCAGGAAGACCATGGGTCCGGAAGGCTGGGCACCGACCAAAATCCGGGCTCTAGGTGGGTGGGCGGGTGACCAGGCCAGGTTCGGAGCGGGGTCCACAACTAGGCACCGGATGCGTGCCAAATCGTCATTTCCACTCCTACTAAGGAAAACAGTTGGGCTTCATGGTGGGGGAGGGAAGTACCGGTTTCTGGCGCGATCGAGGGGCGAAAGTCGGGGTCGGCGGACTATGTAGGTGTCGTGATGGCTTCTCCGTTCCAGTCTATACATCGTACAGTACAGCAAACGATGCGTGTCAGGAAAGCGGTTCAAGTTCTTTCTCTGCCATCACAAGCAGGGCGCGGGCTCCATGGCGCGACTCTTGAAGATGGAGCTAGAAGTTCGGCTGCCGGGCACAAGGACGTTCATCGATTGCGACGACCTCTCTGACCTTACAAGGCTTTTCAGCTATGTGAGTCAGGACACTTCAGGGCTCGTGACCGCCTAATTTTGCAGGGTCAGAGCCTGGATCCCTAGCAAGCTCCACTCGGTGGAGCTTGCGGGGAGCTTTTGTTTACAACTTACAACCTTGTCTTCGGCCAAATTGAAGCTACGGGGGTCCTTTGGACAAGTCGCTGTTTGGGTTGATTTCACCATTGTAAGAAGCTTTTTCGGCGAAGGCCTATAGGATTGATGGATCTAGGCACCCTTGCACTAATCATAGGGGTTGGTAATGCCTGGCTGAAATTGGGGGGGTTAAGCCTCCGATATTATCCCGAGCTGGGTTTTCATCCGGCCTGTGTCTGGGCGGATTCCTAGGATTTTATCCAAGGAACATGGGTGCATGTTAGGCCTGCTTGGGTCGGTCATTGAAGGCATATCCACGGTCTGTTGTCAGGGTCAGGCCCAAGGATTTTATCCAGGGTAATCTTCCCGTCCGCCTCTGTCCTGCAGGCATTTGGCCTGAATGCACAGTTGCTGAGATTCAGAAAGAGCAGATGTGCGTAGGGGTCGGGCCTCCGGATTTTATCCATGGGGGTCCTGTTCAACATAGACCAGTCTCAGCTCGTTGTAGGTTAGTAATTTTGCCTCCCCGGAGGGGCTCAAGCCTTTTTGAAAAATAAAAATATATCCCCGGAACGGGTTGGCCCCCAAGGCTTTTATCTGGATAAATTTGTGGCTTAACCCCTTGGCCCGTCCCCGACCCCTATACTAATCGTGGAGGAGGGCTCTCTCCACTACACCTCCCACCCACCACAAGCCGCCCCTGCTTTTCCACTCACACTATATGGCTTGCAACAAAACATGAAATGACAATATACGTGTGAAGCCTTGTCAAAGGCGAAGTTGCTCAATAGTTGCAAGTTATGTATAAATGGTTTTCGTAGGGAATCTGACCACCATCTCCTTCCTAAGGGCCTGTAACTTGTGTCAGCATACCGCAACCGAATCTCCGCAAGGAGTGTAAACACAATGCGGACAATGCGTAAAAAAGAATTCTGCCGGGCTATCTGAGCTTGTAGCTTGCAGGCTTGCAGCTCTCCCAAGCTCAAAGTCCGAACCCTTTGCTGCGGCAATTGCAAGCCCCTGCCGAACAAGCCCCCTCCAAACCCCTTTCGTTCACCCTGCTCAAAAGATCTCCAAAGTAGTTTCAAACTTTTCAAACTGTGTTGGTTGCTGAAGCGACTGCGTATTCTCAACGCCAGTGGTGCTGCGTGAGGACACAGAGACGTTCGTAATCTTGGGCAGCCCCCAGATCTTTACCCGCAAGTGGTGCATCGGCGAGATGGTATCTGCCAGGCAAAGCCGTGTCAGAACTCTTTTGCTGGCATGGCCGGATATGGTGGCACCCGATGCTGTGCTCATCGAGAACTATTGCAGCATTGTCCCAGACATTGGTGAGCTAGTCAAGTTTGGGATCAGCCTGGCAGATGTCCAAGCGACCTTACGGTTTTTGAGCTCAGTCGAGACGCTCACTTTGCCAGGACAGCTCATTCACAATATTGACCAGCTGATCGATTCGTTTACTGGCATTCCTCACAGCAAAATCAGCAGATTTTCTAGCAAAGACACGGGATCTGACTTTCCAATCTTGGTGGACCCAGGCAACTTGGAGGCAGTGGCATCGGCAATGGTATTGTCAGCACTGCTGAAGCCGCTATTGTTGGGCACACATTTGCCCATACCCTCGGTCCTCTCGCAAGACTTTGAAATTGCACAGTCGGCCAAGATGTCGCTGATGTTGTGCAGTGAGAGCTGCTTCAAGTCAGAGCACGTCCGAACATGGCTGCTGCAAGCTTACCACGCAGCTTCCTGCTGCATGATCCCAGTGATTGTTCAGGATGGCTTCCAAGTACCTACAGCAAGCTACGTTTCGTCCGAGTTCCCGGTATCTGCCATGGACATAGAAGAGCTACATCTGTATGGTGTGATTATCCGCGCCCTGTTTCAAGACATTGCTTTGATTTTCCTTCCCCAGAGCTTCAACCGCGAAGATCTTGATCTCCGAGCTCAGCAAGCCGCACGGAGGCTCACTGCTCCTCAGCAGACACTGAAGGACAAGGTTGTACGGCTCATAGAGAGCTTTCACACGCCCACCCTAAAATTGGTCGCCTGAGGCGCCAGTATACTGTGGACAAACCCGAAGCCTGATCCTTGCGCGAGGCAAAAACTGGACATGATGAAACATGTAAAGAAGATCCGGAAACACTCTGCCGCGTAAGCTGAAAGCCCACGAGCGTAAGGCACGCATAAGGGTCCGCATATCCAATAGCGTTGACCACGTCCCGCCTAAGCTTGCGTGACCGAAGTTGTTTGGGGCGGGCTTCCGCTTCCTTCTTAGCCTTGCCACTTGCTGCAGGCTTGATTTAAGGGTTAAGGCGCCAAGGTCTTTTTCAATGATACAGTGCCCACCTAAGCCTCCCAGATCCATTAGCGAAGGCAATCAGCACTCATCAGAAGCTCCATTTCCGCGTAAGCTCCCCGTAAGGTGTCGGTGTCAATGGACCAGTTGCCCATCCATCCTGAGTCTTAACAAACCGCCTGCCTTTTGTTCGACAGGGCGGGGCTGGGAATAGTGGTTTTTGTAGATTTCAAGGTTGAGAAACCCAAAAGACCTTACATTGCGACCTTGCAACCTCGCAGTTTTGACACCCACATGTCGCGTGTGCCACCGAGATGCTTGTCGAAGGCTTGTATACATTACAGGGGATGATAAAGGCACCAGAATAAGCCGCGTAAGCAAACAGACCAGGAAACCAAGCACTGTGCGCGCGGTAAGCGCAAAACTTTCACGTACAAATTCGGTATTCGGTATACTCATGTATACTCGAAACTAGATACGCAACGAAGAGCGTCGTTGAAACTTAGCAACTTCGTTTGGAAGGCAGTGAATCGGTACAGAATCACCTTCCGATCACGAAGCCAATGCAAGATTCACGAAGGCCAAGATACTGCTGCGTGGAGAATGGTGGCGGTTGGCATCAGCGGATGCCTTAGGAGTAGCCAGTGTCCAATGCTCGCCGACTGGGGATGCAAATGCGATGATTCCTGAAGAACACCTCTTTCCTGTCATAGTATGTTAGAGTTTCTTCGTGGCTGAGGCGACGATGCTTCACGCTGGTTGGATTCACCTCGCTCATCACTTACCACATCCTTTAATGCCCTTCATTGAAGTGCAGCCATCTCAGGAGTTTGGGCTTGGGTACACCTGGTAACACTGCCAGATCAAAACTCAGGTTGGAAATCTTGTCGTGCAGCTACATGCTGGCGTTCAGCTGGAGGTAATCTGGGGCCATGCTGCCGGGACGCCTATCCTGCCAGAAAATTATGGGAATAGTTCGAAGTCTTGACATGACCTTTACTGCTGTCCTGTATGGAGGCTTTTCCAGCAAACGGTTTAGTTGCTTTCACTGAAGTCTCGAACCTCGGATTCCTCAGCTGGAGGGAATTTGGGAGAAAGCTGAAGCCCAGGCTTGGCTGGTGGTCTATTTCGTGAGTGGCATCTACGCAAATTTGCTGAGTTGTGCCGGCACCTCGAAGACCTCAGCGAATCCTGGCGTTGTGCCCACAGCTTCGTATCAAGCTTCCCTTTTAAAACCCGATTTTACCCCCCCCCCCCCCGCCCCCCCAGATTCCCCGCATGACTCAGCTAGCTCAGACTCCGTTCCGTGTTCTTCTGTTGCTGCAGTGCCTCCATCCGGACACCATCGGCGTCGGATCGCTTGAGCCTCAGGCCTCAGGTCTAGCCGGACAAGTATAAGAACGGGCAATGCTGGCGTTGATAAGGGAAACGAAGCCAAGTACTACTGAGTTTCGATGTAAAGGTACTTGTTGGGCCGCTGTTGGGAGATTCTATCAAACGGACATGCAAGACCCCTTCTGAAAGTGTGGCGAAGGAAACGCGAAAGAGATGCAGGGCTTTGCCCGCGTAGTTGTGCAGCATCATTTTTTTTTCATTTTGCTCGATGTCCTAGTAGCAGGATGCCCAAGCACAGAAGGGAAATCGAGCGATTCGGGCTTGAAGATGCTGAGGCAGTTTGCTTTCACCGCATTGTGGGCTTCAGACAGTACACTTCGCAGAGCAGTACATATGTTTGTTCACAACCTTCCATGGGTCAAATTCCGGGAACGTCCTGCAGCACATGCGTGCAAGCACTGCGAAAGTCAACGCTTGCTCGGGTGAGACCGTGAAAGGGCCAGGATGGTGTCAGAGTTGATGCCACCTTGTCTTCTGCTTCCTGCTGCAGCTCTGGAAGCAGCCCCACCACCTGAACTGTACTCGTAGCACGAGCAGCAGCTACAGCATGAGATTCACGGGAGACTCACCGGATAATCTGGGGCGCGACATACTTGTTGTTTATCTCTCGATCTCTTTTTAAAACATATATGTATGTAGAATAGCGAATATCGAATCATGAGAGACTTGTAGAAAATGGAAGACACTGTAGATGGACACGACGGAGCCAACCAAGAACAGCCGCGCAAAAGACACGCACAGCTTAAATCATGTATGTATATATACATATGTAATTCTATCTGTACATGCAAACATAAAGTTAGCGATGCGACCATGGCGTGAAAGACATTCAAGCACCGCCCAAATTCGCCCACATCTCACAGTGGCATAGCTTCCAGGTCCGGTTGCCTCTGCGGACTGATCGGTGGCTGGTGCTGCCCCAAGTGATGACAAGCCTTCCAGAATCAGAGTCAAGTCCACCGACAAGGCTGTAAGTTTGGAGCAAGCTGGCCTTTACATACCGTACATTAATTTACCAACTGATGTTAGACTATTGGAAGTATTCCCAAAAGTGGCATCTGCCACACAACATACAGATGTCTTCAACACTTGCAAACTTGGCTGTCCCATTCCAACTTGTGTATGTGGTCCCAATGCCTGAGCAGATCCCACTCAAATTTCTGGTGCTGTTTCAGGGCACAGTGTCTTGGCAAGTTGGCTTCTCTCCTTGCGTTTGCCATCCTTTGGTCGTTCGTGTGCAGAGAGTCTGGGCATTCTGGGCCTTTCGCGGGATGTCAAATACAATTCGGGCCAAGGCTCAGCTTCATATTCATAACCTGGAACCAGACACTGCCGCGCCGCCCCCAATGACTTGTCAGTGGCACAGGCCATGCTTGGCTTTCGTGATGCCTCTGACACGCATGGTCGTCACGATCTTCAGGGGTGTAGCTGCTTTACATACAAGTGCAAGCTGCCGAGGGGTGACATCAAAATGAGGAACGCCAGAGACTTACAGCACTGCATGAAGATGGCTTTATGGTTTTGCACTGATGGGTCCTTATGGGCCGTTTCGACGAGGACGACAGCCACAAGCCTAGGCATAGGCATGCAGTGGCGTATCGGCTCGGATTTGAAGGATCTTTGCATTCGAACATGTTTCAAGAAGGAAGCAGCTTGACACCAAAGGCAAGCAATGAATAACTTGCGGAGCCCAGGCACAAGTCACGTCCATCAGCTTGTCAATCCTCATGGTGCTAGTGCCCGAGGCTCGGGGAGCATTCTGCTCAGGTACGATCCAAGTCTTCTGTATGAGACGTGAGTGTGAAGGATCAAGCTACGGCTGAGAAATTGTAAATTCTGAGTTCCTTGCACCCAAACGCACATCCTTCATCATCCCTACAGTAAGTGCCGAACCTTGCGTTGCCGCATACGGGACCCTTCATGCCATGAACGAGACACATGCAGAACAGGTGGAGAGTTGAGAGCCTGGGGTTGTTAGTGTTTTCGTTCGTCCGCCAGAAAAGGCTTCTAGGGTCAGCGTATTGCGCCTTTTATTGACAGCACATCGGTGATCAATGTGAAGTGTGTTCGGTTGTCTGGCTCCGGCTCATTCAACGATCCCTGTGACCGTTTAGACTTATCAACTTGTTCTCCTGGGTTTCGCACCTAATGCCAGATGATTTAGAGTGCAACTTAGGCTGTGGGCTTTTCGGGTGATCCTTCTACCACATACTACAGTACTACAGTATCCAATACTTCGTGCCGCCTGATTCTTCTTGCAATGAGTCTCAGTATCACCCAGAGGACTCGGCCCGGTTCCACACCCCCAGGTTCAGCTTCCTTCCGCTCATGGACTTTGCCGCTCATGTTGGCGGCCTGATGATGGGCACAGGCAAAATGAGAACGTGCATTTGTGCTGTCTCGACAGTGGTAAAATTGTGAAGGCTTCAAGATATCGTGGCTCAGCATCGGGTTACTTGATGTTACTTGAAGTTGCATGGCTTGGCTGGTGCCCTCGCACCAGGAATCTCCATGGTCATGTTTGGAAGCAGGCCCGTTGCAGAAATGCACGCTGCAAGTATGTCTTGCGTAGATATCTCCAGAGTCTCTGTGCCATTTTGCAGACGAGCATCTTGCAGCATCTTGCAGCGTCTTGCAGCATCTTGAAGCATCTCAGCTTGTGCAACCTGGTCGACGAAGGCTTCAACATTTGTGGTACCGCTGGGCAACAATCGCTTCCGGCCTGGCCCTGGGTTTCGATTCACAGGGCTTTCATCATGGCTAGATGTGTGCAGTATTCGACCGCGCTCACAAGCTGCACGAGTGCCGCTTTTCACAGCTTGTACTACAGTCTTGACCATGCTGTGCAATGAGCGTTTTGGATACCGGGACTTGGGCTGGTCCAAACTTGAGGTGCTATACTATTTTGCACGCTGTGGCTCGTCACGCTCATCATTTTTGTGGCAAGCTGAGTCGGTGGTTATGCCCTGTCCGTACGCGATGACCCCTTGACTGGAAGTTGCTTCTTGTCCAGGGACCAGCCTGGTAGAAACTCAATCATCCTTAAACATTGCAAACATGTCTGCAGAAGTTGCTTCGCCATGCTTCGCCCATCTCCACGTCTGAGGTGGAGCACACCACTGTGAAGGTGCACTTGTTGGACATCTGTCAACGTCCAAACTGCTGAAGTCTTGCCTCCCAATTTCAATAGGAGTTCATCAAGCAGGCGCAGCCAGAATGATATACACAGGGCTTTGGTCGTTGGCGATGGTGAACAGTGTGGAGGATGCTCCATCGGCTTAACTGGCCGAAGGCCAGGAACATGCCCGCCGTGCATGGGTGTTGGGATGCCACTGGAAAGCTCCAGATAGGCATCAGCAACAAGCAGCTGGCAGTAGCAACCAGCAAGTTGTGCTTAAGGGCACGAAATGACCCAGGCGGCGCAAGGAGATGGATGAATAGCTGATGCCAGCCTTGTGCGAAGGGATTTGGGACGGTACAAAGACCAAGGTGCCTTGCTGACATCCTCTCGTTGCCGTTCTCCCAAAGGGACAGAACAAGCCTAGGGCCTAGTCTAAGTTTGGATTGGCTGCATGCCACAGATGCCTGTGGCAAGGAAGTGAAGCGTAGGCGCCGCATCCAAAGCAAAAACCGGAGGAAAGAGCTCGGCTGAAGCCAACGCACTGCGGTGCAGCTCAATGCACTTCAACACGTTGCTTGTAAACAGGACTGTAAGGTGTGTACAGGGGTGCAAATCTTTCTGCATCTACAAATCTGACTGTACCTGTCGTTGAGCGCGATCATTTCTTGTCTTTGAGCATCAACTTCAAACCGCCAAGAATCCTTCCGACCTGTTCGTACCAGGAACGTGAACATTTTCAATCACTTAAGCGATTGTTTGGCAAAGGCTGCTATTGAGTTTAACACATTACGTCAAGCAACATGCTGGTGCCGACAAGTTGCTTGTACTTGTACGAGCCTATGTGTCCTTGAACTCGTGCCATTTTGGCTCTAGCGCCAAAATTTTCAGGGCCAAAATTTCTGTGACTCTCAACTGCTGGGGTAAGAATGGCCGGCTTCGACTTCGACGAACTATCCCGGGCCGAGCAGGCGGTGGAACACTCAGTGCCCGTGGTGAAGTCCGGGAGCCAGGCTCCACAGGAGGTGCAGACCCCTCATCCAGTAGCCAAGAAGTCTGGTTCGCCAGGCGTGTCAGGAGCCACAGGTGTGGCAATTCCTGGAGCCACACCTACTGTGGGCCCGCCACCAGCTTCAGAGAGTCAACTTCGTGCGGCGCGAAGTGGTCTGCAGTCCATGCTTCAGCAGAGCGACGCAGCGGTGAGTCAGGCTTTGGCAGGCGCCAGTAGCCTGGATAGAGCCCGCTTGCGGCTGGTCCTGGCTAAACTCCAGATTGCTGAGCTGTCCGGGCAATTAGGATACTCCATGCAGCTTCAGCCGCATGTGGCTTCGAAGGCGCCTCCAGTGAAGCCCGTGACATCCTCAGGGGCTACGTCCGTTACGTCCGCTGCACCAACTGCTCCTTCGGGCGTGCCAGGCGGACCAGTTAGCAAGGCGTTGGTGGCCGCGTCTAAAGCCCGGACGGTGGCCAGTCAGGGCACAGTCGGTGACACCGGCAGCTCAGGGACTCAGCCGCCGCAAGGCACCCAGAGTGCCTCTCCTGGTCAGGCCGTACCAACTTCTGCTGATCAGGCCATTCAGGCTTCTCAGGAACCCGCCAAGGCGCAGGGGCCCCAGTCCAAGGCCCCCCCTCCTCCTTTGGTTTCTCAGAACACGCAGACCGCCCCACAGAGCAGCCAGTTGGCAGTGCCGGCTGCCTCAGCGCGGGCCTCTCAGCCCCCCTTTGTGGACCCGTATGGCATGGGGCCGCACAGGCCTGGCAGGACCTGTCCACTTACAAGTGTGCCAGGTTTCGCCAACTTGGCACAGCGCCATGGGCTTAATGCTCCAGGACAGCCGCCCAGTCAGGTAGGCGTGTATCAGGGGTGGCTCTTCGCCCCCCTTGAGGTTGTCGGATTTGATGGGCAGTACGCCCCAGGCTCTCCAGAGAGCCGCGTCTTTCTGCCTCTTTGCAATAACAGGCACCGAGATCTCCCAAAGTCCCTGAGGTTGCAGGGCTTCAGGCTCTCAGGGTATTGCTTGGAGCCCTGCGAGCGTCGCTGCGGCAAATCCTGTAGCCGCACAGTGTGCACCCAAGGCAGACGTGGCCATGACAGCCATGAATGCCTGGAGTGTCATGCAGAACAGGGCCCTAGGCCCCTCTCAGGCGCCGCAGCTCCTTAGGTGCGCAGGTCAGATACTTGGCCTCAGGGATTCCAGGTTGGGCCCAGAAGCCCGCAGTCATAACTCTAGCATGGCCCTCGGTGTCGGTGTGAACGTTCAGTTTTTTCAGGAAAACCAGGAGTGGCGCTTAGTTTTTCCCAGGTGGATCGTACAGCTTCGGCTCCTTTTCAGGTCACCTGACGACGTAGTTTGAGCAAGTCCGGCTTGTGCCAAAATCGTGTGTCAGCATCGCTGCTTTGGTTGTGCCAATTGTGCTTTGACCGGGCTTCGGCTTCAGGCCTCTCGTTTGCCGCTGCCTTGTGGCTCGAGCCGTTTGCTCGCGCAGCCCGTTTTCCAGGCTTGGCTGTCTTGCCGCCTTTCCCGCCCACGCTTGTGCGTGTTGGCTGGCCAGGTCCATCTGCTGGAGACCGAACCCACAGGCGCTGTGCGTGCTGCTTTTGTTCTTCGCGGTCGGGCTTGTGCCTGCCGCAGGCCGCGTCTGCGCTGGCCGTGCCCTGTTGTCTTCAGGCACGTCTGACCCTTGTGGGTTCTTGTTTTCGTTTTTGTTTTTGTTTTTTTCTCTTGTTTCGGCTTGTGCCCTGTCGCAGGATGTCCCTGGCCGACAGCGAACCAACCTTTGCAGCCCGAGCTCTTCAATACGGTCTGCCTCAGTCATGCATAGACGTCCTTCAGGCGTCCAGGTTGGCGACATTCAGTGCACTTCTTTTTCATGTCGCCTCGGCCCCCAACAAAGTTGAGCAAGACAAAGTTGAGAAGGTCTTTCAGTCCTTTCCAGTTGCCGACAGGACGGACAGTACGAAGTCTGCAGTCAACAGGTTGTTATTCGAAGCAGGAACGTTGGTTGTTGCAGAGCTTAAGAGCATGGTCGAGACGCCTGAAGACGCTCCGCGAAAGTTGAGCCCGGAAGAAAGGGCAAGCAGGCTGGACTCAGTCAGGACCAGGCTCGGTAGCTGGCCCGTTGGGGGGCAATTCGAACCAAGCCACGCTCTCGTTGACTCATGTGCTGCCATGATCAGAGACCAGGCAATCAGGTATATTCCGCCAAGCAGGTGTAGCAGTCGTGACGCTGAAGTCACCAGTGTGCGCAGGGATGACTCCCTGATCAGGCTGGAGAACAATGCCCTTAAGGTTGGGGGCAAAACTCCCACTGTGCGCGTGGACCTTACCAGTGACCTCAGGGTCTACCAGGCTGTCTGTCGCAGAGGAGTGGCGCTCGAGGTCGCGGGTGTGTGCAAGTATGAGGCGCACGAGACAAGTATGCGTACATTGTTTGATCACATCCATCGTCACCCCCCAGCAGGGTATGTGTCGCCCGGCCTAGATCAGTTTTTGCTAGCCGACAGGGAGCTCTGGCGCTTAGTAAGCGAGCAGGTCCAGCACAAGTTTGCCCAGACAGGGGGCAGCTCTCAGGTTGACGCAGCCCTGCAGTCTGCATGCACGGCTCCCTCTGTTGTTTTTCACTTGTTCCCCCTCCCCAGGCCCCCCCCCCCACCCAAGCGAACGTGGGATCAGATGCAGGACAAAGGAGGGGGCAAGGGTCCCAAAGGGGGAAGAAAAGGGGGGCGCGGTTTTGGGGGTAAGGGGCCAGAGAAGAAAGGTGCCCGCTCAGCCAGCAATGTGCCAGCCGCCCTCAAGGGGCTCAGTGGCACTCGGGAGGGCATCAGGTTGTGCTTTAATTTCAACCTGGCCCACGGCTGCACTTTGGAATGCAAGGACGTCAACAACAATCCAACCTGCGCTAGGGGTGCCCACTTGTGCATGAAGTGTGGGGGCAAGCACAGCGCTGCAGTCTGCGAGAATTGACTAGGGCGACCAGGGTCCCCAGGTCCAGTGCTGGACAGCGCCGGGCCATCCAAGAGTAACTCAGGTGCTGTCACGCTGCCCCAAGGGCCTGTGCCTCTGTGCGCTCGCCAAGCCTCGTGTCGGGGACTCCCGGCGATTGAGGACCGCAAAGACGTCTCAGCTCCTGTGCAGAATTGTTTGCAAGCAAATCAGGAACCAGGTCCGCAGTTTTCAGCGCCAGGACATTCGTCTTGTGCTCGCCTAGCAGTCCCAGAGGGACAGGCAAAGTTGAGACCGTCAGTAACTAAGGCTTTTTCAGGCGTAGCCAGTAATCACGAAAAGGAGGTTTTGGAGCCACCGGCCGCTTTTTTGAGCCCTGCTTCAGCAACAGTGAGCCATTCCACCACGTGCCATGAGCCCTCCCAGGTTGCTAGTCCGTCCCGGCGATCCGTGGACTCACTCGTGTGCCTGGAGGTTTTTGCAGGGACAGCCAGGCTCAGTTCTGCCTTGGCAGCTGTAGGTTTTCAGGCTTTGGCAGTGGACAGTAAGGTCGGCGGCGAGATGCGAGTCCTGCAAGTCAATTTGTTGCAAGAGTCTGGGCGTCAGTTGGTCCTGGACATGATTAGGTCTGGGAAAATTTGGTCAGTGCATTTGGCCCCCCCCTGCAGCACAAGCAGTCAGGCTAGGAGCATTCCTGCCAGGGGCAGGAAGGCGCCAGTGCCTCTCAGGTCTTTCACTCACCCCGATGGGTTGCCAGGTTTGAACATGAGGGACAAAGTCCGAATCAGCCATGCAAATATATTATATGAGTTTTGCGCCGACGCAATTCTAGCAGCTGCAGCAGCAGGCTGCATGTGGAGCATAGAAAACCCTGCAGGTAGCCTCTTCTGGACTACATCCCCAATGAAGCGTGTAGCAAATCAGTTGTCTGAGCAGCTTTGTTTTGTCCAGTTCCATCACTGCTGTTTCGGAGGTGACAGATGCAAACTCACTGCACTATGGACGAATGTTCGAGATTTGTCCGTCCTCGGCATGTTGTGCGACCCCAGCTTGGGACACAAGCACAAAGCCTGGGGTCGTTTGGACAACGGCTCTTGGGCGACGTCAGCAGAGACTGCGTATCCCCGCAAGCTGTGTAGGCAATGGGCCGCGGCCTTGTTAGGGGTTGCCATCTCCCAGGGTTATAGCGCGTCTGACGCCTCAGGTGCCAGGGCTAACCCAGTGGCTTCAACTAGGGCCCGCCTACGCGCCGCTTTAGGCTTCTTACCCAAGTCCTCCCTGCTGCCGCCGCAGGTCAATCCTCTCCAAAAGTCCGAATGGGTGCAGTTGCCCCCAGAGCTCGACATGGCAGCGTGCGTGCCGGGTGCCTCTGCAGAGCGCCTCACGGGGGTCAAAAATAGTCAGGTTGTGTCCATTCGGAGGCAGGGTGGCAGTTGGTGGGCTAGCGTGGCAGAGCCGGTGCAACCACAGGAGTTTCTTCGCCGGGCTGCAAACTCTGTGCACCCGGCGGAATGCCGGCCCCCACTGCCAGAGCCGCTTGAGTCGGCCGTGTATCGTGTGCGCACTAGCCTGACTCAGGTGCACAGGGACAGAGTCCAGATGCTGAATTCCATGTGCCAAAGGGCAAAAGAATTGGCTAAGGAAGAGAATGAGGATCATGCCAGGATGGACAGCTCGGTCAGAGGCATCTTACAGGGCAAGAGACTTCGGCTCCTGGAAGAGCTCTTACAGTCCATTGATTTCGAGGACAAGGCTTTGGTAGATGATCTGCGCAAGGGAATGCCGTTGACGGGCTGGCTTAGGGATAGTGGCCACATGCAGGCGCACGTAGTTCCCCCACTTTTGACCAAGGACGAGCTCCTTAAACAGGCCCCTGCCCGCAACAGAGAAATTTGGGACATGACTGGGCCCTCCGGTGACTCGACACTGGATGAGGCCCTCTGGCGCAAGACCTGCGAAGACGTGGACAACGGGTGGGCTTTCTTGTTGCCGCCATCTGATGCCCCCCCTGCAGAAGGGGCCCTCAGCAGGCGTTTCGCAGTCACCCAGGGTGACCGCGTCAGGGCCATTGACGATTTTAGTGTCTCCAGGATCAACGACACAGTCGGAAGTCAGGACAAAATCACAGTCATGACTTCCGGTGACACAGTTGCCTTGGTGCAGGCGTTTCTTAGGTCTCCGCAGGTGCCCGCCAAAGCTCGCAAACTGCTGGGCAGATGCTTTGACTTAAAGTCAGCGTATCGTCAGCTAGCAGTCTCGCCGCAGGACATGGATGTAGCGCGTGTTGCAGTATGGAACCCAGTTGCCAAAAGGGTTGAGGTCCTGCCGCTCAGGGCACTCCCGTTTGGAGCGTCCGCCAGTGTCTGGGGGTTCATAAGATTGGCTCTCGCCTTATGGGCTGCAGGAACCCAGTTGCTGTGCATTCCGTGGACCACTTTCTACGATGACTACTCAGTAGTCACCCTGGAAGAGGATGTCAGAAGTCTGCAAGCCTCAGTCTTCTTGTTTTTCCAGTTGCTAGGGTGGAAAGTAGCCACCGACGGGGGCAAGGCGTCTCCCTTCTGCCAGGTCTTTCAGTCCCTGGGTGTGGTTTTTGACTTGACAAAGGCACCCCAAAGAACTGTACTTGTCTCCAACACAGAATCCAGGCGCATTGAGGTGCGTCGCTGGTGTAAGGAAACGCTAGACAGGGGAACTCTGGCCCCAGCCGAGTGCCTTGCCTTTGCCTCCAGGGTTCGTTGGCTAGAGGCGCAGACGCATGGTCGGCTTGGCATGGTCGCGTTAAGGGTCCTCCTCAACCATGCCAGCCCAGCAAAGGACTCACGCAGAGTCGCTATGTCAAGCAGGTTACGTTGGGCAGTATCTTGGATCTTGCACAGTGTGCCCTCAGCACCGCCCAGGGCCTTTGAGCTTCAGGCACGCAAGAAGTTTTTGGTGTTCACCGACGGAGCAGTCGAGGATGGCATTGCTTCCGTAGGGGGAGTGCTCTGCAGCGCTCGTGCGCTGCCCATTGCTTACTTCGGTGCTAAGGTTCCACAGTCGGTCACCGAGGCTTGGCGTGCCTGTGGTACGGAGCACCCAGTGTTTCAAGCAGAATTGCTTGCCGTGCTGCTTGCAGCTCACTTGTGGGGAGGGGCCCTCGCAGGGAATCTGTGCACGTGCTTCGTGGACAACGAGGCCGTCAAGCACGCTCTGATTCGAGGATCCGCCTTCCCAGATTCCAACCAGCTGCTACTGGAGAATTTCCTTTCCCAGGAATCGTCTCTAGGGACACACTTCTGGTTCTGCAGGGTACCCAGCCCGTGCAACCCGGCAGATGCGCCGAGCAGGGGGTTGTTCCCGCAGTGGCTGGCTTGTGCCAAGCGTGAAGAAGTCCATGGGGATTTTGTGGAAGCTTTGGCCCTCAGCCAGCTGGGCTTCTAGGAACGTGGGGCATAAGGGCCCAGCGGCCTCGGGCCATTTGTGCTTTTGCTTTGACAGTCCTGCAGGCGCCTCAGGTCCAATTGTGGAACCAGGGCATCGGGAGCTTGCAACATGGACAGGAGCCCAGGCTCCCAGTTCCCGATGCAGTGCAGGTGCAGGAGCTTTCCAAAGTCGGATTGCCGGCTAGTGCCGTGCAGCTTTGCCCCACGGCGTGAAAAGTGCTTCTGCGCCGCTTCTCTTCAGTAAGAGTTCGTGACACATGTTGCTTGTACTTGTACGAGCCTATGTGTCCTTGAACTCGTGCCATTTTGGCTCTAGCGCCAAAATTTTCAGCCCACCCTCCACTCCCTAATGAAGCGACTTGAGGTCGATCCGTTGTTGGACCTGACAGGTTCCTTTGGACCTATCAGGTCAGGTAGGGCCCAGTTGCGTCAGCCATGGGAAGAAGGAACTTTTGCTTTTTTGTCTCAGAGCCCAAGCATTTTGAGAGAAGTGCAGGAGGATCTGTTCGAGCTGCCTGCGCATGTGCCGCGGCCACTGGTCGCAGTAAATGCTCAGGCAGTCGCAGTGCCGGCCCCTTTCAGGGCGCCGCCGTTAAGGTGTGCTCACACAGGATGGCAGGCTTCCAGGGCGCGTGAAGAGCGCCAAGTGGCACTTAGCAAGTGGAGCGCTTTGATTAGGCAGGCGCCCCATTTCTTCAGTATTCAGGTGCTCCACTTTGTCATGAACCAAGACAATAGGGTCGAGTTGGGCAACTTGGAGGTGATATTCTGTCGCAAGGCCACCAACACGTTGCTCAGCAGAGCCGGCGCACTGAAGAAACTGGTGGTTTGGGGGGTCTTTCGTTTTCCCATGGAAGCCTTGTCTGAGCCGCTGCTTTTTCTCTTTATGCAGGAGCTTAAAGACAAGGGCGCTTCAGCCAGTGCGGGTCATTCAGTCTTGCAGGCGCTGGCCTTTTGTCATGGGCTCCTTGGCTTAGCAGTTGCTCTTGACAGTCTTCGCAGCCCAAGAGTGACGGGCATGGCTCACCTGCAGTTGCAAAACAAAAGGCCTCCTAAGCAGGCGCAACCGCTGACAGTGCAGGAGGTGCGTTGGCTAGAGCAGGCGGCCGCGCAGGACCCGCAGTCCTACGAGAGCCTTTTGGCAGGAGGATTGTGTTTCATGTTATTTGCCAGGGCGCGACACAGCGATGCGTGCAGAGCCAAAGATCTAGCTTTCGACTTCGGTGCTAGGACTTTCAAGACTGGTTACGTGGAATGCGCAGTTCTCAACCCCAAGCAATCTCGAGCAGCCAGTCAGGGCAACAGGCTGCTGCCTATGGCGGCACCGGTGCTAGGTCTTGAGGAGCGACCTTGGGCACTCAGTTGGACGTCGGCCAGACAGGCTTGGGGTTTGACCTGCGCCGGTGACCTAGCTGACGACTTCATTCTTCCGGCCATGTCAGCCAATGGCCGCCTCTTGCAGGCCCACTTGACGAGTGCTGAGGTCACGAGGTGGCTGCGCGCCATTCTCAGTCAGGACCCAAGGGCAAATCAGGATCACTTGCTCCAGCTCACGTCGCACAGCTTGAAGGTGACGCTTCTGAGCTGGACAGCAAAAGTTTTCGTTGGATGGGACAATCAGACATTGCTAGGTTACCATAGTCTTGGAGTGAACAAGAGTGCACTAAGCTACAGCAGAGACGCCTTCAGTGGTCCCCTGCGTGAGCTCGAAAAGGTGCTCACGTTGGTGCGTGCTGGCCAGTTCGATCCAGATGACACCAGGAGCGGCCGCTGGCATCCAGTCCCGCAGGCGAGCTCATCCTCAGCATCTGCAGCGTCGGCCGCTGGTGACGCCGCAGAGGCTCTGCAGCAAGCGCTCCAGGAATCCAGTGAGGGCAGTGACTCTGAGGGCTCAGTCTCCAGCAGTGGATCCGAAAACGGCCAACTGCAAGTAAACGAAGCCACGCATCTTCTCAGTCTCATTGTGGAGTCAGGACGCTTCGCGCTCCACTCACATGCATCAAGTGGGATCACCCACGTTGTTGAGTCCGGTTTTGACCGTTTTCTTTGTGGCAGATCTGTTTACGGCCGCTATCAGGTCGTGCAAGAAGTGTCAGGACAGGATCTTAGACTTTGTTTCATTTGCAACAATGGCGCCGAGGCTAAGCTGAATGGAGCTTGGGCGGGGGCATAAGGGCCCAGCGGCCTCGGGCCATTTCTGCTTTTGCTCTGACAGTCCTGCAGGCGCCTCAGGTCCAATTGTGGAACCAGGGCATCGGGAGCTTGCAACATGGACAGGAGCCCAGGCTCCCAGTTCCCGATGCAGTGCAGGTGCAGGAGCTTTCCAAAGTCGGATTGCCGGCTAGTGCCGTGCAGCTTTGCCCCACGGCGTGAAAAGTGCTTCTGCGCCGCTTCTCTTCAGTAAGAGTTCGTGACACATTAGGGGGAACTTTCCAGACGATCAGTTGGTTTGGTCCTCGTGTAGCCTTGTAGAGGGTGAACATCGTCATCCATCCGTTTCCGTTTCCTGGAGGCATGTAGGCGCGGCATCGACACGCGGCACAAGCCCTGTATCATGTATCTGCAAACCGAGTTTCTGCTTAGGTTGCATAGGCCGCCGCGCATGCCCAGGCAGGTGATGCAGCTAGCAATGCTGCAGGGTGTGGAGGCTGCAGCAAGAGCCCACGTACGCAACCTACTCCCTAGTCATGTAAACGAGCCGAACAACAAAACCAAGCTGCTTGCTGGCTACAGGTCGCACATTTCTCATTAATTGGCGTTGTGACCAGCATCATGTCAACCTGTACATGATCCGCATCAAGCGTGTTCCCTCGGTGCAACATACTGTCATGATGATGGTGTTCCTTTCAACCATTTTCGATTTTGTGTCGATTGCTTGACCATGTTTGCGCCTCATGCCATCTCGTAAATCAGAGAACAGAGGGAGCATAGGGCAACATGTGCAGAGTGCAGCTGGAGTGTCATGGAAGCAGAGGTCGCGGCTTTTTGCCCGCGACGCTTTAAAGGGAATCGCGAATTGGTGTGGAACACTGCAACTTGCTGCAAGCACAGCGTGTTTGTTGTCACGTCTCCAAATAGAAACACAGGCTCACGGGTGTCAGTCTGTCCAAAGGAGTGAGCTCGCCCGTGGCCCTGCAAACACCTGTCTCAAGCAGTGTTCCAAGATAGGGGTGTCAAGAATTATGGTAGACAGGGTCGCACTCAAACCGTGTCTATCATGCAACATGTGCCCAATTCTGTGACCAAGTGTATCGCGCTCAGTCTCAGAAGAACCGTGTTTGGCAGCCAAGCCACTTTTGGCACGTAGATCTAGCAAGAAGTGAGACCAAACCAGCCTGCCAAGCATGTCGGCGGCGCCTGAAGGTTCGGGTGCTTAGCGTGCTTGATCGTGCTTGCAGGGCCTCCGAGTGTTTGGCCAGAGTGTAATTAGGAGTGGTAGCAGAGCATAGGAGAGCGGAAGGAGCGCAAAGTGAAGAAACAAGACTGATGATGGGCCTATGCAACCATCTTCCCGACACCCATAATGTTGTACCTGCAAGAGAGTGGGCCCCACCCCTGAACAGTCGAGGCTGGATGTGCTCCTCTTTAGACGGGCCCGGGGGTTTATATGATTTTAATACGGAGAGTTTGTATAAGTTTACAAGGGGCAGCGATGCCCGCCAATCTTTTTTGAGGCGCGCCGCGTGGAATTTTCTCACGGCGCCCGGACGGTTTGCCTTAATTCAGGATCCCACTGCGCACCCCCCAAGCATCCCCAAGCAGTCAGGGTGTCCTGAATAGCCCAGCCAAATTGACTTTATAGAGGAGGCCCCTACTAAACCAGGTCCAACATTACTTCCCCTTGATGTGTTGAGTCTCGACTTCCAGGAAAGCAGTAGGATGCTTATCGCATCCGCAGCAAGAAATATGAGTGGTAAGGGTAAGTGCATGCAAGCACTGACTCTGACGCCTGCAGTTCTGCCCAGTTCTGCCCGGACCGATGACTTCTACGGAGGAGTCGACTGTAGCGTCGGATTCCCAGCAGCGCTTTGAGCAACCTTGAGCCGCAAGATATCGCAAGATACTGCAAAAAAGACTCTGCCCAAAAAGGCTGCAACAGATGCCTTCAAGGCTGCATTCGTTGAGCATTGTGGCCGGTAAAAAGCAGATCTCTTGTTATTTTCGTGCTTATCCGGACTCATTCGTGTCAGGTCTGCCATATCTGTTGATAATTGTAAACGCTTGCGCGCGCCGCCTCGGCAGCCGGGCAGGCAACAGGACAGGAAAGGAGGAAGAGCAGAGCGGGTGGGGGGGGGGGGTGGGGGGGGGGTGGGGGGGGGGTGGGGGGGGGGTGGGGGGTGGGGGGGGGGGTGGGGGGGGGGTGTGTGGGGCGGGGGGTTTCAAAGGATTGGGGGGGGGTCCACAGGGCGGGGGGGGGGGGCGGGGGGGATGGGCGGAAGGGTTGGGTTAGGGGGAAGGAGGCCCGATCCGGGTCTGCTTGTTCCAGACGCTTCTCGGCAGGAAGCCGAGGCGAATATAGGGGTTCTATCGGCTGACGTGGTGGTCCTGAGCCAAAGTTCGCGGCACTCGACTTCAGACCTGAGGCCAGACACGCCAGGCTCGTCTGATGTGTCGGCGCCTTCCGCAGGTGACCTGTGCATACTGCATGTCTGTTCGCGTGGGGTGGGAAGTGTTTGCGGTTCCAAGCTAGAGAACAAGCCGACGTCCTGCCGACGTCCTGCCCTAGAGACTGCAGATGGTAAAAAGCCCAGATGTTGTGAGTGCTGGCTTTCAGGCTAGTGTGGCGTGTTCTTGTGCGGGTGGGTGGGGAGTTGGGGTGGGGGTGGGGGTGGTTGGGTGGGTGGGTGCGTTTTCAAGAAGAGGATCAGCAAAGTCCGAAGGGCGTTCTATGGACAAAACGATGTCGTTGACGTTGGCAACCTGTGAGATACTCGTACCTGGCAGGGTGGTCAAGTGTTGTTTGTCATAGCAGCAAGCATTGTTTCTCATCGTCGAAACAATCAAGCTTTGGAGGATGGGAGTACGCAGGGGTGTGGGGGGTGGGAGAGGTGTCCATCCCCTGTGGTCGGCCCTCTATGGCCCTCTGTACCCGGTCTGGCCACTTCGGCAAAGCCTGGCGGGCTGCATGCGTTAGCTCTGCATCAGGCCGGCAGGTGGTAGCTGCAGAGAGTTCTTCGGAAGCGAATCAACCCAACAGCTTGAAGCGAGCGGGCGAATTATCAATCACTGTGCAAGGAGCCACATCTGGGCCGAGAAGGCTGGGAGTTCACTCACAGTTGTTTGCAGATTGATCAGATTGCTTGCATCAGCCCACAGGCGGCGGACATTTTCTGTTGCTTGTGAGGATCACGGCCGGCGCCGGGGCATCGAGCCGCCTTTGCCACTTGCATTTCAACAGATTCTGCAGTAGTCGGATTCGCGGATTCGCGCAGAAGAGAAGGAGTCTCCGGTAACCCGGTAGCTGCAGTGCTACGCCCGCAGATAGTTCCATAGTTGCCTATTCAGAGAGATGGCGCAAGCCTCAGCAGCGAGCATCTCCCGGACAATGCAGAGAGTATGCCACATGGTTTTAGGCCCATACATACCTGGGTTGCGCGGACTCTGTGATCGTAGCTGACTTCAGAAGCGTGGCCACCGTGTCCAAATGACCTGTGTCGAAATGACCAGCACCAGCTGAGGTCGAGCCTTGGGAAAAGATGCGACTCGGCCGCCAGTGATGGCCCGCGTCTTCCGTGAGGAGAAGCGGGAGGCAAGCTCAGGGTCGTCCTGAGATATCATGAATGATGTGGGGGTAATCAGAGGTAGTAGACATACCATTTTTTCCCTAGGGTCTCACGGTCGGGGGTCAACCTTCAGTGGCATCCCATGAGGCTTGAATGAACGATTGGGCTTAGCACGCTTCGTATTGCAAACTGACAGAATGGGCCACAGCCACTGATCGAGATTTGCATCGCAGGGCCCCGAAGCTGGCACCTGGCACGGTTGAGGGCGGTATATCTGAAGTCTGACGTGTATCAGATGTATCACAGTTTCAGTTTTAACTTCTGTCTGTCAGTTCTACATTCCAGGCTGATGTGTTCTGAACGGCTGTACTGAAGGTTGCAAATATGTAATAATGTTGCACGATCGAGCCCATTGCAGCCCTTGTGAGGAGCAGGCAGAGAGTGGTGGTGCCAGGACATTGCCGGGGTTTTTCAATGAGAAATGGATAGTCCATAAGAGTCTTACGACACCATACGACCCAGAATCGAATATTTGGTTCATGCGGGAACATCCCGAATATCGCCCGCAAGGCAATCGGCAAGACACTAATTACCCAGTTCAGGAGTGTTCCAGCCCCGGGACAATACCCTCGAAGTCTGGTAGGGGCCTCAGACTGCAGCCTTCACAGGAATTGCAAGGCATGTAATGCTCGGTCATGGTCTCAATTTTAGCATGATGTTGCTATCACATGAGAGCAGCCCAGACCGTTATCAAGCGGAGATATGAAGTATTGATGCTGTACCTTGTTTGCATCCACGAATCAGAACCGAGTGTAGCCCACGCTTGTGAGTGTCAACAAAGTCTCTCAACAAGTGCACGAGGGGGGAAGGGCACTGCACATGCAGACTCCATCGCAAGGCTCCAGTCCTTGCACGGCCAGCACCAGTGGTGGCAGAGGCAGCACTATCACAGCTGTGCATCTGAAGGTTGAGACTTTCACAAAAAGCGATCGCTTTGCGTCCCATGAAACAATGCCAACGTGACAATAATGGCAGCTATGGCAAAGGCACGAGAAACATCAAACCAGCACAATTTTTTCAGAGCTTGTGGTGAGTTTTTGGATGCAAGAACACCCTAACCCTGATTCTGACTTTGACTCTGACCTATTTCTGACCTATTTCTGACCTAAACCCCGAACCCCGACTCGCGGGGTGCTGCGCGCGCACGTTTGCGGGGAAGCAGCTATTCCAAAAGGCTGCATGTCCTGGCATGCGGTTGGGGTAGGCTTGTGTGTTTAAACAGGATGCGGAGTACAGCATGGCTAGCAACTGCAACTCGTTTCTGAGTTTTTTGGAGGCGAGGGGTTCCAGCTCACATGGCTGTCTGGGCTGGCCAGGTTTTCCCGCGCAGTGCCAGAGCACTGGGCACGAAATCCGCGCCAGGCTCTGCACCACGACATGTCGTCCAGAGAATGGTGGCGCCACACATGCACTCATCTGGCAAAAGCCTGAAACCCTCAATGGCTCAGAGTGAAAATTTGCTTGCAACCTCATACCTTTTAAGCTCAGAGATCAGCATCCAACTTCGAAGTCCATGTATGCGTGAGCCATGGGCAGATACTGTAGTAAGCTCGAGGAGTAGTTTCGATCAAGCCCGTACTGCGTGGCTGAAGACGCATGAACCAGCACAGGTGTTGGACCGCGTCTGCGCACTGTTCCAGGCATGTGCAGTTTGCACATCATGTTTCAGTTTGGATAGCAGCAGCATGAGCAAGAGCTCTTGTCAATCCTTGGGGTACAAGTCCGTTGCCAGGTCCTGGGCGGACAGGCACTGCCGTGAGCCCTCCACGCCAAAGTCCTGCAGCTTGACCGAGATTCCGCGTTGTGCTGTTGTGCTTCATGCTTGGATTTTCCTTGGAAAACCACCTGTGTGGTAATTAACCGAGCTTTGCTCACAAAGGCGCGGAGCCCTGCCCGAAGCCGTGGCAACAGCAAGCTGCTCAGCTTTTTGGGCGTCGCACTTGCGGGGCTTCTTCTGTCGAAGGAGTCCTGCTAGCAAGCTCCCCTAAGTTTGGACTGGCCTAGCCTGTTCACGCGGAGCTTCTGCAAAGACGTAAAGAGAGATAGTGCAATCGATTCCTCCAATGTTCACCTAGTGATACCGGGTGCAGACTTGTCGGGAAACGCTCGAATCAGACATCAGAGTCAGGAAACTGCAGCGTACTGTAGAGAGTCGAGTCAGCAGTAACAAGAGATGAGGGCTGAGCCAGACAACGTTGACGGTAGTGTGCTGTATAACATAGGCCCTCGCTGGAAAATTCACTTGGTTAGGGTGCCAGTTGGGACTCGACCCTTTTCTAGGTCCGAAATTCAGTGTTCGATGGTCTAGTTGCCACATAAGTTTGCGCGTCAACAGCAACGAACACATCAACTCCATGTAGGCTGACACACCAAGGTATCCCCAAGCATCCCAAGCAACAGAAACAATGCGGCGCTCAGAAGACGACGGACAGTCGTTGACACTGGCCGAAGGTCCATCGAGCCCACGGCTTCGGAGCCGAAAGGAGCTGGAACAGCACAAGGCTTCATTCAGTTCATGGGCACGGCTACTTTCGTTTGCTTCACTATCTTCTCTGTGCAATGAATGGCAAAAGTTCAAGTAAAGCCTTGCAAAGCTTATCGTCTGGAAGCTCTCCATGCGAGGCCAAAGTCTGGCACGTGTGAGCGGCGTGATGATGCATGATGTCTGACATTGACAGGTGGCTTTAGAAATGCAGATCGAAGAGGCGAATCGTTCTCGGCTTTCACTCGAGCGCATGCTGACCGAGGCGAATATGTGTGTGTGCATGATGTGTCTTATGCCGTCCGCAGCTGTGAGAAGAGAAGTCCTGTTTTTGTCCGGCCTTGATTCGGCCAGCAAACCTGCTAGGAGAGATCACGCGGTGCAGCTGACAGAGCTGGGGCCTTCCGGGGCGAAATGATATCAACTGACATGAAGTGATTCAGCGACTAACCCGAAACTTCGACCCGATGCATCCCGATGCCGCACTGCAGCACCGCACTTTCGTGTTAGGGGATGCTTTAATTCGCGCTGTCGAAGCAGTTTAGCGAGTTTAGCGCTTCATATTCGCATGGAAGAGTGGAAGACGCAGGCCCTGGTGATCTTACATCCTATGCCGCATTCCGCTTTCTGCTCGGCTGCAGTGAACCTCAGGCCAAGCTTGCGGCGCTGGGTGCACGGATCGAACAGCACCTGGGCAGAAGCTCTCTACGCAAGATGGGCCATCGCGCTTGTGGAGATTGGATGTAGATTGAGCGACACAATCTATCGGAACCCATCAATCCCATGTAGTGAGCAAGAGGCCTGCCCCTAACACAATGAGTTCCTCCGCGTCACCATGCGCCGCTTGAGCATGAGGCTGGAACAAAGTCGTGGACAGACCGGCCCGCGTGTCTTGCAGGACTGCAAATCGGGCATTTCAGGGTGTTGGCAATCACGCCAAATAAGCCAAGTGACCTCTGGGGCAGGAGAATCGCACTCTTCACACAGAGCTGGAGGTGGTGCCAAGTGTCCACGGGTTCTTAGTTCCGTTATGTTGCGTAGTGGTGTTGATGAGTCACGTCTTGAGTCAATTCTTGAGTCTTGTGATGTCTTGTGATATCTTGTGATGTCTTGAGTGCCCAAGCTTTGGTGGCAATAAATTCGCAGCTTGTAGCGGCTGATTCTCTGTTCCATGTTGCAGGCTCAATCCCAGCAAATCGAAGTGCTCAGGCAGCAGGCGCGTCCCTCTTGAATCCGCGGGATTTGCATGCTTAAGCTGAAGCAGGCTAGACAAGGAGCATCACTTCGTCTTAGGATTGTAGGCACTAGCGTGGCTCGCTAAACCAACCTGGTTCATGATTTCATCGCAACTAATCCGAGCAGTCGTGCCTCTTATTGCTAAAGTTGCGGCTGCTCAAGTCGCAGACCTGCGCCTCGACTGCTTTCGACAGGTTCAGCTTCTCAGGGATGGACACATGGTGGGGCCCACAGCATCCTGCCTAAAAATCCATGACCCGGCTGAATCGATGCGGGGGGTAGCGCCTTCCCAATACGGGATCAGCCAGTCACGGAGCGAATTCGCTTGAGCTTGTGTTGTACTGTGAAGACCATAATGGCGAAGTGAGAATCACAAGTGATGATCGCAGAGTATCATTAGGTCGCATGTCTTCCGTGTGGGGGGTCTGCTTCAATTCCCCGTATCCACTTCCCTTATGGATCCGCGAGGGCCAACGGTAGCCATTGCCCCTTGAATCTCAGCTGTTTGCTGTCGTTTTGCATTTGGGTCCACGAGGGTCCTCACCAGACTTGGCCTTTAGGCCACAGCCAGAGCTGGGAGGCAGTGGGTTCACTGATTCTCAACTTCAAGCCAACCACTGGCATTCAACCGGAGCCCAGAACCAAAGGTGCCCAGGTACATCCACCGCACAGCACAAGCTAGTGCTGGTTCTCTGAATTTTGGGGTGCAGCTCCGAAACACCACAAAGTCAAGAAAGCCGATGCAAGATTTCAATGCCCACTCATGTTCTTAATCAGAAAGCTACCTCGAAGTTCCTGAATCCCAGAAATCTTGATCACTCATCTTCAGCAATGTTTTCTGCATCAGAGCCGGCACTGTCATGGTTTCTTCTGCTTGCATTGACCTGATTGCTCACTGCAGTGCTGGTGCAAGGCCGAGCCTCAGCTGCAGGAGGTGTGGCTCCCAAGCTTCTCGTGACCAGTGGCAGTCAATGAGCAGCGCACCATAGCGCACCATAGCGCACCATAGCGCATCGAGAGTCCCAGAATTCCTCATCTAAATGGGAGACAGAGCTTTTGCGACGAAGTTCTCGTAGAGCTCACGGTGAGTGCCATGCAACCCTCCTCAAGCGCGTTCTCCCGTGCTCTCTCGCGTAGCACAGCCGAAATCTCGAAAGCTAACATGCATCTTACCAACGATACTTCAGAGCCAGGAAAATCTCCGTCTTCGTCGAGACTTGGAGCACAGTCGAGCAATGCTTTCACGCCGGGGCCGCCAAGTGGGGATGTCTGGGACAAGTTGGAAACTTTGCTAGCAGCACATAGCTTTTATTGCTAGGTCACTGCAATGGTCACGCAAAACCGTGCAAGCGAAAGCTGGATATCTGGCCCTCAAAGAAAGAAGGCGCCTCGATCCGAAAAGGTGTCCTGCCATCTTGTCTTGAGAAGAAGCAGGCAACAACACGTACTTCTCAGGAAGATATGATAAGGTATGGTCAAAGTTGAGTATTTTAGAAGTGCTGGTGTTCCAGATCAGGGATGCGATGCAAGGCTTGTTGACTGCCTTCACAGTAGTGGTTACAGACGGCTTCATGCACCGGCAAGCGAGTCAGGTAAGGGGTGGCGGAGCTTCATAGGCAGCTTTACGGGCAGAGTTGTGCCGGAGTTTTCCGGACTATGGGCGGAGTGCTGCATGTCCCGAGATATCCGGCTCTATAGGGGTGGCGGATTTGGCCGCTATTGGGCGTCTGCAACGCCCCATATCCAGTTGTGAGGTGCCCGGCGAATGCACCACAGGGTGCACTGCAAGCAAACTTTCAACAAATCAATGAAATACGAGTGCGGCGCGTGTGATCTGCAGACATGGGGCAGCCGAAAAAAACCAAGCCATATAGCTGAGGCAATAGCGAAAATAGCAGGAATAGCGGAGGTGCATCATACGAGGAACACCAGCCGGAACCCGCTGAACAAAAAACAAGCGGGACATGGCTCAGACATGGCTCAGGAGGGCAAGACGGGTTCCACGGCAAGACGCGCATGCCTGTGTTGCTTTTGATGCAAGGCGAAGATACTCGAAGCACGGGGTAGTTCCCCACCACTCCGCCCACGCTTGAGCCTGTCTTGTAATAACATCAGCGAGATACCGGAAAACACCAAAAGCGCTTGCAAGGTGTTCGAAAATAGGAGATTGTAGAGACAGATAGAGAAGGAATGTGCCTGGAGAGGCCAAGTAAACGAAGGAAGCGAAGGAGGTGCCAGAAGAATAAAATGAACTTCACAGCAGAGAACATCTTGTGGATTCGCACAAGCTTCCACATCTGCACGCCTTGCTGCACGCGGAGAGGCTTATGAGGCTTTTAAGGGTTCGGGGAACGATGAAGGTAGTTTATGTCCGGGCATGTCATGGCCTTGACAGTTTGTGAGGCTACACAGACGAGCTTGCGACGATCATGCTGTGGACTGAAAGACTTCTGGGGGAATGTTTGCAGACTGGCATATGACGGATACAGTACATAGCCCACGTCTCCCAGTGCCAAGGCCTGGCATGCAAAAAGTCATCCAGAAGTTTCAAGGTGACTTACAACCCGGCAGGCCCGGCAGCAGAGACCTCGAACAAAGCTTTTTTTCTATTTCTTGGGCTTCTTGTTGGGCCATGGCTTCCGGCACCTAGTGGCCTTGGTGTTGGAGGGATTGGATGTGAACAGATGCATCGATTGCCGCTTGCCTGCGCAACTTCGTCACGGGTGAAGTGCGTACAATTGCTTACAATTGGGCTGCATGGTTGGTTTTGCCGGGAGAAGTTCGGATGTTGGGTTCTCGTTCTGCCTAGGAGACTCGAGGAGACTCCTATCCGTTCCTGTGATTTGATAGTTCTCAGTGCTTCCCCTTCCGCTTGACTAGCACGAGCATTCGCCGGGACCTGTGCTTGCATTTTTTTCGCGTGTGAGGTGCGCTGGCGAGTTCCTGGATGCTTACGCTGAGGAACCGATCGGTTTTCTGAATCTTTGCCTCTCACAAATCAGCTGACAAAAGCTCCTCAGTTGGGGAGAGGACCTTGCGGCAGCCGAAGGTACATCTTCCAAGAGGTGCGGCTGTGAAGAGCTGGAAGGTTCAAAAGTTTTGGAAATAAGCAGCCTAGGCACTAGGGGACTAGAGTGTAAGTACATTTCTTCCTGAAGCCGATATTCATATTTCGTTAGCCAGGCCGTGTAGCAATGCTATGGTGAAGGTAAGCGCGCGCCACGCCCGAAAGCTCTGCAGCTCTCGCCGTTTTGAGTCGAGTCCAAATCACGCTCGCGCCCAGAAGCGACGACGTGGCCACAGGTTTCGGGGGTGATTGTTTCTCACGTATCAACCAAGATCACATTGTAGTAAGAGTATAGTGACGAATTAAAGTGAGTATGGAAACCAAGATTTTTCCATCGTCCGACGTGACCAATCGGGCTCTCCTCGGTCCGTCGAGCGTTCTGTGACTTAATTGCGCTTTCCCGTCTGGTCCGTGAGCCGCTCCGTGTCAGGGAGTTCATTTGCTCCTGGACGGCTTGGCTTCGCGCGTTCGTTCTACGGGGATTTGGGCGAGATTTGGGCTGGCTCCTGGTAAAGTGCTGAAGCGTTGTCGCGTCTATTCGCTTTCATTCGCCTTTGGGCCCCTGGAGTAGTCCTGGATTGGGGAGTGAACTGAGTGAACTTGTTTCTTGCCTTGGCCAGGCAGAGTAGTCCCCCAGTGCAAGCAGCAGGCGCGTCATATCACGGCCCACGTCAGATCATCTTCCAAAGGAACGCTGAATTTGCTCTTATTGATCCAAACATTGGCCTGCTAGAACACGTGGCCTTGGCAGCTCCAGCAAGAGGGAGATCCATCCCCCAGCGGGGGACCCAGCAGGGCAGAGCTCTTTGAACCTTTGAGCCTTAGCAGTCCATGGGGCACTTGAGAATCTCCGACAAGCTTGCAGTAGCTGAGTAGCGGTCGCCCCGGTACCTTGCTGAGAATTGCCGAGGCAAGCGGCATGCGAAAGTGCGCGGCCGTCTGCTCAGGTGCGGCTCTGCAAGAATCGGGAATTGTTGGGGGTTTCATGAAGAAGCAGAAGCTGTTCCGGAGCCATGTAGTTTTTCATGGAGGAATTACACTCCTTTTGCGAGCTGTGCATACCATCGCTTTACCCTCGACTGTGGCTCAAGTTGCCGATAAAAAGAGGCGTACTTAACGGTTTATATGTTCCCTCATGTGCTGACCTGAAAACTTCAGGTTATCAGCCGTAGAGTCTCACACGATGGCTCTGCAGCTGCAAGATGGGACCATTGATCCCAATGCGCAACATGATCAGACTGCAACAACCAACTACCAACAGTTCAACCAGTACCGGGTACAGCAGCAGCTGATCATCGTGCAACAAAACGAGGATGCAGAGCGAGTTCGTATCGAAGCCGAACGCAGACATGCGGAAATCCTGGACATGGCTACAAGACAGGCCCGTGCAGAAATGGGAGAACTCGAGCAACACGCTGATGCCCAACATCGTGCACGGATTGAAGTCATCAGTGACCGCATGGACTTTGTGGTTCGTGAGCTACAACAACAACTACTGGAGACCAAGGCAGCACTAAGAGGTCGAACGGCGGAGCTTGACCAAGCCGCACAGGACGCACACACACTCAGGATGCACAATCTCGAGCTTGAGGCACGAGGTAACATGGTTCTCGAATCGGAAACTCGCCTCAGGACCCATCTCGAACAGAGTGAATTTTCCCTTGCTAACCTCAGGGTTGTGTACGATCAAAACAGGGAAACCCAACTGGAATTCTTAGGCAACGAATTTAGAGAGCAAATGCAGTATGAAGAGAACATGTTCACATATGCCATGCATGAAGAAGAGAGTGCATGTGATGTCTTGATTCAGGAGTTGGCTGAGTCGAACCAGCGTTTGATGGTTGAACTTGATGAGGCTAAGGCAACCGCTACAGCGTCATCTAGCCTGCCGAAAGGTGGTGCCGAGCACCAGCAGGCTGTTCCCATGGCCTCAGCACCTCCACCGGGTTTGAACACTGCCGAAGCAAGCCCCCCGCAAGGGGGTGCCGCATGCGGTAATGCACATGTCACGCATGCTGATTTGCCAAATCCGTTGCAGATTCCAGAGAGCATGAAGGGTCTCTTTGAGAGACGGCCCCAGAGGTTTAATCTGGGGGCATCTACTCCTGTTTCGCAAGCCCCTAATGAAGTGCATGAAGCGATTGCAAAAGCGCTCAAGGACTTTGCTACCAAGGATGAGACGAAACCTAAGACTAAGGAAGCCGAGACAGTGAAACTTCCGGATTTTCCCTCAGCGGAGACGTACAGATCGTGGAAGACGGCAGTGCGTGAGGCTGTTCGAGCAGCATCTGATCACCCTGATGAAGCATTTGCGTGGATTCAGCAGGTGTACGCAAAGGGTGCGTCACTAGATAGCCTCAACGATGTAGGGAAATTCCTCACGCTAGACACCAAAATCCTTGCAGCATTGTCTAGGGTGGCAAAGGGCGAGCTTGCGAGACAAATACTCAACTACAAGGAGACGGAGGCCACCTGTGGTAGAGCAGTGAGAGGTAGGCAAGTGCTGTTAATGTTTGAAGCCTACTTTAAAACCAACGAAGAAGTTGGCTCCCTCTACTCGGTCGAAGACCTCTTGAAAGTGGCACTGATCAATGATGACCTCGCTACCTTCGTGCATAACTGGGATTCAGTGATTGCTGGACTATCGCATCCTCCAGACGAAACCACTTTGCGAGACATATTCCTCCGTGAGCTTCGCAAGTCCCATCGTTTGAAGTATGATCTCGACATTTACGATCGGGCTCGTGAGGGGACCCCTGAGCACACCTACAAGTTCCTCATGGAAAGCATCAAGAATCTCCTCACACGAGAACGAATTAGGAAGAACAGGGACAAGATTGCTAAGGCCCATGGCGCAAAGTATGGTGCACCTGCCCCTCCTACCCCTGCGAAGCCGTCGGCGCCCGCTCCTTCGGAGCGACGACAGCCATCCAGAGGACGTCAGGGTAGGCAGGTTTGCATGTTGTTTCAGAAGGGTAAGTGTAAGTTTGGGGAGCGTTGCAAGTATGAACACACGAAAGACCCCAAAGCATCCTCAAGGGAGAGATCTCCCAACCGGCCTAAGTCAGGTTCTCGCGAGAGAGAGAAGAGCAACAGCAAAGATACCTCCAACATCCCATGCGTATTTTATGCCAAGGGTACTTGCAGGAATGGGGACAAATGCAAGTTCTTGCACAAGGACAAGTCCGCATCGCCCTCTGTCCCGGCCAAGGCTAAGGCACGTGCACCCTCCCCGGCTAAGCGAAGGCCGAGCCGGAAGAAGAGGACAGAAGCTAAAGCAGCTGCCTGCTGCGTGTACGCCTTAGCCGCCCGAAAGGGTGAGCCGGATGGTAGGCATGCAGACACATGGCGTCTTGATGAGAAGTCACTCACGCTGTCTAGGGAACATGTTGTTCTGAGAAACAACTATTTTATTCCCCAAAGCTGCCCCGTTCCAGCATGGAGAATCAAGTCTGTTGCGAGCATCACCATGAAGCTGAAAACCGGCGAAGAGCAAACGTTACAGTACAATTGGAAAACGTGCGACAAGCAAGCACCTCTGCCCAATTGGACGGGCGTTACGAGTTTCAAGCTGAAGCCTAAAGACATGAGTGTGTGTTTTGAAAGGCACCCTGAGATACACCCAGTTGAAAGCGTCGGAGATGGTTGGAAATTTGTTCCCCATAAGCGCAAATGTGTGGCAAGGTTCAAAACCAATGCTGATTGCCCTATGTCCGACCCTGGTGATCTTCAGTGTGCAGTCATCATCGCACAAAATCTTGAGGCCTCAGTGTACTCGGAACTCCATGGTGAAAAGACAAAATGCAAGCATCGCTGCTGCAAGCCTGATTTCGCTTGTCGGCATTGTGCAGCAGGAAACATAATGTCAGGAACTGCCGCTCCAGCGCGCAAGGAACTTCAGAGCTTGGACATCATTGCCGATACGGGAAGTGAAGAGGACCTTATCAGCTCTTCGGACTTGAGAAAGTGTTTCGAAGGGGTCGGTAGAAAAGTCGACGCAACGCCAGTCAACCTTCACACGGCCAATGGCATCGTGGAGGCATCGTCCAGGACAGAAGTCGAGGTTCCGTCAATGAATGGCAGCCTGGAATTCGTGGAACTCCCGGATACCCCACCGGTTTGCTCTGTGGGAAAGAAGTGCATGCAGCAAGGGTACGGTTTTTACTGGCCTCCAGGGCAAGTTCCGTACTTCGTGAAGCCCGATGGCCAGAAGCTCACTTGCACGCTACGGGGGAATGTTCCAGTGTTCAGCAGTATTGGGAATGATTCCGGACACCCAGCTGCTGTAGCGCATCGCGATGAAGGTGAACGAATGGCGCCCACCTGCTCCTTGCAGCAGGATTTTCACGCATAAGCTGCCCGAAAGGGCATGCCGCAGCAGCCGGACCACTTCCAGGAGCTCCAGACGGTGTAGTCCCGGTACCTGCGGCGGACGAGGGAGATCATCCACCATGGCTGGCAGAGATCCTAACCAAGGATCCCCCTCTTGAAGGCATGAAGAAAGAGCAACTGTTGAAGGCTGGATGGGTTACTGTGAATGGTGATCCCCACGTCAAGGTTGCCCACAACCCAAAGACCTTCAGAACACCTGCACCTCGCTACCCCAAGTATCGAATTCGTTCCACCTGGGGATACAAAGATGGCGAGTGGAAGCAGCTGGAGAACAAGGTCAACATGGACGAGCTCGACGCCGTCTACGGGAAGGTACCTGAGGGTACCAACATGACCATCACTGTCTTTACCATGCCCGATGGCGGTGAAGATGTGCCCGATAGCGACGTTGTGGTCCACATTCCAAAGTCGAAGAAGGACGAGGCGTCTCTAAGAGCTGAAGCGGAATCCGTGCAGCATCTTTTGAGTCATCGTCCAAAGAACCCTTTCTGTCCGGTATGTCAACGAGCCAAAATGTATGCTCCGCATGCCAGAAGAAAGGGAGGGTCTAGCACTGTGCACAGCAAGGGGTTCGGTGACCACATCACCATCGACCACATCATCACGAAGGACGCCAAGGACTACGGATTCGAAGGACAAACTGTAGCACATGTTGTGAAGGATGTCTTTACGAAGTTCCGTTATGTTTACCCGGCCGACAACAAAAGTGGTGAGCAGTGTTACGAAGATTTACTGCACTTTTTCGAGGTCGATGATAATGTTAAGGTTGTTTACTCAGACAACGCTCACGAGTTCGACTACGCGGTTAAGCAACTCCAAGCTAGGCACAACAAATCCAGGGAGTATGTGGATCAGAACAAAGCAGTGATCGAGCGTGAAATACGAACGATCTTGGAAGGTACGCGTGCCAATTTGGTACAATCTGGTTTACCTGATCAGTTCTGGCCACTTGCATCCCAACATCATGCTATTTCTTTGAACGTTAGTAAACGTCTTGACAACGGTTTAGTGCCATGGAATCAAAGGTTCGGGAGCGACTTCCAAGGGGTCCTTGTTCCCTTTGGGGCTAAGATTTTGTACTGGGCCGACCCCAAGCAGAAGCAGCCAAAAAGGTCAAAGTTTGCGGGGACGGGTATTGAAGGAATTTTCCTCGGGTATCATATCCAACCTGGCTTCGTCTTCAAGGAAGAGTACTTAGTTGCTCCTTTGCAGGGAATCAACGAGGCCATCGAGAATGACGACTTCAGGACTTTCAGGACCAAAAGGCTTGAACTCCTGGAAGGGAAGTTCCAGTTCCCATTGTCACAGGATCTTGAAGCTCTGGGAAACCAGAAGCCGCCCGAACTCGATGATCAACATCACAACGCCGTTGAAGAAAGAAACCCGCATCAAGAAGAAGAGGATTTCGAAGGGGGAGTGGGGCCGCTCGATGAAGGAGATCGGCCATTAGGAGGGTCATCAAGGGACGACATTGTCTATCCTGCACGATATGATCCTCTAGATGATGTGCCCTTCTCAGTCCGTGAGAGACTGGCACCTGCGACTCCATCATTCA